TCCAAATAACCCTATTGCCCGAGCTTGTTCAAGCGGTTCGGGGAATACATCGACCAGGAGTGTTAGAGCAGAGGGGATTGTCATTGAAGAAGCTGAGGAGCGATCTTTGTCAGCAAACCATCACACCAGCGGGAATGCTTGCCTATTCCACTCAACGCCCTAAGAATGATGACCGGAATGGTGTCATTGACAAATCCAGTGCACAGTGAGATGACACCAAGACCAGATACACCCCCGATGAACGCACTTTCTGTGAGCCCATTAATGTCACTATTTAATGGGTACGGCATAGAACTAACTTGGGTTGTATACGTCGCTAATGCGGCCGCTCTAAACAATACATCAAAGTGCAAGGTCAGAATCAATGGGATGAGCACGCACGATAAGCAGAAAAGATGCAAAGGTCAACTTGAATGCACTGATAATCCAAGTGGATTGACTTTCAGTCATACCCATGGATACCTCGAGCGTAGGGATTGCAGAGAAGAGAGCTGAGTTATTGAAAGCATCTAAAAACTGAGCAAGACATAACATAGCCAGTAAAATTAGTCTGTGAGTGAGAGAAAGTTTCTTGGGTCAATGATCAACCAGCGTTTCAGCCAGGGAGAGAGGTGGGAGTGGTAGCATCGCACCCGAAAACTGCAAACAAGATACTGCGGTTTGTCAGTTCAGGAGCGACCAGTTGAAGGGGAGGTTGGAAACGTTCTCTATCGAAATGGATGGATGGCTTCACATTATAAGAGGTATCTCCATGACCAATGTGAATCAGACACATGATACATCTCAACACCAGTGAAGATCTCGATTATGTGCAGAGATTCTGGATGTGTCATTCCCATTGAATTCCCCCGAGGGTTTGTTAGAGCATCGTCATCCCTTAGAGTAAAATTAACTCAAAGGAGCTTGACTAAATTGAGATTTTTCTCCATTTGCTTGGTTATCTGTATGCCTGTTCCAAGCTCCCTGCACGATATCGTTAACAAAGGCAATTGTGTCACTCACGGTGAATGAGAGTCGGACGAAGGTGATATGAGAATCACCTGATGCCTCTCATATTGAAGGGAGGCTACTGCATTGTGCAACGCATCACAATTCACAATCCAGACTCTCCGGACAGACGGCTAGGACAGCAAGAGTGTTCAACAACATATAGAATTTGTGTCAACACAACACAGATCTGTATCCAAGTCTGTCAAAGCATAAATATTCCGGTCAGGTCTAATCTGTTTTGATGAAAATGACACATTTATAAAGTAAAACACTTACTCTATGATATTGGTGACATTCACATTATGGATCCAATCCGTGACAACATCATGGGACCCTGCCATGGTCAGAATGAGAACGATGTGATGTCCTCAAACCATGACATTATGTCGGAAATTTCTTATTTGGGTTTCAAGGGGTTGCAACGGGTTACAAGAAATTCAATGCGAGATGCTATTGAATATTGAATATTGAAGTTGTTGCAATACAAAAGTTGTGGGTATAAATTGACGTCGTCGCCTTCCAACAATGTTTTAAACTATATCCCAATTTGGTCCTAATGCCGGCCCAGATTAGAATTTGGGCTCAATAGTGGTCTCAATGTGTCTCAACGTCACACGGTGTCATGCATGGTATGGAACTCATACCATGACATTGATAGACAGGAAGTAGCTACAGAGAGTACACTAAGGTGTACCTCATTGTATTATTATGATTGGTTCCATTTTGACAGATTTACTTGTATTTATATTTCCAGTATGTGTCACGAATTCCAAATACAAATCATTATTCTTTCCTGAACACTCATAAGACACCCGTTAAGCGCCCGTCACAAGCGCCCGTCACAAGCGCCCGTCGTTAGCGCTCAGTCAGCGTCTGTACCTATGACCTTCACAAACCCTAACCCGAACCCATCCTTTACATATCCAAGCTTCTCTATTCCGTTAGCGCCTACTACCTTTATCTCCGACATCCCTGATTTCGACTTCCTTACCCAAGCGATCAAGTCACGTGACTCTAGAACCTTCGAGAACCCTTGCACAGCTGTTACACGTTTCATGACATCATAGTGTAGTTATATTTAGATCATCGTACGATTCCCTTTCCTATTTAAGGATTGGCTAGTTAGTTCAGATTCAGATTCAGTCTCCGCTTCAATGTATGTATATAGGTAGCCCGTTGTAGTCAGTAGTTCTTTAGTTCAAACCTCTTTTGTATTAGCTCACTGCTAGCAATCCTAAGACGTCCCTGCTCATTATACTCTTTTCTTGTTGTGATAACCTTGTTTGAGTCCTAGTCTCTGCCCCTGCGTTAATTCGTTAAAAGGGTTGTGACAGTATGATAGTTTTCACCTTTCCCCTTTTCTTTTCTTTTCTTTTATGTGGTTTATTCAGCCACCAGTGAGCCACCAAGATGTGTTAGTAAGCATGTCATGTGATAGGCAATATTCTGCTTTGTAAGGATCCTGCATGATTTGTCATGTGGCTTCCATTTGTTTCCATTTGTTTCCATTTGTTTCTATTTGTTTCAGGCTCATTCAGCCACAGAATCCTTCAGTGAGCCACCAGATATGTTTGTAAGCATGTCATGTGATAGGCAATAATCTGATTTGTAAGGATTTGTCATGATTGGTCATGCTTCGTCATGCTTCATCATGATTTATCATGCTTTGTAATATTATGAACTTTATTTGTAAACTACTTTGTAAGCAGCTGATTCAGCACTGCCAAATGGCATGGTTAGTAAGCCAGTGACTTACTAATGCCGTGATGAGTCATGTTTAGTAAAATGGCCTCCCAAAAAGGTATAAAAGGAGCCCATTCTACACTGAGTAATAATAACTTCCCACTTTTCACTCTTCTCTCAAATGTGAGAGTCCGTAAGACTTAAAAAGTGCAGGCCAAGAGTGCCTTGAAGTAAGATAAACATCGTATCAGAGATTAGTTGTATACTACCTTACAGGGGTCGCTTATATAACAATCTATTTATAAACTACTTGTTGTGTGCTACCTTTCAGGGGCTGAGTGTACAACACCAGAACAGCTTTCGTACTAGGCTTTACGTATTTAAGACAGACTTCATTTACTTGTTGTGTACTACCTTACAGGGGTTGAGTATACAACACCAGAACAGCTTTCTAACTAGGCTTCACGTATTTTAAGACAGACTCTCTCTTTTTCAGGAAGGGAGACACGAGAACACGACAAAGTTGAGACAGACTTTCATAGGTTGAGACACAACCCACAAGATTGAAACAGATCTTACTATCAGAACATTAGGGAATCTACGAGTATTCCACCAGGGAACAACAAGAAGAGGACACGTCAGTAAACCCTCCCAAGAACTCACACGTTATCTACCACGAAAACTAGAAAAGTTGTAGACCGTGTACTTAAGGACTGGCAAGAAGTCTTATCCTGTATAGTTGTGTTGTCACTATACACAGCGTTGTACATAAGACCCTTAAGTAGCAAGACAATGGTTAGAGAGTTTGAAAGTTCTGTCTATCCATCTGCTGCAAGGTTTGAGAGCACCATCTCGCACGTCCGTAGGTGTTCTGTGCTGTATATAGAGTCTTTTCTTGTCATGCTTTGATGATAGTTTCACTAATCCGGCAGCATTATAATGGCCTTTTGGTTTTTCCGACATTATTTCTTCTTGGGACCAAGGTGTTTTTAAAAGTATAATAATGATGTCTACAGTCTACTAGCATCGCTGAAACCGGAAACAGAATCTTGCGGCTGCATGCCGCCATGAGTTTACAAAGCTGGAGAACTCCTAATTATGACGTATTCACTACTCACCGTCACTGGTGGACACCAACCAGGATGGACTTCAATTGATTGGCTTCATGCACGATGAACGCATCGACATATTGCGTGAGTGTTTTATATCCAAGACTCAAGCTCCAATATTGTCCAGTGCAAACACTTTATGCTGACCATGTCAGCAGCTCATACCTTGATGGGACGATCGCAATCTAGGTGTCGAAATTGGTCTGTCGGATTTTTATTCTGGATCACCTCCTGTGCATCACTACAATGGTAATTCGTTGCTACGAGAAGTCAGTCGCTGCGTAGTTTGACGATGTTTCAGGTCACATTATCCAACAACTGCCTTCTTCACGCGGGCCGTTTTTGATTATTTACAAGAGACTGTAGTGCGTGCCGATGAGCACCAAAAGACAATCGGCAGGAATGCGCCGTGTGCCCCTCCGCGTTTCAGGCGTCAGCATTCAGTCGATCAGTACCACATGTTCTTATCACTCTCGTCCTTGCAAACGATTTGACTAATGGAACTGTAACCCTGACGTATGTTACCCTCATCAGATGAAATCATTGATCTGCTGATCCGTAAACCTACACCGTCAATCCCAGCCACATTCGTAAATACATCGGATCCAATTTCCTGGACCAGTGGTATCTCTGACTCGATCGGCTGTCAGCGTACTCGTGTTGTTCCTATCGCCTGCAAGCCCATTACACTAGATCCAGTTAGAAATTATCTCCTGGTATGTACATGATAATCCGAGGCTTTCTGCAGTCCCCCTTTTTTTTTAATTCAATTTTAATGTCCTATGGAGAGACGTGCTCTAAGGAGGACAGTACAATCTAGCCTAGGGGACTCCCAGCGTCCCCAACGCATCTCTGGGCGCGCAAATGCCCTGGTGAGGCATACCCCCACCAGTCCGCCGTTCCCGCCGGCCGTTTTAGACGCGCCGCCCTTCGAAGATGAGATGACTTGTAGGTAAGTAAAACTATATGTATTTTGACGTATGCAATATGGTAACGCGTACTCGGCCGCTTTCGCGGGCAGGTACAGGGGTCGGTTTGGATCTTGTATGGAATGTTTATTTGACGTGGTCCCGGGGGGCGAATGGTGGGTCCTAAATTCCATTTGGTGTGTTCCTGTTAGGGCCGAAGAGGCGCTAATGACTCCGTGTAGACGAGTGGGGAGAGAGGGTGAGACGGATATGTACATTCATGAGTTGCGGGTATCTGATGGACGAGTGATTAGTCTGACAAGATGCGTGGGGTAGGGACTTCACTGAGAGTGGCTCTCAATCTTCCTGTAGCATTGATGAATTCGACGAGGGAATGGGTAGCTTCGGACTCCGAGAGGAGGAACTGAATGGACGAAGCTCTTCGACCTAGGGCTGTGGCTAGGATATGGCGCTCCCGTTGGTATTGCGGACAAACCAGTAGGTAATGATGGACTGCGGACAGTGGGGACATGATGGACTGGCTGACTTTCGAATGCGGTGCAGGTACTTCTTAAGCGGTGCGTGTCCTGTGTGCAGGAATATGTACATGCTGGTGAGTCGTTTCGGGAAGTTGGTGGACAGTTTGATGAATGAGCGTTTGAGGATGTTGGGGCCGAGGCGATTGATGTGGCGGGAGCGGGGAGAGGTGTTCCAGAGGAGCTTCCAACGTTCGGCAGTGGTCTTGCCCTGCAGTTCCTTAAGAGCCGATATGCTGAGGGGGAGGGTGCAATGACGGAGGTAACGTGGCAGGCGGTTGACTGGACTATCGTTGTGGTGACCTTCCGAGGCCAGTTTGGCGTATTTGTCCGCCTCTTCATCATCAGGAAAAACCCCCTTTTCATATTGGGGACAATTAGAGCAGATTGTATCAAACATAATAAATCCTTCATCGTTTTCTCAAATGCGTGCCAAAAAGACCCAATATTCGACAGTCTGAGCCAATGTGCGCATCGAAAAAAAATTCAAATGCATCGGAGAAAATTTTTAGATACATGATGACTAGGGGCCGGTGTTGCCAACTATTTACCTTGCTCCGGCGACTCTAGCGCTTCCCCAATTTTATTCGGGAATACGAGGCTGTCGAATACTAGTACTACAGTCCTAGAAAATACGCTAGAAAAATAGGAAATAAGACACGCTTCGAGATACAAGTATGATTATGAGTGCAGTGGAAGGCACTGTCCCTCTTTTAGGCTTTCGAACCACTCGCGTCTGAGTCAGTCTCGGGGGATTTTTCGGTCGGTCCAAGTCTTTGTCGTGGTTGATGTGCAGGTATTTGTAGTTAGTATTGTGGTGGACCGCACCGAGCCTCAGAATGGTTACGTTTTCCGCGGTTGCTTGGAAAGTATTGGATTTCCAATGACGCACGGTGAACTGAATCTCCACGATGGAACCATTGGTGGTTGGACTTGGTGAGTTCCGAAAGTTCACGGCATTTTCCGGATTTGTATAATTTTTTTTTTGCAAATCGAATCGATCGATCAGTTCTTTCATCATCATCTCGAGTATCATATTTGCGATGGCAGCTAGGGTACAAACTTACAGTTGAGGACTTTTCATGGGCTTTGATGGGTTGCGTGAGTGATTCGCTAGTTTCTCCATGCCAGACAATGACCTCTCCATCTCTATTGACATTGCTTGCTATGAATTGCCGATCTCATGATACAGCCAATCTCGATTCTCGACACCCTGCTGCTATGCCTTCCATCTTCCTCAACACAATACCTGTCTCCAAGTCCCACAGACGAAGCATCCGCCGTCTTCTCGTCTTTTGACCTACTTACCTGATACTGATGGTGCCACAGCGGTGTCCCACTCTCAGGATGTGCGTGATCTCGTCATTTGACCTGCTTACTGACGCTGATGGTGCCGCGGTTGCGTCCCACTCTCAGGAAGTGTGTGATCTTGCCTTTTGACTTGCTTACCCGACGCTGACAGTGCCCTGGCCATGTCCTGCTCTCACATGGTGCGTGATCTCGTCCTTCGAGCTTCTTAGCAGACGCTGACGGTGCCACGGCCATTACTTTCAGGCCCTCTGCTTAGTGTTCCCCCATCTTTCGTGCTCTACCATCAATGTAACTCAGCACTGAGCTTCTGCCATCTATTGTCAACGGATTCATGCGCACGTTGCTTCCGGTGCCCTTCAGTGACCCACGCAGTTCATCTCATCTAGTATGTTCTCGTTGTATTGGTTTTTCTCGCTATTTTACTGACCGTGTATTGCAGTGGCTCCAAGGCCAACGTGGTGTGCGATCTCGAGACGGACGAGGCGTTGATGTTTATTGACATTGACGCAATGCCAGAGTCGGAGGAGTAGTAGGTGACGAGCGCTAGTAGTAAAATTGACTAGGATTCGCCTGAATTTGATTTTTTCGCGATGTTCGAATTGGATCTAATGTGTGATTTATACTTTGGTATTGTAGTAATTAGGGTGAATTGTCTACAATTGGGAGGGGGACTAAAAAAATCAGTCATATCAATCGAATGTATCGAATCCTCAACAATCCGCGAGAATTGTGTCAAATTAGGAATCACCGATTTCCCTGATGATTTCCGTGTACATCGGAGTGTCCTGGTACCCATCGTACCGTTACGTCAAAGTCTTCATGGTCTCGCGCTATGCGGCGCATCATTCTACGAAATTGATCTGCTATATATGATCCAGGACGCGAATAGAAACTCTCACCGGCTTGAATGGAGGCCTGATTGTCAATTAAGATGGAGAGTGGGAACGTGAGGTCACGTTCGGTGGCCAGGAGTCGTGCGGTCCCCTAATGACTGATGGCCCGAGCTCAAGACTTTGATATACACTTGACATACACTTCTCTAGATGAAATGAAGAAATTTCGTTAATGATAGCTTGTTGCGCGAAAGTACAACGTGTCGGTCCATTGTTAGTCTGTCAGGGCGTTCTGGCCTCGATGGTCTTGTCCGAATCCTGACATCCTCACGTCACAGTTCAAGGGTTCTGTTATATCTGGAATACGTTTCGAATTACCGAGTAATTCAGCTTCAAGTTTGCAGGACCGAGACAACCAGAAGACGTCCGGCTGAATGAAACCTTAATGCATAACGATTTATCTAAAACAAAGACACGGGCCGATAGCATAATAGGCTCCTCTCATTACGTTTATAAATTTCAGTCATCATGCTCAAGTCCCATATCTGCACCTCCGTCTCGCAAGTTTCTCGTGACCCGTATCGACCATAGAGCTGCCGGCTCCAATCCACAGGTATCCAGCTTCTCTTACTGTATCTTAACGCTGGAATGCCCGTGTCCTGCGGCAGTACTTACTTCGAAGAAAAACTCTTGACACAGTCGTTTTTGTATGTTTGAGGGAATGAGCGCGAGTAAGTGACGAGACTACACGAACTGCTTCTACAGCTAGTGAAAATCCATGAAACTCATAAGAAGGAAAGTCTACGTTCCGCAAAGGAACCTAGATTTGTGTTGCATTCGGTATTCACATCTGCCAAAAGACGTGCCCATCTTCCCCCGTGTAATGCGTGGACCTCTCGGCATTCTTGTTCGTTCAAGACAACGTTCCACCAAGCTATCCAAGAAGCCACGACAATGTCCGCGAACGAGAACGTGTCTCCCATAATCCACCTGTCCCCGCTCTTTTGATACCACCCATCCACAACGCCGAGGCCCTTCTTCAACGCAGTCCACATTTCCTGTGCCTTCCCTTCAGGAGCCATATCTTCCCAGCGTGTTTCTCTGGCCATCTTTCAACCGCGATTTGATGAATGCTTCCCGGCTAATATCATTCTGTATCTCGAGAGTTCTGGTCATGATAAGCCTGAAGGACTGGCCCCATGACTGTGTTGAGGAACAGGGTCTCGAAGGTCTCTACGAGTACGTGTGTCCCGTGGGGTATAAGCGGTTTGTCAGGGTAGGTCTCGTCGAGGTATTTGGCAATTGCATGGGAGTCGGAGATCGTCACACCAGTGTTGGGATCATTGATGACTGGCACAGTGTACCTTTCCCCAGCTGTTGGAGATGCGCCGATACCTTTCATGGTTGCGGCGATGTCACAGAGCTCCACCCAGATAACTTCATATGGAAGGCCTTTATGACCGAGACAGAATCTGACGCATAGTGTGTGAGCCTATTATCAGGTGTTGCGATATGCCTACAGCACCTCGTCTTTGATGGGTTGGGTGCCCATTGCTTCTTGGGAAGCTTGGACGGTATATCATACAGGATGATGGGTTGCATTGAGAGTAGCTGCAAGTAGCTGTACTTACGATACTGTGATTCTGGTCCCGACACCCTGAATGTTAGTGGGAGGCTCGGCGGCCTCTGTCGAACACGAAAATTCCCGTCACTGAAAAGATTTGAAAAGCTGTGCTAATTTTTCCACAGCTCAATGACGTGTGCTCGCACGCATCGGCTGAAAGGTCGTAACTGAAGCACTCATCGACATCCTTCTTCAAGACGCGCTTATATCAAAACAGCCGGCTTGGCTAAGCATGACAGTCCACTTGTGCAGGCACTGCTGGGTGTCTGCAGGGGTGACGATGGAGGAATTCTCGAGCACATTTGAGGTAATCAACGAGTACATTTTTTTTCAAGGATTGCCGTTCCTCGAAGGGCTTGACGGATCTCTTGATGCTTGTCCGGCCCAAGTTGCCGACGTTCCTGACATCAAGGCACCACTGGGAGGATCGTCCCACCTTGGCATAGGAGGTGCCACGTTCCGTTTTCACCGCACATTGGATATGACTCATCGGCATTCGCGCTTTACAACTTTCGCAAATGAGACACAGGAACAAAATCAATCAGCTACTGTACCAAAGCTATAAGTTATATATAAGCACGGACGCAAGGCAACGCGGTCACGTGCGTGACAATCAGCTTGTCCTTATTTGTGCCATTTGAATTTTGCAACCGGGCATGCATCGATCGAACATCTGGTATCTGATTGGCAACTAGTAACTTCTTTAGCTAGCAAATCCATGAAACTCATGAGACGAAATGACTATGCATATGTTCCTCAAAGGTGCCCAAATCTGTGTTGCACTCAGCATTCAGCATCTGCCAAAAGACGTGTCCATCTTCCCCCATGTAATGCGTGGACCTCTTGGCGTTCTTGTTCGTTCAAAATAGTGTTCCACCAAGCCACCCAAGACGCCACGACAATGTCCGCGAACGAGAATGCATTTCCCATAATCCACCTACCCCCGCTTTTTTGATACCACCCATCCACCACACCAAGGCCCTTCTTCAACGCAGCCCACATTTCCTGTGCCTTCCCTTCAGGAGCCATATCTTCCTAGCGTGTTTCTCTGAACATTTTTAACCGCGATTCGATGAACATTCCCCGGCTAATATCATTCTGTATTTCCAGAGTTCTCACTGCGAGGAGCTTGAAGGACGGTATCATGACCTTGTTGATAAATAGGATCTCGAAGGTCTCTATGAGTACGTGTGTCCCGTGGGGTATAAGCGCTTTGTCAGGGTAGGTCTCGTCCGAGGTATTTGGCAATTGCGTGGGAGTCGGAGACCACTGCACCAGTGTTGGGGTCTTTAATGACTGGCACAGTGTACCTTTCCCCAGCTGTCGGAGACGCGCCGATACCTTTCATGGTTGCGGCAATGTCACAAAACTCCACCCAGACAACTTCATACGGAAGACCTTTATGTCCGAGACAGAATCTGACAAGTATGTGAGTCGGCCATCAGCTTTTGCGATATGCCCACAGCACCTCGTCTTGGATGGGTTGGGTGCCCATTGCTTCTTGGGAAGCTTGCATGGTGTGTCGTACAGGATGATGGGTTGCATTGATAGCGGCTGCACCTAGCTGTACTTGGTATGTGATTCTAGTATTTATAACCTTGTGTCGTCACGAAGCTTCGTGTATCTCAGGTTACCGGTCCATTGACCCATGAAAGCTGTCGTTTTCACACCATTTCATATCGCACGACGTGGCAGTCCTTGACAGTCCTGCTGAACCTTATCCATCACCTTCGCCCATTTCCCATTCCAGGAGCTGATCCTGCCCCACGGCCAATGAGAATATATTTTCCCAGAATTGCTGTTACCACCAGCTTTCAAAGTCGTCCAGCAGTTCAAGGGCTTGTCGGATTTTTGGCGTCAACGCGCCAGGATCGTTTCACCTCTGTATTGTCAGGAGGTCTGTTTTCACCACAGGGAGATCATCCGCGCTCTAAATGCTTTTACGACTTTCGCAAACGAAACACAAAGCCAATCGACTACCGACGCTCTCAAGTACGCCTGTCAAAACTAGGCTGTTCATCTTTTGTGAGTTCCGGATCCATGAGATAGCACGCTTTTTCCTCCTTTCCTGGCTCGAAATACAATGATGTTTGAAGGGTCCGCGGTCTTGCCTCGTTAGTTTGTCTGAGGAGCAAAAACTTGCAAAGGTGCATGAATTTACAATGATTCTCGCGATTCCATCACTGTTACTTACGAAAACTCAGCGCCCTACATTAAGTTCGATGATATTTATTCATGTCAAGCCTTTTACTTCTCTGGTGCCCTCAGTCTGTCTCTTGGACGTGCGCTCAACAACAGCACTCGAATTCGCCACCCTACCCATCACAACGCCCAGAGCTTACAGCCAAAAGCTGCTAGGCAAGTCCGGTAGCATGCTCCAGTAATTAACGCAGTATTCCATGGCATCTCTTCCCTCGCATACAATTGTCCGCACTGTTTGCATCTGATCGAAGCGCTAAAGGGGCCACAACAGTAACGTGATTTGTAGTCCTTCTCTCACCAGATACATCGCGACCCTCAGGTTATGTGTTTCCAGAAACTACTGCTATCGCGCTCTTTTGAATGTTTTGTGTGGCTGCTGGGTATCCTGAGAAGTTCGAACCACATAAACATACCTCTCCACTCGCAGGCGAAAATCTTCTACGATCTTAGATTCTGAGTTCCGGAGAAACATCTAATATGGCTATTTCTTTTACTAGGAAACAGGAAATCCACGAAAATCATAAGGAACGGCCATGTTTCTCAAAGTAGAATCAGTGTTACGCTCGGAGAGTCGGAGTTCACATCCTCCAAACGACGTGCCCATCTTCCGTCATGCAAGGCATGGATCTCCTGAGGTTCTTATTCGTTCAAAACAGCGCTCCACTGAGCCACCGAAGAAACCACGACAATGTCTGCGAATGGGGATATAACCCCCTTCCTCCGCTCTTTAGATACTACCCGTTTGCCCCAAGGCCCTTTTTGAGCACAGCCCAAATGATCTATTGTGTATTTCCTTCGGGAGCTACATCTTCCCTGCTTTTCATTGTTATCACCCAGATGACTTCATGTGGAAGGCCTTTATGGCCAAGGCAGAATCAGCGCAACGGCGTATGTGAGTCGGCGGCCCATCAGGTGTCGCGGAATGTCGTCTTTGATGAGTTGGGCACCCATCTCTTCTCGGGAAGATTGCTTGGTATGTCTACGGTACAGGATAATGAATTATGATAAATGCCAGAATCACGCACCAAGTACTGTTGATACGTGACTCTGGTATTTATCATAACTTTGGGATCTCAAGTTACCGTCATTTCATACTATCACGCGAGGTGACATTCCTGCTGAACCTTATCCAGCACCTTTGCCCATCTTCCTCCGTTCCAAGAGCTGATCCTGGCCCACTCATCCTCCTTCAAGACACGCTTGTACCAAAACAGCCGACTTGCCACGATGATGTCCGCATACGAGAACGTATCTCCCATCACCCACTCCCCGCCACTCTTCGCGCGTAACGTTTCTCCCTTATTGAAACCCTGCTCAAGATATGCCCAATCTCCATCACGTTTCGGACCTTCGGGTGAAAACTCCTCCCACGGAAGTTGTAACCTCTCCGAGCGCGTCCGACGGAAAAACTCCGCGCTTACGGGGTCAGAATCTCCGCAGCGCGCACATATATCAATCTTACGATGGGGTGCGCGTTGTCGAGATATGCAGAATCGAACACGCGAATGAGCATCTCGGAGCCGTACGGGAAGATGGGCTTTGCGGTATATGTTTTCTCGAGATATGCTGCGATCTCGAGGGATTCGTCGATCAGAGCGCCGGTGTTGGGGTCGTTGAGGACGGGGACGGTGTAGATGTCTGAACCGTCGGGTCTCTTTTTGGGCGCCAGGCCGAGACCCTTGAGAACAGTTGCAATATCTGGGTACTCGACCCAGACAGTTTCGAAAGGTAACTCCTTGTAGTTTAAGACGAACCTGGCGCAGGAGGTAAGGAAGTCATCTTTGCACTCAAGACAAGTATGCTAACCTGGGCTTCGATGTATTTGGAGACCAGTAGCTTCCAGGCAATCGGGAGGGGATATCGTATAGAATCAGCGGTTTCATCGTTATCGTCAACTTATCAGCTCCACCTTTGGTATTGTCTCTGTAGTGATTGTAAGTGCTATATTTGGTCATCTACGCTACGCCACAAGCTCAGATCCATCGATATGGTTCATAATAAACTATACCACTGACACGAGCACGTGCGACCGCCAGCGGCTGATTTGCCATGAGTGTCTGGCGGACGACATGTGAATGCTATCTGTCAGAGTGGTACACAACGCTTTTACTTGTCGTAGCCCGTCCGGAAGGTCACGCGCTGACCATACATTATTCAAGAAATGCCCGCGAAGGCATGTTCTACGCGCGGCCCCAAGTGCCTCGATCGATTGTCCCAGAGGAAGATTTATTGTGTGGTACAATGGAGTCCGATTGGGGAGAGGATACAGATTATAATACAGCCTAATATTTAGGCAGGATGTATCTCAAGAAAGATTGTTTGCAGTCATTTCACTACCCACGTGAGATATAATATGGAACTCAGTAAGCACGTTTATGATACAGATATAGGTACAATTCCATCTGGGTTAACCTAGAAGCCGCTCTACGAAAATATAAGCCACCCATCATGTGCAAGTATAAATCACAACATACCGAGCGCTGTTCGCCCTTAGCCTCGAGTTCGGGGTCTTTCGTAAGTTTGCCAGCCATCTTCTCCGCTCCGCCTACGTACGAATATGAATATCATTGAAAAAGTCAGATGAATAAAGACCAACCCCTCAATTTGGAGGTCATGGAAGACAACTTGCTCGTTGGACCGCGACCGGTACCAGCGCCAGCGCCCTGACCACTGCCAATGCCAGAGTCATCATATTCATCATTGTCGCGCTCATACCCGCGGCTACGGCCATCACCGCCGCCACTCTGACCATAGGCACTGTCGGGAATTTGGCCAACTCCAGGGATACTCATGTCCTGACCGCCCTGAACGTCCTGACCGCCGCGATTACCAGCCATTCCAGGGTCTGTGTCGCAGTATTCGTCATCTCTATCTGAGCTCTGCTGACCTTGTCGACCGACGCGGCTTTCATTTCCTGTGTATCCACCAGCTTGGCCAGTCCCGCTGCCTCCGTATGATTCTGAAAGTGTGGAGTCTCCCCCTGGGACGGTGCGTTGATCATCGCCAGTGGGGTCATAGTTTGAGTCGTCGTTAAAGTTCCCTGATCATAAAGATGGTAAGTCAGTCTGGGATTTGTAAACAGTTTCGACCAACGTACGACGTGAACCTTGGTTTCCTTGATCGTAAGACATTGATTGTGTGTTGTAGTTAAGAAGATAAGAAAAAGTACGTCGATGGGGCTTTATATACGATAAATCGATGATGTAGCGATGACGAAGGGGGTTGGCGCTGTTGACGTATAGTTGGCTAATTGAGGAGCGAGCGTGGAATCTTGTCAATGTGGACCGTTCCAAGAGACCGAATGGAGCCTCTCGCAGCACCCGCAAGGCTCGGCATTGCATGACGACAAGGACGGTGAAACCCCTAATTAGCGTCATCCACAGTCACGGGTGTATGTCTAAGAAAAAATAAATGACATCATCATACCGCTACAGGCTCCGCTTTGCTGTGTGCATCCTTTCCGTTCACAGCCGCTAGCGCTTACTGCTTCTGGAGCTGTTTGTATTACAGTAGACCGTGATTCTGATGGGCCAAATAGACGAATCCAGAGTGAAGCGACGAACGAGAACATAAAAAACGCGAAGCAGTATGAGTACCAAAGACAATGAAAGAAGGATACAGAATAGTAGCATCCATAGGAAATACATATCGAGTTTGAACGTGAGCCATGGCTGGCATATCAGGTGGCGACAAAGTGAGTGTGATGGGGCATGTGTGATAATGAGCCTCCAGTGGCTTGCAAATGCTGAACTCTCTTGCAGACCATAGCGTGAGAGATGGCCCTGCATGTACGGAGACCCCTTGCAACGGTGGACTCGGGTATGACGAGCCGATGGTGCGTGGTACAGCAACGGAAGCGCTGCACGTTGCCGCCGTTGACATTGTTCGCTGGTTTCGTGTCAGCGCGACATACCCCTGTTGTTTCCGCATCCAGTAAGTAAAAAAAGCATAAAGATAAAACGGAAGCTTGCCTCGGGGCTGCGCACATAGGATGCCTTAACGACACCAAGGTGGGTATCGTTGGAGCCGATCTGGTGGAAATAGGCTCCTCCCTCACGTGTGCATTAGCCGTCTCCAGAAGCTTCTATTCTCTTCGCTGCGAAGCTCGGCATGGGGAGCAAGATCATAGGGAGGTGGGCTTTGCATTAGCCGTCTCCAGAAGTTTCTATGCTCTTCACTGTGGAGCTCAGCATGAGGAGCGGGATCATAAGGAGGTGGGCTTTGCACTTCGACAAGAGATCCCTTCCGTTGCTTGCCTCCACGTTTGCTTGTGCCCGGCTGAGTATTCACAGAAGGCTGGCGTTGAGATGACAATATGAGAGAGCAGGAGAAAAACTTACATCCTCCTCCTTTTCATCTTCCTCCGAGTCGTTTTCTTCGGCTGGTCGAACCTTCCATGCTGTTGTTAATTGAGTGGGTATGATGGCCACGGGCGAATTTGAGCGAGTACGACGAGCAAAGAAACCACGGTTAGAGCATTCTCGTGAAACAGATTCATCTGCAGGCCGACGGTGCCGTGAGATGACGTTCCACAAGCGGCGAATGAAGGACAGGTGGGGAATATTGGGGCCAGGCGATTCCGACGGAAGAGATTTCTGGGAATAGTACTACAAGTAATACTTAGCGTGAGTACTAGTGCCATTGCATGATAAACATAAAGTTTACCCAGAGACATGAGTCATATAAATCGTTGTGTTCCTCGTCAGTGACGCGATTACCCCAAGATGTCCTTGTAGTTGCTAGAAGCTGAGGAGCTATGTCGTTGACAATCCACATGACGAGTGTCTTGTCGTGTCCGCCACATGCTAGGTATCTCCCGTCTTGAGAGAACGATGCACAGCGGAGGATTTGGCGATTATGGTTAAATGGCTGTCCAAGTAAATGGTAGGACTCTGTGTCCCATAATTGTGCGATACCTTGATCGCCCACACACACCAGGACATTGCATGCGGGTGAAAGTGCGATGGAATACAAGACATCGTCATGCTGGAAACAATGGAGCAGTGCGCCTGAGGTGCTGTCGAAGACACGTGCTAATTTGTCGGACGCGGAATATAGCTTTGTACTGTCCGACGACCACACCACTGACGTCACTTCATAACCCAAGCCTTGGATGAGCCCGAGAGCAAGCTGGCCGGTCTTGCTGTCCCATATGCAAATTGTTGTATTCCACCCGCCTGATGCTATTCTGTTGCCAGAAGGTGAATACGCAAGAGCACACACCCGGTACTGCTTCGTCTTGATTGGGCCAAACTCCACTATTCCACTTGTCGCGTTTCGAATGAGGATTGTTCCGTCATCGGACCCGCTGGCAATATGACCTCCATTGGGGGACCATGACAGCGACCGCACCCAGTCGCTATGACCCCTCCGAGCACCTTCAAGCACCATCTTTCCATCTGTATTCCATCGCTGAACGCTTCCATCTGCCCTCCCGCACGCAATTGTCTTGCCGTCCGGTGATAATGCCAGTGTATATATGCTTCCGCCCACCCCACTCCATGGTTTCCCAACAAGGAGTCCTGTGTCGTAGTTCCACTTGCGCATCGTGCCGTCCTCTGAACCAGTCACGATGTGGATGTTATCGTGCAAGAAGACAAAATCTCGAATAGTTCTCGCATGGCCCTCAAAGTTGTGCTTCGGAAGTGGTCCTTTGGCTTGCATCGTGGTTGAAGGAAGTTCCTCACAGGTCTGCTTTGCAATGGATCTGGCGGCCATAGCTTAATTATCATATGGTGCTTGGTGTATCGATCTTAGTAACATGGTCCATGATCAATTATCGGGATGTCAGTAAACAGTTGATCAGTAGTTACTACTCACCAAGTACTTGTCTGTAGTCTCTCGCCTAGCGGCCTCTGGCGGTAAGCTGGCAAGGTTGATTTATTGTTTTATGTTGGAGGTTGGTCATAGGATGATAGATTACATCATCACGATTGATCGGGCGCTGGCTGTGCTTCTGAAACACGGGTGCATTCCCAGGCCAACGTTAACGTTCATCCATCGGATCTAGGTAAACTAATAACTCACCATATTTCAGCCTGTTTCACCGCGTATTCTCTAGTGGATTATATGTATATGATGACTTTCAACCCGGCGCCCATTTATTTTTTGCTTTGGAGTCCACGTCGCTCCGTTTATTTGTGTTCCAACATAAATTCGCTGCTCAGCGCTGCCCCAGCCATTCGCGAACTCATCTTCCCGAGGATGAGCGATCGTGCCAAACACACCAACAGGACGAGATAGTTCAGCATACTTTTGGCAAAGAGACATGGAAGTGCAAATGTCAGCATGACGTGTCTAGGAACGGGTGCCCTCAAGTTTAACCAAACATTGTCATAATCGTCTTCCATGTCTACGTGGATATGATAACCCTCTTCTAATTAGATCATAACCATCAACCAGAGGATACTCTTCGTCAGGGAAGTGATGGGACGCTCGTTCAAGCGCCATTGCTGCAAGGCTTCTTTTCATATTACCGACTGAACCAAGCAAGTTCTGGAACTTTGGGTGTTGCAATTTATGTTGATTACTGATGGCCAGATGCCCGCAGGAAACACCCGTGTAATAACGAATTCTCTGGTCATATCACGTTGACAACGCCCTGTTCCATGCAACCTATACTCCGAGTCGGGTCGCTGCTCAGATAATGTGGCAGGTTCGAAACTCATTGCCCCACCCATCGTGATCTGCCACGGGATGTTGTTCGAGGTTTGTGACTGGTGGATAACAAGCAATATCCGTTCTACTCGAAGCGCCAGATAATCTTCGCATCACGCTTCCGTGGCATCCGCTCCCCCACGGACGGGATCTCATATCCGCTGAACGCTCGGACAAGCCTAGTGGGTTCTTGGTACGCACTGCCTGAGAGGATTGGTAACTACACTGCAGGATGAAAAGCGTCACTCCCCGGGGCCCGCTAACAATGCCTGCGTTTCTGATGAAGCTCAAAGACAGTCGAATCTGTGCCACGGTTGTATTCACAAGCACAAATTTTGGTAACTACAGAGCCATCTCTGAATCCAACTAGATTTGTATGAGATACCTATTCTCAATTTTGACTGATGATCGTCTAGTAAAAGGACCAATCAATTTGATTATCTTGTTATTTGAGTTGAACTACAAAAAAAAATCGTGTTCAGAACGCTTTAATAGACAATTATTGTCGTATGTCTCAACGAGACGAGGACATCACCGTCGAATCGGTGTCGATGAAGTTTGGAGTAATTGAAAATAACTACGAAGACTGCGCAGACGGGATGGTCCTGCCTCTGGCTGTGACTGACTAGCTACCGTTTCAATTCTATTTCTTGTTGCGGGGCAGATTGGATGCTATCAAACTACATCAGGTTTCTCATGTGACAAATGGATGAAATGATTTACCGGATAGTAGGTATACTCGGCTGTGCTACAGAGGCGATACTTCTTTCGATTCTCTGTTGTGCACTGAGGGCAGTCAGAGACCGAGAGGAGAATGTGGGCAACATACCTGTTGTTGAATTGACAATTTATGGTCAAGGTGCGTTGCTTGTGCGACGTGTCTATAGTTGGTCTACAGCAATCAGCTCATTGCATGATAAGTAGTAGCCTTATTCGCGATCACATGATCATAGGCCTGTGGATCCGACCGCGATGCAACATCGCAATCCTCCACCGAGCAAACTATTAGACTCGTAACCAGTCTGGACTACGTCTTTGAGATGTTAAGTGTTTGTCACTCGACTTGTCTGTGGTATTAGTAAGCCAGGCTGGTCACGAGCCTAGCAAACTATGCGTCTTCGACTCCTTCCACTGACATTATATCAATCGACCATTTGAACCCGCCACCACTGAATCCGGGATCTATTCAGTACCTCCACTTTCAGAGCACACGACTCTGAATTCTATCTCATAGTTAATCCACTCCGAGTCCTTCCCAATTTTCAGAATGTGACAAAGTCACGCTAACGGACCTCAGCGATGTCTTACACGTTTCTTGGTGCCCGCAGTTGAAGGCAGGCTAGCTTTCAATTGGAGATATATATATGTCAATGTACACGGATCGGCGTTGACGTTGAAGAACTAAGGAAGGCTACGATGACTGAAACTTTGACCCATATCTTCCTTATCAGTCACTGCGGAAACGACAAAATAAACGGATCCGCATAGAGTCCGAATATAGCCTGTAAATACACACAAAGCATAGAATGCAAATCGAGGCAAAGTACACCAATGCAGATACAGAAAGGTTCAGTTTTGACATGCAAAACCGACTGTGAAACGATGAGATTTCCAGACGCGGGTTTGTTGCCTGCGTGTTAAGCAGACCTCAGTTTTAATATTGATTTAAATGATTTGCACATCAGATTATGGTTGGGTTTTCAACTGAAAGCAGATCTGATTTTGATGTACATACAAACAAGGTGATGTATACGATGACGGCCGGCTACTAGGTATCCTCCACATCCTCCAGGCTTTCCCTCGTCACTCTCCCTGTACGATGTACAACAAGCAATGATCCTGCCATGTCAACTGTATGCAAATGAGCCTGGAGCATATACAACAAGATATGACAGGAGCTTACCTGTAAACTGAGGCGGTGGCATCGCAGCCCCAGCCGTCGTGAGAGGTAAAGTTGGTCAACCTTCGTACGACGCGGCATGCTACGATCTGGAAGTGGATGTTAGCATACACTCAAAAGACTGCATTTGTGCAAACCGTTGATGCGATAGCAGCAGGGACATTCGCAATGATCGACAGGACTGCATTCAAGTTGACGAGCATGAAGATCGTCGCCATCAAGTTTGCCAAAAATCTGGGGTAATGATTGAATAAATGAATGGGCAGCACACAGTGAACGTACGCAATAGCAAAGTAGATCAGACCGTCTCCATTTAACCTCACATCAGCTGGGTGGGAGCGGACTCAGCGGAGATGGTTGTGGTTGCAAGTCAAGAAGGGAAACAGCGACTTCGAGAGACTTGGGAGAATTTTATCAAACTTAGCTGATACTAGTAATAAAACTTTCCCGAGGTATGGATAGGTGGGTTGACGAGTCAGAAAAGACTCTGCTTATGGTACTTGCCCTAAGCCTTGCGGGAAAGAACGAATATCCCGCTAGACTTAGGATGGGGTTAGGCAGTATTTGCAAGGCGTAGATATTGGTCTGGAAATTTGATAAGGTCAAGTCGGAAAATGCTCTGCTTACATTTGTGGCCTTCCCAGGATCTCTCAAAATTTGCGGCACGTCGACTTTGGGTGGGGTTTACTGTATGACGCGGGTTTGGGTACGATTATACAAGTTATCTGTCTCGGAATAGGGTAGGACTATTTTCTCATTTCCGCAGTGAGTGTAGATCACTTAGTAATTTGATGGTGCCGATGACGAGCTTGCCGGTCTTAGTGCTCCAAATGCAATTTGGTTTGTTCCACCTGCCCGATACAATTTTCACTCTAGAACGTTTGTATGCTAGACTCCACGCATAATCTGCTCCGTATTGATTGGACCTACCAAGCTTTTCCGCCTTCTGCTTTCAAATGAGGACTGTTCCACCCGACCCACTGGAAATATGGCTTCCAAATGCAGGAAGGCAGGATACGAAATAAATCGGCATTGCGTTATCGTGTGTACATACGTAGGCACTTCAGGCTTGAAATTTTATCGACGTTTGATGAATTTAGGCTGTGGGTACCCTGCAATTGTTATACATCATGTTGTGATACGTAACAATGAAAAGTATCAGAAATCAGACAAATCACTGGAAAGGACGATGCAATGAAAGAAGAGTAACTGAGCGGCATGAGACATTCAGGTGATGTACCTTGTTGGATAAATGGCAGTCGGGTCATTACAATACAGGTGTGCATCATTATCCTGCGAAAATAGGCTGGAAGCAAACATGCAGAAAACGGATGATTCTATGACAAGTTGATGGTCAGTAACAACCCACAAGGTAGAAAATGATTGAGGAATATCTACGGATGTGCGCATGCTCGGTTGCATGCACAACGAACCTGTGAAGTGAATACGGAGATAGCATGGCATATGCACCTTAGTGGTCAATTTGACCGAATACTGGCTGAACGCTCGTCTGCTGGAGGTTAATCACTATCTGGGATCCTCATATGACGAAGAACGCACCAGTGAGCAATTCTTCAATACATAATCAGAAGCCGTCCTGTGCATCACGATTAAATCTCTCGCAAGCAATCCATCATGCGATTCTATTGACAATATTGAGATAAAAGTAGAAGGTGAAGAAGACCTGCTCTAACCAACAGAAGATTTCAGCAAGCTGCTCTCGCGTACAGTCCAGGATCTTCTTTAGTAGAGTCCCAAGCACCTGCCTGGATGAGAGCACGTCGTTATATGCTCGCTTGATGGCTCGCGAAGACTATAGGACCTGGAAAGTGGAACGCAGACTGCAGGCATTCAAACGGTAAGAACGAGGACTGGCCTACTAGTGGGGTTGAGATGAGATAGGGTCAATGTCCTGTCCATTTGGCGCTGACGCAAAGTCATCGCAAAATGGACAGGACAAAGCTTAATCTAACGGAGACAGCGTAGTGCATTGAGTTAGTTGTGAGCAGATCCTGAAACGGACAGTAAGAGTTGGAATAGCAGGGCATCAGGATGTGCACGCACCCGACGCTACTTCAACCGTTATGGAATAACGACGCCTGCGCCCCAACTCCCCGACACCGCATTGAATTGATTTTGTTTTGCCTCGTGCGATCTGCTCAAGATATGGGTCAGTAATTGAGCGCGTGTCAGTCGGGGAAAGTCGACATGAAAGTATGAACCGTGGAAAAAAAATGCACGTGTAGCTTTGCACATTTCGGTGATGGGAATTTTTGTGTTCGACAGAGACCTCTTCCCACTCAGTACATAATGTTGGGTGTCAGGGAATCACGTCGTCTGGTTCATCGTGCAAAGTTCGTGCCTGGAAATTGATGGTTCAATGGGTGAGATTTGCAGTCCTAAGAGGTGATGGCGTTCATGAAATATTTATTCTAGGAAGAAGTGTATGTAGTAATCAGAATGAAGTACCAGACGACTCGAGGTACCGTGACAATGTGGTTGCCGACATTTAGACTGCAAATACGAGCCACTTGATAAGTTAGTCATGACCCAGGCCGGCCGCGTGTTTAGACTCACCCAGTGCGGCTACGTATGGTATCTTCAAATATTACGGCAATTCAGTTTTGTGCTATGGTGGCGTATCGGAGGTTTCACAAGTCGGAGCCTAGCTAATTTGAAGGTTAGTACTCGAGGTGGTGGCATTTCTGGTTCAATGGGTCTGATTGCTATCATGCTTCTGCCATCAAGGTTTGTGGCTTAGAACGAGCAGATCGATTCCTTGACAGATACTGCAGACAACGAAGTGAAAGGGCGCTTAGGAGTTGTCTCCCGACTAGAAGAGTTACTGGCTTGTATCAAATGTTGAGCCGGAAGCTCCAGGTCAGTGGTAACCCTACCTGCAGTACTTGACATGGCAAGTAAGGCCGGTCTCACAAGTGAGTGATTGAAACTCTAAGTTGTTACATTTTTGGATCGGAATACAGTCGTCACAGATTCCCAGTTCGAATGGATAAGCGCATTAGCCTTACTCGTCAAATACTGTCTAGCATCCTTGTTTCAGAACATCTCCGTTCCATGCAAGATGTCGTTAACCTCTGAGTTACCATTTTCAGGAGTCAAACAACCTTTATAAGGCGAACTAACATGTCTTTGGCTCGACCATAATCCCTCCCCATGCTCTCCACTCATATCCTCGCTTTAGGGATATCAGGCATTATTGCTCTGGTTGTCGCTTCGGGTCTGACTCGCAGACGTGTCTACCCATTACCTCTGCCGCCTGGCCCTCGTCCGTTACCATTTTTGGGTAACGCGCTGCAATTGGATACTAAACGACCTTGGCTCACGTATACTGCGTGGGGAAAGACATATGGTTAGTAGCAGACCAATGGCCTCTATTCCAAGCTCTTGGGTTCAATTCATACCTGATGACAGGAAAAATCATTCGCTCCCGCGTACTTGGGACCGACTTGATCATCATAAACTCCGAAACCATCGCGCGGGAGTTGCTGGATAAGCGTTCTGCGAATTACTCTACTCGCCCCAATATTCGCACCAACGAATTGTATGCATTGCCGGTTTTCATTCAATTTGCTCTTTATCTCCTGACGATGCAGATCTGGACTGGGTTTCAATACTGTATTCCTTCCATATGGCGAAACTTTACGGCAACATCGCAAGATCTTCCATCAAGTCCTCAGGCCTGAAGCCTCGATCTCATACCACGAGATATACTCTCGTCATGCAAATGAACTAATCATCAATCTCCTGAGTGCCACTAGTGACCTACTACAAAAACACACTCAAGTGTTCGTACCTAATTCAGTGGTGTCTTTGTGACGTATGGTCCAGTTGACAATCAATCCTTGTGACAGATACACGGCATCCTTAATCATGGACGTGACATACGGACACCTGCCTCATGGACATAAAGACCAATTTATTACCGACGCGCACGAACTCCTCAAGATTGCCGAACATATTATTTCTCCCGAGAAGTCTGCCATATTCACAGCCTTTCCTTTCCGTGAGTACCTCTGTCGACGACATGATTTTGAACATTCAGAATGAGGTTGCAGTCGAAAAGTTACCGTCTTGGTGCTTTAGTGGAGCATTTGCCCTGATGGGACGCAGTAGAGAATTATGTCAACAGCTTTTGAACGGACCCTTCGACGAAGTGAAGGCACAGATGGTACGTTTGCGCAGAGTTGTGAATGGAAATTTCGCCTGATCTGTTTGCGTGAAGGCAAATGGTACTGCTTCGCACTCATTAGTCGCTGACTTTCTCAGCCAAGCTCACGACGACGCTGACGAAGACGCGATGAAGGCTGTTGCGTTGACGGGATACGCCGGTAAGAGCATTTTTTTACCAGGACAATCCATCCATTGACGCGAATACGGCATCTTAGCTGGCATAGACGCCGTGAGTCGCTACTTAAGCAATCCTGATTCTTACTCTGATGTCCTGCAGACCACATCCTCATTGCAGGCATTCCTGCTGGCTATGGTGCTTTATCCTGACATTCAAGCCCGGGCTCGTGCAGAAATTGATCAAGTTGTGAGGCATGATAAAATGCCCTGCCTTGATGATAGGGCGTCACTGCCCTACCTTGATGCCATTCTCCGCGAGATCCTGAGGTGGTATCCTATCGTCCCCCTAGGTTGATCGGCAGTAATATACCTTTGTGTCTGCTGACCCCTTACACAGGAGCTCCACATGCGACATCAAATGATGATGTTTACGACGGATACTTTATACCCAAAGGTTCGAAGTCGTATGAGTCGAGGTTGCCGTTGACTCATCTGTAGCTCGATCAGGTGCAGCAGTAGTGGTTAATCAGTGGTATGTCACGGTGGAATGGATATAACGGCTTGAGCTGAGCATCGTTCAGGGCATTGTCTCGGGATGAAGACATTTTTCCCGATGCATCACGCTTCGATCCTAGTCGCCATCTAACAGTTGATGGGAAGCTGAAAGATCCTCTCGTCAGCCGTTTTGCCTTTGGTCATGGGAGGTGAATATTCCACGCTTGCTATTATTTCCAATTATTCACTGACCCTTGCAGGCGTATTTGTCCCGGTAGGCTGATTCATGATTGATCTGGCAGTGTTGAGGATGACAAATGCCCTTGGCAGGTCGTTGGTTTGGAGAGTACGGTCTGTGGACTGCGGCTGCTGGCATACTCGCCGTCTTGCGCATCGATCATGCCAAAGACTCAAACGGAGACAGGATTGAGGTGAAGCCGGAGTTCACCTCTGGCTCGGTGATGTAAGTGACCTAGTATGTACCCCAAGAACTTGCGGCTGACTCTGCCGAAGTCACCCTGAACCGTTTCGCTGTTCGTTTGTAAGCGTGAACACAGCGAGAGAAGAACATCTTCGAGCGATGATGAATTCGAAGTAGAAGTCGTTTGTACTTGTGGCTGTCACTGTATAATAGCACATGGTCGTACAATGGTAGAGCGCACTGCATGACTGACTCGCCCATACTTATTGCTCTTGTTAAATATACTTTGGAGCACCAAATCAATACTATGACAAATTTCAAGCTATGTATTCCTCAGGCGGCCGCCCCTGGCAGAGTATCCAACAAGCCTTAATTGCTCGGATCATTTCCAGTGCTACACACGGCCGCCCTCCTGGAAAACGATTGAGGGCATGTCGATTCCTGCATCGGAGTCGGTGATGAGCTTAGCGTTGAAGTCTCGAACGCTAAGGATGAGGCGTGGTCTCTGGCAGCACAAACATCTGTGCGATTGAGACAAATTCCACGATTCCAGCAGACGTCAGCTCTCACCGAAGATGAGTAGGTAAACATGCAACTGTTACTGAGCTGACTCTGAACAAAGGTAAAATGAACGAACAAAAAATACGTACAACACGCCCATAAGATGTTGATAAGTCAAGGGAGGCACAATTGGCGCACGTGGGTCCTTTGCCGACACTGGATGGGGAGTAAGTAACTTGCGCGGGAGAGGTACATGCGAAATCAAGATGATTACTACCACAAAAGTATCAGGATAATATATACAACAGCTTGATGTACACAGGGAGGGTAGAGAGTCCATGATCAACGACTCGTAAAACTAAAGCAGACGACAGCAATACGACACGGTAGAACTACACACCAATATGAATGAAAACCATCCTCTGCTCGAGCGGAACCTTCGTCTTCACGGCGTGTGTAGCGCGGTTGAGTGCCCAGGCCGCCTTCGTGCAGTCCATGACATCACCGTCCTCCAAATCCTTGAACATATTCTCGTAGAAGGCTTCGACAACGTGTCTTGCCACAGCGTCGTCGACCTCCCACAGCGTGCCAATGACGCTCTTAAACCCTGAAAATTGCAGTCCAGCCGCGAGGTGAATGACCTCGTCGGGAGTCTCCTCATCACCGACGGCGGTATGACACGCTGATAAGAACGCGAACTCGGCGTGAGGAATATCTTTCTCCATAATATCAAGCAGCGTCAGAGGTTCGTCTTTCATGGCGAAACGTGAGTTGTAAGGCTGCTCGTGGTCCTGCTTTCCATGACAGGCAAGGTGCACCCAGTTGTTCTCTTGCAATGCTTGGAGTGCACCTGCTCGTGTGGCTGCATCGCCAGAAACAGTGGTACGGCTGACCGTCGCAGGGACGAGTTTCCGGACAAGCTCGAGCTCGCTGTCGACGGCCAAGAGCTCCTTGCTTTTCCCTGCACGCGGTTGGCCCTGTCCGATCGCCACGAAGGACGGAGGGACACGCTTCTTCATCATCTGTCTAGATCTGACCAAAGCCGAAAGTGTCGGCGTGTAAGAACAAATGTAGAGATCCTCCAGGCATGGCTCCTTCGAGCGATCTGCCTTTGTTTGAAAGGGGTGAGCTGCGTGGAGAGAAATGGACGTGAAAGCGGCCGTTGGACATAGCCAGATTCGAGATTGGTGCTTTAATTTCAGGTCATGCTGGAGGACGTTGACGATGGGTAGCATGATCCCGTCCCATACAGCCCGCAAGAGGACTATTAGATCATTCCGTGGAACCTTTGGGCCCATAATAGATGCGTGTCGTATTGCCCTGGCGAAACGATCCTTAAGATTCTTCAGATCTGTAAGAGTGATAGATGGCAAGGGAACATGATGGGGGTCTCCTGACGTCGGGACGATGATGGCGCTGCACGAGTATTCACTCGCGATGAGTATGATGACTGGGCCATGACGCGCTGCTGCTTGCAAGTCTTCATACAAAGGGGGGAGCAGAAACTGCGAGAAACCTTTAAGATCGCGGATTTCAGCTACCACAGCTCCCCACTGCTCCGTAAGTTTCCTGTATTGTGTTTCTGCCTGGTCAGCAGCAGTTCCATCTGTGCTGACTGTGGAACTTTGAGCCTCGGACAGACATTTACTCAGCTCCGAAAATCTCCGAGCTAGATTCGCATTTTCCGACTCGAGATCTTCCACTGGAGTCTTGAGACGAGAGGCCAGCGACCACTGCTGACCACGACCCTGCTCCAGGAGTTCAACTGCTCGTCGCAGATCATCACGACGTATCGCACATGAGGCTGCATCTACTGGCAGTGATTGGGCGCCGCGAAAAGCGGTTGCAGCCTCGCGCCGTGAGATGATTGATGATCGCATCATCACATGGTTGTCGAAAAGATCCAAGCACGTCTGGTATGCTTCTAGGGCAGATTCATGTTGATAGAGTTCTGATTTGCGAACCCAGTTAATAGCCTCCCCAATGCGCTCAGGAAATCCTTGAGTAAGGTGTCTTGATCCCAGTCTAAAATTCTCTACAGCGAGTGACAAATCAGCAGACTTGCGTTGCACTCTGTAACGAGACAAATAGGCTTCCTGCAACCCCCTGTAGCTCAAACATCTACCCGGGTGCAATGAAGACAAAGCCTCCAATGATTCTTGACACAGTCGAATGGCCTCCTCGATATCTTCATCTTTCAGAGTTTGCCTGAAACGAGAGGAGAGCGCTGAACTCAAATTGTTAAGAGTTGTATAGCGCAGTGGATGGTCAAGCTGTGTTGACTGAAGTGAATCCCGGTACAGGTCAATGGCCTCGTTGAGATCTTCGCTGAGATCTTCGCTGACGTCCAATTCGTCATATCTGATTTGGAGTGCGGTAGCGAGGTTGTTAAGCGTGTAATCACGATATGGATTCCCAGGGGGGCGCAACGTCAGTGCCTCGCGATGGAGGCTGATGGATCTGTTGATGTCATGGACATCATTGCGTTGATTGAAACGGGTGAAGAGGGCGGCTCCTAGGTTGTCCAATGAGATATGACGAAAATCGTGCCCAACAGGGCACAGGCGCAGAACTTTTTCGTACAAAGAGATTACTTCGTTGAGGTCATGATGTTTGCCTAGTTTATTGAAGCGGGTCAAGAGTGACGTGGCCAAGTTATTCAGGTAGGTATTATATTTTGAATGTCCCTCGGAGCACAGAGAAACGGCTTCACGACCACATTGCATGCACTCGTCTAGATCATCAATGCTGCCACATTGTTCAAAGCGTGATCTGAGAGTCTCTGCAAGATTTTCGAGTGCTTCTGGATAGTGTTCATTGCCCGGAGGACAGAGCTCGAGAACGACTCGTCGAAGGTGGATGCCTTCATCGGATGCGTCTATTGGAAGATTGTTGCATCCGTAGATCACATAATTGACGCCATATGGCCCTACCATGATACTACGAAGGTAGGTGCCCTCTGGACAGAGGGGCATTAGCTTGCAGCACAGTCGCGCGGATTCGTGGATATAGACAGCAGTGAAGTTCTCCTTGCTGTAGCGCCAGCCCAGCGCGTGGGCGAGGTGATAGACAGACAATGGATGATCGGGGTGGCCCTGCGGACGCAATGCAAGGGCTTCGCGGAAGAGAGAAGTGATAGAGACAATGTCTTGACGATCGTTTTCAGTGTAGTCTTTTAGGCGTGTTGAGGCGAGGTTGGTAAGAGCCGCTGCGCGATCAGGATGGTCGACCGGACATCGGTCCAGAACCAACTGAAAATGCTGTACGGCATCATTCAGGTGAGTGACCGTCTTGCTTGTCATGTATTTGGCAAATCGTTCATGGCCCACATCCGTCTCTCGAGCAATCTCACATTCAACGATGGACTACAGCAGGTGTTCCGTCAACAAATGCTAACAATACAGAGGCTGATGTCACTCACGTCGAGCAGTGCGCTGTCATCATTGTCGCAAGGATGTAGAACAGCGACCTTCAGCGTGAGGGAAGGGTGAAGATCACAAACGGGCGGGAAGGAGATGTCTACGAGATGTGACTATATGCGCATGAGTGAGAAGGAAGTTACTCACCAATAGGCTCATCTCCGCGATCAAGTAGCTCATCCCATGATATTTCTAATTTTGCAACGACTTCCCCATTGCCTAGCATTCGACCGAGCTCGTAGGATACCCTGATCTCCACCGATAATTCAGGTACCTCACATAATGATCTACAAACGGATGATCAGTACTCAAATCGCATCTGAAAGTTGTTATGGAGTTTACAAAATCACAATATCGCCCAATGTTTCGGATTTGTCGGATGATACCACTCGGACGGCTGACTTCCAGTGCCTCTTCGAATCGACATTAATGGCCACGTAGAAGCCCGCAGGTATGCGCTCGGAAGGGAGTGGAAGATCGTTTATCTTGATGACTGTAGATAAGGCGCGAGAATGAGGCCTGAAACGAATAAGGTGATATGGGACCCACGTTCAAGCCTGATATATCGGCCTTCTGAGCTACCGGGCATGATGGTGCGATGAAGGAAAACGACAAGGAACGAGGATGGGCTGTGTGGTGAACAGAATGAGTGGTGGGAGAAGACGGGAGGGGACCGTGAGTTCAGGTGGGAGAAGAGAAGTTGAGTCAGATGATGCTGCGCGTATATTTCTATGTTGTCGATGGCAGTGCAGCGTTGCGCACGATATGTGTAAGTCTCATGCCGTCCTGTAACGCAGACACAGACATAGCACTCAGTAGCACAAGGGTGAGGCAAAATGCTAAGCTGAGCGCGAACTTTGATTCGACTTGTTTAAACCAATTAAAACTCGATGTATTTCATAGTGTAAACAATAGAAACGACGCGCATTAAAAAGCCGATCTGTTCCAAATGACCAAGGGGAAGGATGATCGAGCTAGGAACAAAGGTAACAGTTCGCATGACAGGTGGATTGCAAGAGCTGCACGGCGAGACGTGCCAGCACTCGTCAATTTGAGATGAGGTGAAGGTCATGTTGACTTGGGCTCTCGTTAGCATACGGAATCATGAACTTCCAACGAACCTGTAGGTGAGGCCAATAAGTGAAGCAGAAAAGAATATTCACTGCTGAAATCAATGAGATGAAGTAGAAAAGACAATTTCAAATTACCGTTTTCAAAACAGTTGGCACAAATGAGTGACAGCGGCTGTGTAGCTTTATTTGGCAAATGCCAAAGACCTTTGATCCAAACAACCGCTTTCTGCCGCCGGACAATGATAAAGTGTTTGGTCGAGGCTTCCTGTCTTCCACCCACCAGCTCAACGTATACGACTTCCACTGAGATGTTGAACCGATTTCTAGAACTACGGGCGTCTGTACAGTCTGTTTATCTGCTCCAATTACTGACGCCCAAAAGTCCACAGAAATAACGTCAATGCTCCTTCGTAATGGAGTGCAAACAAATGAACCTGATATGTCATCATGATGCTGACAAGGTCCTGCCCTGCATAACATACGGCAAACGTTTATACTAAATTCCTTGCTGGAGTCCACGCCTGGCCATGAAGCACGTTCGATACTCTTTGGCCCATCTACTGTCTGTGCATGTAAGTACTCCCCCAAAGCAAATCCTGAAAACCATGCTTCGTTCGAACTTTTGGAATCACACACACAACACTCCGCGTTTATACTCTTCACTCTGTTTTACCTAACGAAGTCAAGCATACCTGGAGATCTTGCCTCAAATGTTTCCTTGTACTTATGCCTCGGCGACAATTTCAAGCCAAGGCCACCCACAGAAGTACTCCTTCGCGCATTAACGGTAGCGAGAAATTCTATAAACTCGAGATCGTCGACCGTGGAGCGTGCTTCATTTGCGCTGTAGGCTGCGTTATCGTGCTTGTGGACTTTTCAGGCTTCATTATCTACGTTTGATGAATTCAGGTTGCGAGCACCCTGCGCGAAGACTGACAATGAATAAGTACCAAAGATGTACAACAGGAAAGGGCGATGCAATGAAACAAGAGTAACTGAGCGACAACCTGTCAGTCGCTTGGGTTTCTAGATGACTCATAGCTCTTTCAAAATGATGCTTTCAGCTAAGACAAATATTACCATTCCCGTACATAAGACGACACTAAGCTGGGCATGAGATATATAATCCATATACTACAACGTACATACAGTAAATAAGTTACCGAATGCTAGAATGTCTCAGCAAATGAACTCATGACTGATGCGAGTTCGAAAGACGACGACAGCCGAAGAAAAACCCACAGCAGCTTACTCCGAACTCTTCGGGCCCGCTTGTCGAGGCTTGGATTTGTGTGGGCCGCCCTTGAGACACTCGTAACACTACTGCAGGTTGACCTGGTCGCGTTGAACTATCGGCTACATCATTATTTGTGCGTAGCATGGGTGCGGCCGCTTCCTCGTCAGATTCAGGGGTAATGCCGTATCTCTGTAGAGTGATTTCGATGATATGAAAGGGGGGCAATGACAAGTTACTCATATCTTCATCGCGGCAAGCAGCAATATCAACGGGATGTCTGGAGGATCCTACTGAAAATAAGCTAGAATTCCAATGCCAGGAATTGCGCGGTATTCTGCGTGGTGTGCATTTGCAAGTCGAGTGCTGGGATACAGAGAACCAAATGTGGATTTTTCGATTCGAGCTTGCATTAGTCGTTCCCAGAATTTTCGGTTATTCTTGCTGTCGAAATGGATGGTGGATGGTGGGAGTACGATCATAAGATGGTGGGCTCAGCGCGTCAGTGGAAGGATCATCTTGCTGTTTGCCTTTATCTTTTCTGGAGCCGAGCGAATGATGCGCGGGACCGTGCTGACGGCCGTCGTGTTGAGATGACGGTATGTGAGAGTTGAAACGTCGAAATAGCACTTACATCATCGACATTGACACCTTGTTCGCCTTCGCCTTCTCTCACTTTACCTTCTGGGACTGGTTGGTTGGGTTTAATGGCTGCGAGCTCCAGGGACGTTTTTGATGGAGTCACGACTACTAAGGAAACCAAGCTTGGGGCGATGTTTTGGAACGGACTCATCTGGTGGTGGGCGACGTCGAGAGATGACATTCCAAAAGCGACGAATTGAAAACAGATGTGGGAGATGGGACCCAGGCGATGGTGATGGAAGAGATTGCTGCGAAGACTTCAAATACTTGTTGTCAATGTTAGTACCCTTAGATGAAATAAGAGTTTTTACCTGGAAGAAGTTGTTGTATGGGTCGTCGTGTGTCTCCTCAATGAAGCCACCACCCCCGGTAGCATCAGCCTGCAACAACAATATAAGCAAAGAACAAAGGCAGTCAAACATGAAAAGTGTCACTGACGTCTAGACAAGATGATAATGAGGAGTTAGACCAAGTTTCCTCCTGTGTGTTTTGCCCATCACTTTGTTGGGGTGGTGTGGATGCCGGAAGCTGAGGAGCTATGTCTTTGAGCATCCATAGAGTGAGTTTATTGTCATCTCCGCTATATGCTACGTATCTCTCGTCTCGAGAGAACGACACGCAGAGAAGCCGTTCGTTATACTCCTGGTGGAATGGCTGGCCGAGTGGCTGATGGGACTCTGTGTCCCATAGCTGTGCAATACCTTCGAGGCCCACGCACGCCGGGACGTTGTCTTTGGAAGAAAGTGCGACTGAATACAGGGTATCGTTGTGCTCGAAGGAATGGAGTAGATTGCCTGATGTGCTATCAAGCACGCGTGCGAATCTGTCTGATGCGGAATAGATTTTAGTGCTATCAGACGACCATACCACCGACGTCACATAGTGCTTTCCCAAGTCTTGTATTGGGCCGACGACGAGCTCGCCGGTTTTCGTGTTCCAGATGCAAATTGTTCTGTTCCACCCGCCTGATACAATTCTCTCTCCAGAAGGTGAGTATGCAAGGCTCCACGCGCCAATCTGCGTCGTGTTGATCGGGCCCACCTCGACCCCACCACTGTCTACTCTTCGAATGAGGATTGTTCCATCTTCGGATCCGCTGGCAATATGACTTCCGCTGGGTGACCACGAGAGCGACCGCACACATTCGCTATGGCCCGTCCAAACGCCTTGAATCCTCTTTCCGTCGGTAGTCCACCGCTGAACGCTTCCGTCCTCCCTCCCGCACGCGATTACCTTCCCATCTGGTGAAAGCGCCAGTACATGTATCCACCCCCCCTCGCCTTTCTACGGTTCCCCGACAACAAGTCCCGTGTCGCAGTTCTACTTGCGCATAGTGCCGTCCAATGAAGCACTCACGATATGGATGTTGTCGTGTAAGAAAACGAAACACCAAATCCTCTCCTTGTGTCCTTCAAACTTGTACTTCAGAATTGGTCTTGTGGATTGCGCTGGGGTTGAAGCTTCCTCGAGGATCGGCGTTGCAGAAGATTCAGGGGTCATAGCTCGTTACCGCAGAACGTGTGGCGTAGCAATCTGAAATTCGTGATCAGTTATTGGGGCAACAGTTCATCAGCTCTCACCAAGTTGTCTGCTGGTCTTATCGCCTGGTGGCAAGCTCGTTAGGTGGTCGGGCGTCTTATGTGTCAGATGTATGAATTTACGAGGCGGTGCTAATCCTCAGTTGGTTCCTGTGGCGATAGGTACATAATACAGCATTTCAGCTTTCCGTAAACCTTGGCAAGTCCAGTTTCATGGTGATCTAGCTGCATTGCATGAGTTTACTTTCTGGAAATTTGATGGAACACAGGACAAATGGCATACATCAAAGGGAGAGGACCCGCGGCCAAGCCGAGAACGTTGATTTTTGCCTGTAACGCAGAGGCTGTGCTGTTTCATCTGGCAAAACCCTTAATTGAAATAATCAATGTCTCCGGAGTTCGTTATTTATTTGTTGTCGTGCACCAGTGCTCGAGTGACAACTTGAAGTATTCAGGCGGGCCACAAGAGTGAATTACAGATGATTATGATTAGCAGTATGTCACGACATTCATGCTATGTAGTACAGTGATCAACATGCTCCATCCCCTAAAAACTAACTCACCCGAACCTCAAAACTCCTCACGCATTCTCTATCAGCGCCGGATCAAAATACACTCTCCGCACCCATCTCCTCCGCCTTGTCATGCCAGACGCTTTCCAAGCCTCAAGAGGTATACGACGCGGATCTGCCCATACGTCATTCGTGTATACCCAGCCGCCTGGTTATCAATCATGACGAAAATCAGCGCATCATAAGATAGCAACGCATAAAACTCACTGTCGTCCGCCCCAGAGACAGGATCACCATTCCCAGAAGCAGAACAAGAATTAGAAACAGAAACGGTAGAGACCCAGCTCCCCAGTGCGTCCGGTCTCCACCCCTCTGTCTCTACGAATGCCCAGCCTAGTGCCAGCGAAAACGTGAGGTTGCTGCTGGGGTCGCAGGGAGTTAGTAGCAATGTCAAATGGTGTGATAAAGGCCAGTCCATTAGAAAAAACACGCACCTCACTTCTCCACCCACCCCACTCCAACCGTCCCTCGCCCTCGTCCATGGTGCACGATCCGCAGGCCTCAAATTTGTCTTGCTCCACGTCCCAGCTCCCGCTCCAAGCAATGCGCTTCCGGACCCATCTCCAACATCAAACCCCGATCTCACAGCGTCAAGATCATCCTGTGTGACAAATGAGGAGGATGAAGAAGGGCCCGGAGTCCACCTCTCGTTCTCCCACAACTCCACTTCCCGCATCTCTGCACCCCAATGTTTGTCGTCGAGCCTATCGTCGTCAATCCAGCGGCGGAGCTTTATCTTCATATTGGCGTATTTAGAACTCGTCATTCCCGCCAACGTGGCACTCGCGTTGCCTCCCTTTACGATACAGCCGTTTACAGCAGCTTTGAGCAGGGGTAGGATTCGTGCTTGCGTGACTGGGTGAGTCCATATAAAGGGTGATACGCCTAGAACAAAGAATAGCAGGCGGAGCGGGATTAGAGGTAGGACCGGCAGCAAAAAGAGGAAAGAGAGCAGGTTAAGCGTTAGGACGAGCGAAGTATGAGTGGATCGATGGATGAGGTGGGGAGCGAGTGGTGAGAGGAGGTCATAGCCATCAGAGCTAAGACGATGGGTTATAAATGAAAGCAGAAACGCATAATTGACACTTACTACGCCCCCATAAGATTTTGAATTGCTTGAAGGTTAGCTTGCCAGTCAACACTCTCTTCTGAGGGAGGTGGTGCGATTGCAGCCGGTGGGTTCTTCGTTGATATCGATTCGGATGGTGACGGAGTAGGATATGTATAGAGCATTATAGATGCTAGTATGACATGCGGTACAAGGAGCACCATGCGAGGGAAATAGCCTGCCAACCCATGATATAAGATTCGGCATCACAGAAAAGAAGGATGACACGCACACAAGAACGCGTAACTAGCAATCCAGACCCCAGTATACTTCCACCCGCATCTCCACATAAGGACCTCCTCCACTCGATCCTGCAACCAAAACACGGGTCCTACTCTAGCTACGAACCTCCTGAAATTGACAGTAGTAATAGGAATGCTGAGCGGGTCTCTGGTACTTAGCAGCGCAGTGCTGGACTTGCGAGGGCTAGCGGACGTAGGGATAGAAGCTGGGAAAGATGTATTAAGAAGAAGGGTAGACAGTGACTTTGTCGGGCTGAAGGTGGTGCTGCCGCAGCCGCAGCCGCAGGAGTAGGCGAGCATGATGGCAATGATGTGCTGATTTTGGTGAATGGACGAACAGGGTCGGAGGCTGGAGAAGATTGCAGACGAATCACGTCTGGAGGAATCTCTACATAGTCGAACGTTGACATTGCGGACAACCGAGTTTTGGCGCGACCTCAATGACGTGGTTTAAGAAAAGATTGACGCTCGCATCAAAACCTCCATTTACATAATTGTCCAATAAGGAATATATAGTCAGCTGTAAATAATGAGACAGCTTTGTATCCTGCTCATCTAAGATTTCAACAGGTTTACCGCGACATGTAAGTACTGACAGTGAATTTTATAGTTCCATCACAATACAGTGACTAGTATGCGAATATCTATCCATGTGAGTATAATACTGAACGACGTTCAACATGTTCGCGCATGAAAAATTGGTTTACAATCGACACTGCCATGATGCCATCTGTAGATGATCGATGATCATAATGATCGTCATCAATTGAGGTCGTCCAGGTATAATCGACAAGATCTGCGCAAAGTTCAAACGAGCTAATAAAGATATCAATATCAATATTTGCATTAACAAGTACACGTTAGATATGTATAAAAGCTTCCAACAATCAGTACAATATCACATATACCACCATTACGACGTGCCCTCAGGCGGCCTGACATGTAAAATCACTCGAGGCAGCTTCTTCGCAACGAGAGGGCTCACAACCTCACTCTCAAACGCGGATGCAGAAGTACTAGACATAGGCACTGGCGTCTGCGTGTCCTTGCCAGGGTTACTAACCACCTCGGGTGTGCTTCTGTTTCTCGAAAGCTTCTTGCGCTCGCGTAGGGTCCTCGACGTTGGTGGGACCCAATTCCGTGAACTTGGCTGTGGTGGGGTCCTGTAGAGGTCGATATGGGAGAGCAGCTCTGAGGTACGTGTAAGCCATGGCTCGGGATCGGCGTTTCCCAGCGAGGGGCGCACGAATTTACGAGCCTTGGTGGCTTTCTCGAGCTACAACAAAGCTTGAGTACAGTCAGAGCCGCATTGCAAGCTGGAATACCTTGATGAGGTTTTCCAAGTCCCACCACCTCTCATCCACTTGTACAGCATCTCCAACGAGTCCACATATATGTGCCATTGCCCCACTACTCAGCGCACGATCACTGTACCCACCTTCGAGCACGCTCACGACGCGTCCACGAGCATAAACATCGGCAACAGCGCACGTGTCGAGAGCAAATCGGTGGTAGAAACTTGTAGGGACCTTTCGGTTATGACGAGACATACTTGGATACTCGTGTTCACAGGCATCGAAACCACAACTATTTCAACCTTCTACCGTGGAACTTTGGACACGAGATATAATAAACTTACCTGATGAAGATCATGACATCATCGCCTGGTCCGCCGGTACTGTCAAGGAATTGCGATGCTCGCTTCAGCAGCGCCGAATATTGTTCTTTGTAGAGGACGTCCCAAAAGTATGTTTCAGAGCTGTAAGTCTGCAGATGTATATTCTCGATGTGTTGTCCATGCGGTCCGTGCATTGACGTTGACGCGGCTTGAACAAAAGATGCCTTACCGTCCTATGATACGCTGCTGAATCACTGACAACGACCGAATGACAGAAGCGTCCCTTACCTCGCACGGGAAAGACAGAACGTCGTGCATTGAGCCGTAGAATATCTGCGGACCGCGAGTTGAAGGAGGTGCGTTGGGTTCAGAAGGCGACTGCTCAGATTCAAGCGTCTGTTGGTAGGTTTCTTCATTTATTTGCCATACTATTGACTGCGTGCCATTACCTGGCAAAACAATTAAGTAGAGTTTCTCCGATGCACAACCGTGGACCTGCCATGGTGCAAATCAATATCCAGTACAACAACACGTTGAATTCGGTGTTTGAGATGTGCTAAAAGTGTATGAGTAAGTTGGCACTAATCGAAGTCGGCGAAGCTCACCGTGAGCTGCACCAATCGCTACATTGTTTACAAAACAGAATCCAGAAGGGGTATCTTCGCCGCAGTGATGTCCAGGGGGCCTTACTGCTACAAATGCTCGTTGAGGGTTGGTAGAAGGATTTGCACGAGTAGACGCAATGACTGCATCCACTGCTTGGCACACGGCACCAATAGCACCTTGGATAGCATCAATGGAGGAAGGACATACTGCAAAACATTAGCTTCATAACCGAAATTTCTCTCAAAAAACACATACGGTACAAGTCAAGTGGTGGCATCCCCTCCGGCATTTCAGACCCCTTCTTGGTAATATTATCTTCACTATCCCGAGCCCATGCCTTCAAGTTCTGGAGATACACATCCCCATCTATATCTCCATGAATGTATTTCACCGCAGCGTTGTCTAAGAGATCGACAGTAGCCGTACTTCTTGTGACAGAAATACTTCGAGCTCGAATAAGTCCAGCATCGGATGCGGCGATATCCATCTTGCCGAGGGCAGCAACCAGCTCATCCTCTACGGAGACATTCGCATCTGAGGGCTTTAGAGCACCTTCAGCCTCTTCGATACGCGCTATTGCAGCAGCGAGTCCAATCTTGACGGCGCGTAAACGTTCGGGTCGCTCCACGATGCTCGAGGTATCTCGTGAGCGGATGAATCGGTGCTTTAGACAGTCATCTTGGAGGTATATTTTGACATACGCTGGGGCCTTTGACTCGGATAACGATGGGCGGGCCTCTGACTCGGAAGAGACCTGACCTAAGGGTAATGGAGTGCCGATTCCTAGTGGGTCAACTTCGGACCCAGCTTCTATCTTGGTAGTTGAATCGGCTGCTTGGGTGCTCATGCTTTTCGTAACTGTCAAGTGCTGTGATATCTTGCATGTGTATGTGAAAGTAACAAGACCTGGAGAATATGTACTTACGCTAGATGATCATGTATTTAACTTGCAGTGAGTCGTGAAGCGCGTTGTTTACCTCTGTTTACACCACTTTCAATTGACATTTTCTTCCTCACGGACCTCGCCCCACGCTAGCAGTGACCTAGTCTCCCGTATTGTCGGTCCTTAATAGAAGGAAGGCAGTCATTCCTTCTACTTCAAGGGCTGACGGATTCTCGAAGCAAGTAAATTTGTACGTCACCGTTCACGTATGCTGTTAGGTCGCCGCCTGACTACTTTTGCAGGTGATCAGCTCTACTTTGGAACTAGAATCAAACTTCAGCTTGCGCCGGCTCGAGGGTTGCGTGATCGATGGGGTTTTGATCGTCAATACGTGGTCCTTCCTAGCTCAAGCCTTCGGCATAACACCAATTGGCGGGTGCCCGGCGGCCCCAGCCAGCTTGTCCCTACCTAGAATGAAAGTTACCTTACTTTCATCCTTGGGTCGAGCTCTATTGCAGGAGCTTTGCTCAGTCTCTCTCAGGCTGCGACGACAACAAGGCAACTGCTAACTCTTTTTTTCATTCAATTTTCTGGCACAGGTCACACTGCCAGGGTGAACAATGATCAACTACTCCCACTGAAGACTTGGTCCCGCACAAGGACAAGGCGTGTAGGACTCTACCAAGGCTGTCCACACGTCGGAAAATCTTCACCGCATCCCTGCTCACATTTCCTTCTCGCCTTGAATTACTCAAGACAACCTCATAGATAGGACCATGAATGCGTTTCCTTAACGAGACGGGACGCCGCCAAGGAAATGTGTCCAAATTTGTTCCTTGTTTCTCTGACTGACTTTCAGGAAAGCAGCGAACAAATTTGGTTACATCTGAAGCGTTTGTGATACCTGACGGTTACCCTAGAAATGTTCATAAGCTGTACGTCTTGTATTCTCGCCAGACCGGTATCTATGATTTGGGCAGAACCGATATGGGATCTCGGCATCCCTGAATGTTGTCTCTAGGAGATCAGGTAAGAGAAATGAGGTGCTGCCCATAATGAAAGGTATGAATATCGATTCTGAGTATCCATCGGTGATATACTTATCCTTTTGGTACCAGACAATTCACAACCAGCTATCAACGGCCCCTGCCCTTCATCATTGTAATGCGTTTTCCTGCATGGTAATAGCTACACTGATGCTTTGATCGCACTGCAGACTCAGCCTGCATTTGCTTCAAAGCTGATCACTCTCGACATGCATATGCTGATATCCAGCAAACGCTGATGCACGCCATACTCAAAGGTCCGCCGCCAACTGGGACTGACATCGAGAAAATGCATGGTTGTGAACTCGAACTCGGACTGGCTGGTCGTCCTAACTGTGGCGCAGATGTAAGCTGTACTCTTATGTGTCATACGATGTGTAGTATGTGACCTTGATATCGTATTTCTAGCACGTTCATGGACCAAATGACTCAACCTTCGCATAGATGGCGTATAAATGCCTGCTATGACTATCCAATAAATAATCACAGCCCGTCACATCGCAGGCATCTGATAATAAAGCACACGTCAGCTCGTTCTGTGCCGGGTCCAAATCTGAAACATCATCGCGTTCCCTCATGCCATTGGTGAGCTTCCCATTTCCGTAGTCAAGTTGGTCTAAACGGTCCACAGATATGGTGCTGCATGCCTTGCACGAGAATGCGATGTTCTTAATATTCCTTTTGTAGCTCGTTTGGTGCTGCGTTTGGTTCATTGGGCCAACGGTGGACAGAGCCACCTTCAGTTGTCAATGGCAGACCTTCAGCATTTTGTAGTTGTACAAGAACAACTCAAGATCATCTAGTCTACTAGTGTAGATGAGCGGGCAGGTGGACAGTACATCCTTTGCATTGATTAGAAGGGTGTAGCTTGGAAATTCGACAGTGGAAGTGGCTCAGCTCGTTGAAGCCAGAAGCTTCCTATCCATGTGGTCCATGGAGCGCAGCTTCTTCGTGACTTGCAGTTTGTTCTGAGTCTTCCTAGTTGTCTTCGGGCTTTTCACCTCTGGCTGCTTCATTGATATCTACATCATTCCCTGGTAGAGCGGCTCCGGGTCAGTGCGTCTTGACTCAATCCTGTCACGTGGCTCGTCCTAGGGGCTTTCTTGAATTTCTTCCCATCTTCATGCATACAACCCATTTACTTGATGATGAATAGACAGACTTCCTTGTGTCATGGACAGATGGTCTCCCGTCATGAGAGGGCTACCCTCCTTCATATCGCAGAGGAGTTGCGCTGCTATATTCTTAGCTTCCTTCCGTACAATCAAGTCTTACGTTGTGCATTGGTGGGTTCCCCCTATTCTCATCTAAATTCGTGTACTGATTAGCCTACGTTCAAGATTTGCCGAACGATGTACATAACAGTGAAAAACTCTGTGGATCTACAATACGCTATCGAACTTGGCGCCCAAGGATTGGTGCAGGTTCATCCAGCTACTGTCTCCACAGGGGAGTGCTTGCGCATACTGAGAGAGAAGGCGAACGCGTGGAGTTCCTTCAAGCTCGAAGTGACGAAAAGTCTTCATTTTGATTGGCTACCTAATTCCTTGTCCATCACCCATCGACAGCTTGGCCTTGCGGCTCATTCCGCCGAGGTTAAGTGTGATTGTGAGTCCCACTCTGAAGACGATAATTATGTTAAGTCAAAAGTGATTGACACCACGGCCTGCACATCTAAGACGGCGAATGATCCTCCTTGCACTTGGCGCAAGGATGATCCAGCCCCTGGCGTATCTCCTCGCAATCATTACGTAGATGAGACGCATGACCTTTGGGTGTCTGTCGACTCATTGGAGACCCGCCCCCGACGCAACTCCAGATTCCAAATAAATTTCCGCCAGTTATCGACGGGCAAGGAACATCTCTTGGCCAGTGGATCCCAGCTGGTTACTGTGACCAGAGCCCCTAGCAAAAGACTCTCATCACGGGTACGCGTGTATCGCCGTGCGTTTATCGATGTCCTCGGAGACCGCCTTGCTCTCTATGGTGAGGCGGTTGTGAAGGATGGATACGGATACTGGTCGCTGCATGTCTGGAATTGGCATGAAAGTGTTCAAGCTGATGTAGGCGTCTATCTTCCGTCTATCATTCAACAAGTTCTCATTTAACCTGTCCCTATATTAAGGACATATGTGTGGTCGGCGAAGGTTACCATGGTTTTGCCGAAATCCGCTTTCTTACCAAAGAAAAGCTTTTAGCTTTCACAAGAGACGGCGAAATAGAACTATATGACGTTGAGGACCTATCAAAGGCACCGCGACTTCAGGCGAGATTTATCTTGCCCTATAGTCATCACCTTTACGAAATTCAATATCCTCCGGTTCTTCACAGCGCCTCGAGTTGTGCACATCTGGCGACACCCAATAATCATTGGATTTGGACCACAAACCCTGCAGATCGAGTTTTATGCCTATCGAGTCCGGGTTCCGATCCGCTTATTGTTATAACTGCTCGCCTGTTTTTCATGAATATTCCTTCATCATGGTTTGATGCGACCTCAGGAGACGGACTGTCTGTCCCTTGGTCATCATGGGGCCCACAGAACAGTCGCTTGTTCTCCGGGAGGATACGTGGAGCGGGAGGATCTCGCGTCATATCGTTTGCTCGCCAGGATTATTACGACGACGAGGACCCTACTATTCTGGTGCAGATGATGGATTTCAATCCCTCCGCCGTGGCGCGCGGTATCGGCAAGGTAGTTCGGGAGGCTACGACTTACCACCCATTTCATAAGGACGATATGTCAGTGACAACATACCTTCCTTACGTCGAAGTAGTCAGCAGCCGTGTTCTTCACGACCGACCTCTCGCTTTCGCATTGGACGAGGAACAGGTGGCGTTATTAGAGCAGTCTGTGAGTGTATTTTCACCTGTCGAATTAATGAAGTTCAACATCTCTCTGAGTAGGATGATCTTTTGGGTGCAAGGGTCAAGATAATCGGCCCACAGTCTACATCACCATGATTGATGCACATTGCCGTATGATGGTATTGTGTTTTGCGAGACCATCCAGAAGTCAGGTGTCACCCAATGGCTAATCCTTCATACAAGCATTTTACTACGTTCGCGTTTTTGATTTCAAGTGTTTTTGTATGTCAGTTACGAATAAAACTATGAAGAGGGATTGAAAAACTCAAAAATCACAAGTCGAAGCACGTTGAAGCAGATTGCCTTCAAGGCGCCATTCGTACGACCAGACCCATGACTCCATTCACCGACACATCTGAAGACACTTCAATGCCTCGGTGTTGCCTTTTGCGTTCTGCTAGATTTCGACGACTCTCCTTGCTGGTGAATCGGTGGAAATCACATCATCCAATCTGCGACTTACATAGTGAGCACTGCATTCATTCAGACTGGCTCAAGGCTGCGGAACGCAGGATCAATCTTGATGATATCGTGCACACCAGCTTGAGATTGCCAATTCGATAACAAGCGATGAATCAAGGACGAGGCTGTCCACGATGCCTGATGTAGTGATGGTACATAATCGATTTCCATTGCGGGACTCACATTAAGATCCTAGTCCTCCGCTGGCAAAGTCCTAGGTTCTTCCAACCTTGAGGCATCTTTTTTCTGCTCCTCATCTTCGATAGCCATCATATCAACCGGTGCGTCATCTTCCCCTTCATCGTCCCCTTCTTCCTCGACCTCCTCATCTTCTTCATCTTCCCCCTCGCCTGGCTCACCCATCTCATCATCAACTTCTTGTTCGACCATAGCACTGTGCATGTCCGATTGGGACGCGGAGGATGCTGCTCCTGCCCGCGGGGCAAACGTGAATGGCGGTGGCAGATTCGTCGCCTTGTCCTTCCCTTTTGATTTGAGACGACTGATGCAGATTCACTTTCTCTGGCCTTGCCCTTGTGCGAGGAACTTGCCGTTCCGGATTTTCGACTCTTGTCTCCTTTCGTGTTATCCCTGTAAACTGCGCTTCCTCAGCACAATTCGGAAACGAGAGGGTGAGGTCTTACTTTGAAGTTCATTCTGTAGATTCTCGACAAGATCTCCAAACTCAATCATCTCCAGAGCTTTGAGCACGTCGGACGCGGAGATACTTTTGTGCTGTTTGGACATCGCCACGTCATGAGCTCTGAGGAGATATATCAGAAGACATTGTATAAAACCAGCGGTAACACACACGTCGCCACTAGTACAGAGATCAGCAATTCAGTAAAGCGTGAATATAAGCCGTATTCGCGTACCAAGGTAGTTAATGAATACTGTCGAACCCTTCACCAAAGACAATACTGTCTCTTTTTGTAGTTTCGCATTGTCTGGCATCTGAAAAAATGATCAGCGCAAAATATTTTGCTACACATGATGTACGCCTTACTGCTGACTTTGCTATCTTCGTAACAAGACTCTTAGGAAGCTCGAAGTTCTCGATACCCTCTGAGACTAGATCTTGCTGAGCCTGAGCAGAAATCGGTCCACCGCCAGCATCTTTACGCGGCATTGCTTGTCACTAGCGACGGTCGTGGTTGGTGAAAGCGTTATACCCAGGTATGGCAACTTAGATGACGTGAGTCCAACTTGAAGTACTTGCGGACCCGCCTTGTTACCGACTCGTATACATAAATAAAAATTCTTAACCTACAGAATGCTACAGCATGTTTCCTCATCTTTCTGGCCAGTACAAACTACTACACTTGTACTTTTTGTTCGAATACGCACTTCGACGGGCTTATATCGGGACAGAAGATCACTGAAACTAGCTTCCCACGTGAGCGTACGTGTCTGTCTTTTTTTCGCATTCTCCATGACCAAACTGGATGCCGCCAAGTCTATGTCATTAATGTTTCTCATCTCTCTGAATCCAGAAGCGGCGCTGCGGCGGCGAGCAGATTTGGTCACTCTAGAAGGCGTCTGTAATACCTGATGGTTACCTGTTTGCAAACGGTGCATCCTTATCCTCGCTGGACAAATACTCAGGATTTGGTTCTGGATCTCGACTTCCCCAAACGTTGTATCTGGCAGATCGGCTGTGGTAGAAGTCGGGCGCCGCTCCCCCAAGAACTGGGCAAGCTATAATTAAATGGAAAACGGAGTTATGGCGTGCTTAGTAAGGTGTCATTGGGCCCGCGGATATGACTCATCATTCTGATATAAATGCAACTAATAATATTTGAGGCATCATATTGGCTCTACGGTAAGCTTCCAACTTCACTTTTTCCCGGGCTATTGAAGCCTACCCTCAGCCTATTGCATTTTGCCACCGTTTTGAAAACGTTCACCCTGATACCCGTATACAACATTAATATTCACATGTCGCCGCTTCCCGGGTACTAGGGATTCAAAAATCCACATGAACACGTCGGTACTCAAGTGCCCAGCCGTCCTTCAGTCTACTGATGAGAGTATTTTAACTAGTCCCCGAGTTTTCTTTCAAGGCCACATCGAATAAATAGTCGCACTCAATATCAAAAAGCGGGTCCCTTGGCGTCAATGTTACCTACCACAGTCAATCAAGTCCGAGGTGAGGAGCAAATGTGCGAATTTCAGCTTTAAGTATCTGTTGGGAACCTACTTATTCTGTTGGTAGCAGATCATTCAACGACCTCACTCAGCATCTTCGCAAGCAATCCAACTATCCAATTGCTCACGGAGGTTTCGGAGATATTTGGAAATGCAGCTTAGTTTTGTCTACACGATCCACTGAAGAGGTCTGCCGACGTGACTTGCAACATATAGTGGGCCCTCAGTCACTAACTCTGCAGAAACCTTCCACAGAATGTGGCAGTTAAAGCCATCAGATCTTACTTCTTTGATGAGAATGATCGAATCAAGAAGGATAAGGTAAGTACTTGGGTTTTGCGTCTAAGAAAACGCAACCATGATGTCTATTTCGTCAGAGGTTGCGTCGAGAATTGATCATATGGCGAAAACTTATCCATGCCAACATCCTCCCATTATATGGCGTCGCCATCGGATTCGGTCCGTTTACTGCCATGGTGTCTCCATGGGCAAAAAATGGATCCTTGACTTCGTATCTTGAGTCCCATCGAGACCTTCTGATACCCGATCGATTCAAACTCGTGAGTCATGTTCAATTTGCCCAAAGCTGATTGAGACGATTCCGCTATTAGCTGTCCGATATCGCAAGTGGTCTATGTTATCGTCCGTATCTGTCCGGCGTGTTGATATCCAGTGTGCTGACTATATTGATCGTTCCCTTAGTTCATTCAAATCAAGTTGTACATGGAGACCTCAGTGGGGTTTGTCGAGACCAGCTCTTTCAATATAACACGCTGACAATCTTTCAGTCCAATATTCTGGTGATGGAGAATGGCACCGCTTGTCTTTCGGATTTTGGGCTCTCCGGTGTTGTATCCGAATTCTTTGGTTCATCAACTTTCTCTTCTACCATCTCTGGCAATATTCGGTGGGGAGCCCCAGAGCTGTTCGCTCTACCTGAAAACCAAGACGGCTCAACCAATCGCCCTACTAAAGAAGCTGATATTTACTCATTTGGCAGCATCATGTTGCAGGTGCGGTCAGTCCTTTGCGTAGCTACTCACTGAAGTATATATTTGCTTCAGGTTCTCTCTGGGAAGGTCCCCTACTATTACATCAAACAGCAGATGCAGATTATTATGATGGTAGTGGATGGCAAAAAACCCAGACGCCCGGAGGAGCCGAAGATCGCGGAAGAACATTGGAGCATGATCGAGCGCTGCTGGAGTCCCTGCAATGTTCGACCGACTATCGAAGATCTTCTGAGATTCGTCACGGCACAACTAAGTAAGCGCAAAATTTGACTGGTCGAATACATGTCCGTGACTGAAATGGGACTTTAGAATACTCGTGAGCAACTTGGCACACGTCAGATAACACTCGACACGTCTGTAACGCTTGTGTGAAGCCCCTTAATACTTCCCTAGATCCCCTAAGTACGAGTTCTGTGTACTAGTAGGGTGGTTTCTCAGATTTGTGGAGTCGGTCTGAAAATTGCTGACAATGGTCGTGAAAGAAGAACTCCGCTGGTACCCTCATGATTCGACGTCAAATGAACGATATTCAACTAGTGCCTTTGCGTCGACTGATGATGATGATCGAAGGCAGCGCTCTTCCGCTGTCAATCGGTCGCATGTCCTGGTGAGTAAGGCTCGAACTCAGGACAGACATCAGCATAATGATAAATATAGAAAGCTAGCTCGTCGGCGGCAGCACTGTGGAAGCATGGCGCGCAAATCATACAAGTAGTACGAGTCTTCCTCGGCTGCGTTATCTAAGTGATTGATGGTTGATAGTCAATTCAACAGACTGAAGTGTGGAGGGTAAAGGTAAACTCGGGCCATAAGTCTAAGGTTCCTGCTGTGGCTTGAAAGCATATAAAGCTTCTGTCGTTAATCAGGACTAAAATGACTCACTTATAAAGAATCCTTTGGGTAACTTTCAGGGTCAGGAGTGATCGTCCCGATAGTGTTATGACTAGGATTCCCCGTTTCCGGAACCCCCATATCCGATATTAGTTTGTGGATCCTGAAAATAATGCAAGTCACTTTCCTGCATCCAATGTGCCGCCGGACATGCGGAAAATAGTAGCCAACATAGAGGAACATAATATGGTCAGAAATAACATATATGTGTTACCCTTCGCAAGGTCAGGGTAGAGGCCAAACATGAGGGGTGCAAACACCAATGTGAGTGCTACTATTGCCAACAAGATTGGAGTCATCCAAGCGGGAATTAAGATCATGAGGACTAATGATGTTACCGCAATGTTATATGAGAACGATAGAATGATAAGTCGCTGAAAGGTTGCAATAGTAGTGAGCTGGATGTTGGATCAATGGTCAATCGTGATGTATAGGGGCTAGTATTTTTAAGGTAAAAATACATTAGAGGCTAATTTCGATTATGTAATGTTATACCTAAGTCACTTACAAGTACACATCGCAGCTTATCTCGACGCGGGACAACGTAGTATATAGTTAAAAGGATCGGTTCTGAGATCCTGTGTAAGAGAGCATGAGACCTTGGCGGTCATTGAAAGTAGTCGTGTAAAGCCTTTCCTCGTCCTGGTCAACCCGCCACAAAAAAAGACTGCTCACGTGACTCTGAATTGCATGGTAATTAGAGAGCTGTGTTCTTAGCATACAATCCTCAGTCGGCTCTTCGAAGATATAGTATCTGTGTTGAAATACAATATTAGCATGTCTTGTCCTTTGTTCGCCTCTGCAAATAGACAGTGTGTTGTAATGCCGCCAACGTCGACGGCAACACTAACGGACAAGCGGTAACGCGGAAGAGCGTATGATTGAGGATACGGTAAAGAGATGATCTCATATATATGGATCCGTATCGTGCACAGTGTCCAATCAGCGATGTAGCTAAGACGCGTCATCGAAATAGTTGCGTCATAGGTTGCGTCATGTGCTGCGTCAGCGATGGTAAGCCACTAGGCTTACATGTGTCTCTTCGCGTTCTCACCTCGACGTATAATTGACCGTGAGCAAAGTGATCCGTTCGAAAGTCACTAGTCCTAGTCAAGCACGGTTCGTGCTAGAGTCAAACCTTGACAACCATTAAATGTAGTTGCATATGCGGGTTGCAAAGGAAACCGTCTTCGATTCACTGCACGACAAACGGTTTGGATGGAACGCAAAGCTGATGCGTCAGAGATTAGAAGGGACACCGGGGGTCCCATAGATTATCCTACATAGGGTATCATCCTCAATGGACAGAAATTGGATTTTTTTTTAAAAAAAAGTGGATGCGAAGGATGCAGTGGCTTTCAAATGTATTGATGAGTTAGATCGCAAGGTAGTCGGGGGTGTGTTCCGGTGCGTTCTATGGAGTGTGCTATCGGAAGTGTCGGAGTGCTTGAGCGTGCGTGAGAAGGGTATAGAGCCCTGTGATGAACGGCGCACACCAGAGGTCCATGGCTGTCCAGCTACAGGGCTTGATCGCGGCGGGGGTCGTAAGTGTGAGTAGTGTGAACGGGGTAGGCTCAAGAAAAAAGAACACGCTGGTTGGCAATGATCTGTTGTTGGTAATAGTAGTTAGAGACATCAAGACACGATTAGGAGGGGATGACGAACGAGAGAGGAGAGAAAAAGTCCGCTCATTGAGGAGGTGTAGGAGTTTCTCGGTATTGACAAGGCCTTGGTTGATTGCGCGATATACGCCGCCTAGGTTCAAGAGAGAGAAGTAGAGCCAGCGTGGTCAGAGCCTCAGAGTAAATCAGCTCTGCACCATCGTCGCACAAGACTGAACACCACAAAATCGCTAATTACTTTGTCATCTTGTGATGCGCTACGCAACGATCAAAGAACCAACCAGAAGACCGGAGATGATGATGAGTGCTTGTACGGGGTTCAGGAGATTGAGATATACTACAGGTGTGATCAGCATTTGCGTTCGTGGGTGAAATGAAACTCATTTGTTTTGAAAATGAGAAACGGTTTTGAAACAAGACGTGGTTTTTGAAATGAGAGAGACGCAAACACTCACGAACGGCGGGTTCGAACCTAACGACAAATACGAGCAGCTTCCTCGGACACGCTCCTGTATTTCAGTCAGATATACTATTCCATAGGATATTAACTGAAGTCCTCACCTTGGCCAGTTCGAGACGATAACACCTTGAAGCTCTATAATAACTCCCTGCATCCCCAACCTGAGTATTAGCACGGAATATGGTTGTTTCCTTGAGTAAAAACTTGAATCCACGGAGGACAACCGCATGCACTGAGCCGGATTTGAGGATTGCTGTCACTAGTTCGACAAAATTGATATTTAGTGGTGCACTAGCTGAAGCGCACTGAAATACTTGTTGAGTGGCAGCACGAGTAGGAACTCTGAACCAGAGCCTAGAGGATTCACATTTTCACTTACGACATTCCTCCAAGAATATGATATCCATTGATTTGCAAGAGAGAGAAAGGAGTGGAAGGGGAGGCGCGGCGTGCCTGGTTCAAAATTTCACACATCACCATGTTACTTCGGCGATGATGTCACGGTGAAGCGCGTAGGTCTCTTGCAATCCACTACATCACACCAACCATATAATCATACCTCGACATGCACAGTGGCGCAGTTTGTTCAGTTCCCTGCGTTCATTCCAACGCTCGACTTACGAATGCGCTTTAAACTTTAAACAATACCATGACCGCTTCAGCCCGGGCCGTTGATGTAGCTCCTGCTCGATGACAGTGTGAGCTGCTTGCGATCGCTCCTCTTTGATGAATCACGATTGAGAAAAATGCGAAGATATGGATGGCTCTTGAATATGACGCGGAGGCAAGCCGCAGCGATAGTGACCACGCTGTGCGAGTTGTAATGATGTCAAGCGTTCAACGCAACCAGGTCAACCTACAACGGGGCACAGTGGTCTCAAAGATGACTCAAGGCTCAGCTGGTGGAACGGCTGAAGCATCTCACTCTGGGAAGGTCCTCTAAAATTCGTCGCGGCACAACTAAGTAAGCGCAAAATTTGATTGGTCGAACACCTGTCGGTGACTGAAGTGGGACTTTAGAATGCTTGTGAGCAACTTGGCGCACGTCAGATAACACTCGACACACCTATAACGCCTGGATGAAGCCTCTTAATACTTCCCTAGGTCACCTCAGTATGAGTTCTATGTACTAGCAGGGTGATTTCTCAGATTTGTAGAGTCGGTTTGAAAATTGCTGACAAGGGTTGTAAAAGAATGACGCCTACTGGTACCTTTATGACGGCGTTCGACGTTATATGAGCGATATTCATCATTTGGAAACTTTGCATCGCCCGATGACAATGATCGAAGGCAGCGCACTTCTGCTGTCGTTCGGTTACATGTCCTGGTGAGTAAGGCTCGAACTCAGGACAAATATCAGCATAATGATAAATATATAAAGTCAGAGCAGTGCCGTGGAAGCATGACACGCAAATCATACAAGTAGTACGGGTCTTCTTCTGTGATCAATGGTTGATACTCTAACACTGAATTCAACAGACTGTGGTGTGGAGGGTGAAGGTAAACTCGGGCCATAAGTCTAAGGTTCCTGCTGTGGGTTGAAAACATATAAAGCTCCTGTCGTTAATCAGGAATACAACGACTTACTAGTAAAGAATACTTTGGTTAACTTTCAGGGTCAGGAGTGATCGTTTCGATAGTGTCAATGAGGATATGACTGGGATTCCCCGTCTCCGAAACTCCTGTCTCTGAAACACCCGCCTTCGACGAACCCCCCACCTCCGATTGTTCCTTGTATATCTCGTATGATAGTCCGATTGTCAACACGATGAAGATGACATAGGCGAGACCGAGCAAAGTGTATCCAGATACTTCGATGCCCTGGATTAGAGGAACTGTGATATATATAAATTAGTTTGTGAATCCTGAACATAATGCAAGTCACTCTCCTGCATCCAATGTGCCGTCGAACACGCGGACAATAGTAGCGAACATAGCGGTCGATGTTATGGTCACGAGTAACATAACCGGCGTGTTACCCTTGGCAAGGTTAGGGTAGAGGCCAACCATGAGGAATGTAAACGCCCAGGTGAGTACTGCTGTTGCATACAAGATTAGAGTCGTCCAAGCGGGAATTAAGATCATGAGAACTAATGATGTTACAACAATGTTAGTTGAGAATGTCAGGACGACACATCGCTGAAGGGTTGTCATAGTAGCGAGCTGGATCGATCGATAGTAAGAAAAGAAAATCGAGATGTATCTATTATTTAAGGTAAAAATACAATAGGGGCTAATGTCGAGCTCTTCCAGACGTGTAGGTCACTACATCACACTAATCTGCACGCCTCGTCGTGCAGTTCCGCTTGCAAGTACTTGCGAGCGAGGTCGGCGATAGATGATTCCTGAAGATCGCTTTAGCCAAAGTTCAGTTGTCAATCAAAGTATTATTAGGTCAAGACCGACAATGGATCCTCTCATTCGGGGGTCGGCATTTGGAAACCTGTTTCCTACGATAGATGTGAGCAAAGATATTAACATCAAACTGTAGCTTATCTCACCATGGAAATCGGGATAGCAATGTATATGCTTCGTGAGCTCCGTGTAGGTATCAACATGATTCTCATGGCGCAATTTTTCGAGGACGTCCAGCAAGACTATGAACAGACGGTGAGAACACTATTCGTCGCTCCAGGATGAAGAGCTACACGAACCAGTATGAATAGCCTTTCCCTCTTGCTTTGCACGTTCTTTGAGTTCGGGATACGCGGTATGAGCGGTGATGATGAAGTCAATAAGTTGTCCTATGCACTTCCCGCCATTCGTAGTGGGGCCTGCAACCATATTGTGAGACATCCATTTTCCTGCTTGACTGAAAGGGTACTGCGTGAAACTTTAACTGCTATGATGGCCGTTTGAAAGGTGCGAGCGCCATTAGGAAGGGGTTGTAAGTCCTATATAGATAAATGAATGAGCAAAAGTACGAAGACGGAGAAGAAATCACGTACATCGTTAGCAAAGAGGTGAAGGTAATGCGCAGATTTGCCTTCGTCGTCAATGATAGGACTGATAGTTGTCAGCGCATCCAATAGATAGAATTCATCTTCGGCAGAAGCAGTGTTTGCGCAACTTGAAATACCACACATTTACACGAATATCCCTGATTTCTGGAGTGTCCGTCGTATCGCCAAGATTCTTGCTTCCATTTTGAAGACCAACAACACCGTGAAATGAAGCAGAGGTCGCCATAGTAGTGAGGAAAGGATCTCGTAAAGAAGAGACAGAACTATGAACGCGCAGCAACACAGTAGTACATGGTGGACGCTATAGCATCCGACGTCAGCGATTATTCGTGCTTTAATATTGTAGATGGTAACAACGCAAGAAGGTGGGAGAGAATCCAGCGAAGCTGCAAGATAGTGTGCAACGACATCGCGAGACGGTATAAGAAGGCACAAGACAACGGTAACGCGAGATGGTGCTAGACGGTATAAAAAAGTGCGAGACAGGGCAGGGTGCTCGAGGGTGCGGGGAGAGGGTGCGAGAGGATGCAGGAGGATGTTGCAGCAATGCTACTGAAACCCAATGATATCATTATATTGATACAAGGCTTGCGTATGTTCAGATTTACGTGCGTGCACATCAGCATCGCCCACCACATAAAAACAAAACCAAGTATTCCTCACATTCACCCAAATTAGAAATGAGTAACAGCAGCTACATGCCACTGCACATTGATACCTGCATGTTTCTCAACAGTAGCTCCACCTTCTACTCCTTTGCCTCTGTGTGAGACTCGGTCAGCGGGTAGGTCCAGTGCCGTTTGATATCTCGGTCGCAGTCGCACCAGCTCTAAGCGAAGTATGGACACTCGCAACCCGAGACGAAGTAGAAGACACATACGATGTGAAGTGGCGGGTGTAGTAGGTTGGGAAGACGATGATGTTAGAGCTAGCATTCTGTCAAGGATTTCTTTGTGGCCCATGAGGTTGGTTAGTGGGTATTTTCGGTTGGTTTTTATTGGGGAGGATGAGGTGGTGGAAGAGTAAAGGGAGTGGAGGAAGGGAAGGAGGGGACGTACGTGATAATTACCTAAACACTTCAGAGCTTGAGAAAGACGTGTGGATGAAAAGATGATCCTATGTGGTGTATATCAAACTCTTGCCCTTCTTTCATCCATCATAAACGAGAAAGGAAAACATGGGAGAGCACAGAGCAAATGGAATGAAAGGAAAGGAAAGAAGAACGCTAACACATTCAGAACACATCGCATTCCTGAGCATGCAAGGGACTAGCAAGCAATGATAGTCCTGGATCCAGATGAGGTCGTCTGGTTGGAGGATGATATAATAGCGAAGCGTGATGTGGTGAATCCTTGGTTGACCTTTTGTGGGTGGAGTGTTTGATGTGATGATCGGATGTGCAAGTGTTACGGAGATGAATAGGTGCACGACCGAATGCTCTGGTCAAACGTACGGGAAGACACGATATGCAACGAACGAATGATTCAAATATTCATCGATCATCATCTGCACTCGCCTGCTCTGTCTGGGCCAGAGGCAAGAGACCATAGAATATATGTGAGGAAAGAATATGCCTTGGTTCGCTAGAGTAATAAGAATCGAAATCTAAGGTTTAACGTTGAGTGTCCCCACTGAGTGTTTAACGTCATTACAAGTATATACAGGGGACGATGATAATGATATTATCAGAACTAATACTACATAGTACGCCTTGCCATTGCTTTGACCCGGCGTTTCCCGGATGAACTGGCAACTCTCACGGGTGAGTCACATGATACGAATTTCGAATTTCGCTGTCCAAACAGGACCCAACAAGTTGCCTTTGTTAATTTTTCGTTCGCCCCCAAATTCCAATGGTTTAAAATTTGTACTCGACCCATTACATGCATAAAGGGGCAACATTGAGTGTTTACCTCCTCTTGCATTCGACACCGTGCATTCCACCTGCCACAACACACTCGATAATCCTTTCCCCATACTCGTATAGCATGGTTCAGCTTTTCCATGCAGCGCACTATGAAATACATCGGATCCCAAATTATACCTTGGTCTTGTGCTACTAGAATGAGTACTACGTCTCGAACAACCTATCATGGAAGTAACATGTTCGATCTGCACCACAGTACCTCTAGGAAACTTGCAACATGTTCCCCGACTGACCTTGACGCGTCGCTTTCACTTTTGACTGACCTTTATTTTGCTCTCCTGCTAATACTAGTTTAGCCGCTGCAACCACACAAACGCCCCGCCCCAGACTGCCCTCACCAACACTCGACCCCTTCCTCTCCCTCTTACCTGAACTTCATTCGCAGTCCCCATATCCCTACTCCCTGTCTTCTCCCTACTACTCATTCTACACACCACTCAATCTACAATGCTCCGTGGCGTTCGTCATTTGTTTGATCCCACCATCACCCCTGGTGGCTGGGAAGGCCAATCTATCAGACCTGAAGGTCGGTCACTCCATGTCACCTTAGTGTTTCTTGTGCTCATCTCGCTCTACTTACAGTCATCAGCGGCAAAAATCTCATAAGTCCCTTCCGAGCGCATTCCCGCATACATTTACATATTCCTTAATGTCGACCCCAGGAGACGCTGGAAATCAACCATCGGAGTACTAGCATCAGACGAATCTGTAGCGTGGGGCGAAACCGTGACCCTGTGAAGTCCATCGCAACTTTCGGATGCGATTCGAGGACTGATCTTTTGTCTGTAGATCATTAGATGCGTCGCCTACGTTATCATTCGAGATCAGGGCTTCCTTCGAGCTTGACCACATGCTGGGCAATGGAGAAGTTAGAAAGCTTGAAACATCGTGGGATGCGCTGCTCGATCACGGAAATGAACTTTTCGGTGAGCAACCTCCTTCTCACTCACGTGCATATATTTACATCTCGTAGACATCTCGTTCCCGTCCGTTCGTGGTGTTCATCCTTCCCTCACACTAAAGGCCACTGTCCTACGTGGTTGCGACGATCAGGACTGCGTGACGTGAGTGACATCAGCCTCCGGCGCGAGGCACTGATGTTGCGCCCGGCTGGGAATCCATATCGTGATAGCGCGCTTAAGTTTTGAGCGCGAGGGCAAGGTTGTTAAGCGTCTTAACAACCTTACCCTCGTGCTCAAAATCAGATATGTCAAACATTGGGTCTAAGTAAGTCCGGGTATTCAAAGGTTTCTCATGTGGGGTACAATTCTGATAGTTTTTATACGAATTTTACGCTAGATAAAGCTTTCTCAGAATTTATCTTTTTCGGGTCGGTTACCTGATGCTTACCTGACATGGTGGTTCAGGTCCCGACATCCTTATTATGTAAGTTACATATATACTAGTGTGGTTGAGGTGCTTAAAATAGGTCTTGGGAATTTCCGACAAGTCTCTCCTAAGACTTGCATTCGACACCTTGCCACAACACACTCGATAATCCTTCCCCTATATTCGTATAGCATGATTCAGCTTTTCCGTGCAGCGCACTATGAAATACATTGGATCCCACATTGTGCCTTGGTCTTGTGCTACTAGAATGAGTAATGCGTCTCGAACAACCTATGATGGGAGTAACATGTTCGATCTGCACCACAGTACCCTTGGAAACTCGCAACATGTGACCTTGACATGTCGCTGTCACTTTTGACTGGCTTTATGACATATTGCTCTCCTGCTAATACTCAGCCGCTGCAACCGCACAAACGCCCCCAGGCTGCCCTCAACAACACTCGACCCCTTCCTCTCCCTCTCACCTGAACTTCATTCGCAGTCTCCATATCCCTACTCCCTGTCTTCTCTCACTACTCATTCTACACACCACTCAATCTACAATGCTCCGTGGCGTTCGTCATTTGTTTGATCCCACCATCACCCCTGGTAGCTGGGAAGGCCAGTCTATCAGACTTGAAGGTCGGTCACTCTATGTCACCTTAGTGTTTTCTTGTGCTCATCTCGCTCTACTTACAGTCATCAGCGGCAAAAATCTCAAAGTTGCTTCCGAGCGCATTCCCGCATGCATTTACATATTCCTCAATGTCGACCCCAGGAGACGCTGGAAATCGAACATCGGAGTACTAGCATCAGATGGATCTGTAGCGTGGGGCGAAATCGTGACCATGTAAAGTCCATCGCAACTTTCGGATGCGACTCGAGGACTGATCTTTTGTCTGTAGATCATTAGATGCGTCGCCTACGTTATCATTCGAGATCAGGGCTTCCTTCGAGCTTGACCACATGCTGGGCAATGGAGAAGTTGTTGGAAAGCTTGAAACATCGTGGGATACGCTGCTTGATCACGGAAATGAACCTTTCGGTGAGCAATTTCCTTCTCACTCACGCGCATATACTCACATCTCGTAGACATCTCGTTCCCGTCCGTTCGTGGTGTTCATCCTTCCCTCACACTAAAGGCCACTGTCCTACACGATTGCGACGATCAGGACAGCGCACTGCGTGACGTGAGTGACATCAGCCTCTGTGTTGTTGGGTTATGTTGACGGAACACCTGCTGTAGTCCATCGTTGAATGTCAGATTGCTCAAGACACGGATGTTGGCCATGAACGATTTGCCACATACGTGACAAGCAAGACGGTCTCTCACTTGAACGATGCTGTGAAGCATTTTCAATTTGTCCTGGACCAATGTCCAGTCGGTCATCCTCACCGGGCAGCGGCTCTCACCAACCTCGCGTGGACTCACCTTCAAGGCTACATTCGAAAGAATTTTCAAGACATCGACTCTATCACTTCTCTCTTCCGCGAGGCCCTTGCATTGCGTCCGCTGGGCCACCCCGATCATCCTTTATCCATCTATCACCTCCTTAAAGCGCTGATCTGGCGCTACAGCAAGGAGTGCACCGCCGCCTATATCCACGAATCCGCAGAACTGTCCTGCAAGCTATTGCCGCTTTGTCCAGAGGGCACCTACCTTTGTAGCATCGCGGCAGGGGCAAATGGCGTCGATTATGTGATCCGCGAATGCAACAATCTTCCAATGGACGCATCTGATGAAGGCATCCACCTTCGACGAGTTGTGCTCGAGCTCTGTCCTCTGGGCAACGCGCACCGTCCCAAAGCACTCGAGAATATTGCATGGGCTCTCAGATCACGCTTTCAACAACGCGGCAGCATTGATGATCTAGACGAGTGCATACAATGTCGTCGTGAAGCTGTTTCTCTGGGTCCCGAGGGACATTCTGAACGTGACACCTACCTGAATAACCTGGCTTTGTCACTTGATTACCGCTTTGATCACCAAGGCAACTTAGATGACCTCAATGAGGCCATCTCTTTGTATGAAGAAGTGCTGGGCCTGCGCCCTGTTGGGCACAAATATTGTGATTCCTCATTGGACAACCTAGGAGCTGCCCTCCGCACCCGTTTCAACCAACGCGGTGATGTTAATGACATCATCAGATCCATCAGCCTCCGGCGTGAGGCACTGACGTTGCGCCCGCCTGGAAATCCATATCGTGATAGCACACTCAACAACCTTGCCCTCGCGCTCAAAATCAGATATATCAAATTGGATGCCAGCGAGGATCTCGACGAGGCCATCAACCTCCACTGGGATTCACTTCAGTTAAGGCCGCATGGCCATCCATATCGCTATAAAACTCTCTACAGCTTGAGCTCGGCGCTCTGTTTTCGTTTCACGGAAACTTGGAAGAATGAAGATATCGAGGAGGCCATTCGACTCTCCCAAGAGTCATTGGAGGCTTTGCCTTCGCTGCACCCGGATAGATATTTCAGTTATATGTGTTTGCAGCAAGCCTATTTGTCTCGTTACCAAGTACAACGCAAGTCTGCTGACTTGTCACTCGCTGTAGAGAACTTTAGGCTGGCATCACGACACCCCACTCAAGGATTCCCAGAACGTATCAATGAGGCGATCAATTGGACTTTTGCGGCGGAGAGTCACAGTCATGCCTCCACACTAGAAGCCTACAAAACCTGTTTCGAGCTTCTTGATAGACATTTGGCAACCCGGTCTTCAATTGTTGCACGGCATGAAGCTACTTCTACTTTTCGTCGTGCCAGAACATTATCAGTGGATGCGGCATCATGTGCCACGCGCCTTGACAATCTACGAGACGCAATTGAACTTGTTGAGCAGGGCCGCGGCCAGCAATGGTCCCTGGCCTCTCGTCTGAGAAGTCCCATTGAGGACCTCGAGTCGAAAAATGCCAACCTTGCTCACGAGTTCTTGGAGCTCAGCAGGCGTCTTTCTGGCGCTCAAGCTTCCGCTGGCAGCGTTGACCGAGCTGCTGCTGATCGAGCAGTGATACTGTACAGGAGACTTCAGGAGCAGTGGGGAGCAGTGGTAGCTGAGATCCGTAATCTTGAAAGCTTCTCACGGTTCCTGCTCCCGCCGTCGTATGAAGACTTGCAAGTGGCAGCACATCATGGCCCTGTCGTCATCCTCGTTGCAAGTCAATACTCATGCAGCGCCATCATTGTCCCGACCTCAGGAAAGCCCCACCACGTCCGATTCCCGCGCATCACTCTGCCAGATTTGGAGACGCTCAAGAAAGGTTTCACTACGGCAATACGGCACACGGCTCGTATGCGCCCAGAAGAGCCGAGGAAGAAGTTGCGAGTACTCTTGCGGATGGTATGGGACGAGATCATGTTACCGATAGTCAACGTCCTCCAGAATGACCTGGAATTGCAGCCTCGGTCTCGAATATGGCTGTGTCCGACGGCAGCCTTCACGTCCGTCCCTCTCCATGCAGCTAACCCCTTTCGAATGACGGCAGATCGCTCTGGTGGAGAGCCATGCCTGGAGGATCTCTACATTTGCTCTTACACGCCCACACTTTCAGCTCTTATCAGAGCTCGGCGAATGATGAAGACACATGCGACTCCCTCCTTCGCGGCAATTGGACAAAGTCAACCGGGCGCAGGGCAAGGCAGAGTACTCCCCGCTGTCAACGGAGAGCTGAAGCTTGTCCATAAACTTGTTTCCCCCAATATCAAGTTCACCAATATCTCTGGTGACGAGGCTACACAGGCAGGTGCACTCGAAGCTTTGCGACGTAACACCTGGGTGCACCTCGCTTGTCATGGCACGCAAGACCGGAAGCAACCTTACAATTCACGTTTCGCCATGAGAGACAAACCACTCACGCTGCTTGAAATCATGGAGAACAATTCTCCGCACGCTGAATTCGCGTTCTTATCGGCATGTCATACCGCTGTCGGTGATGAGGAGACGCCCGACGAGGTCATTCACCTCGCAGCTGGTTTACAATTTTCGGGGTTCAAGAGCGTTATTGGCACGCTGTGGGGGGTCACTGATGCTATGGCAAAATACACTGTGGAAGCTTTCTACGAGAAGATGTTGGAGGATGGTGGTATGATGGACTGTACGAAGGCGGCCTGGGCACTCAACCATGCTACGAACGCCGTGAAGACGAAAGTGCCGCTAGAGCAGAGGATGGTTTTCATTCATATTGGTGTGTAGTTCTACTATGTTATATTGCTTTCGTATGGTATAGGTTTTCGAGCTGTTGATTTTCGATCCTCATTCATCCCAGTCACCGTAGCACCTGTCAGTTGTAGGATTATCTTCTGTGTTGATCGTACTGTTGTTTCGCATTCCCTCAACATGCTATCATTTATACTAGATTTTTCAAGCCGTAGATCTCGTATTCTCTATCATCCTGGTATTGTTGCGCTGACTTGAATTCCCACCTCCGAAACCCCCGCCTCTAATGAAACCCCCGCCTTTAATGAACTCCCCGCCTTTAATAAACTCCAGTCTCATCGTTGACATGACGAAGAAGTAATTGACAAGACTGAGTAATACATATCCAATGAACTTTTGTCCAGGACCTATACAGCTGGCAAGACCTGTGATATATATATTAGTTGATAGTTTTTGAAAATGCAATCCACTTGCCTTTAAACAAAGGAGCAAGCATAGCAGTCGATGATATAGTTACGAGTAACATAAGTACGCTATCCTTGAAAAGGTCAGGGTTAATCCTTCTAAGCCTGAGTGTAAATGCCCCGGTGAATACTCCTGTTACAAACAAGATTGGAGTCGTCCAAGCAGGGATTAAGATCATAAAGAGAGACGATGTTACAACAACGATAATTGAGAATGTTAGAACAATATGTTGCTGAAAGGATGTCATGGTAGGCAGCTGGATGTTGGATCGATGGTAAGATGTACCGTAGATATAGGGGCTAATTATTATTTAAAAGGGTTGATTTTGATTATGTAATGTTCTACCTGTTAGCTGTACTTACTACTCAGGACTAATCGTTTATCGTTTATCCGAGTGTACTCAGGACTCCGAGTATTCTGGAGCCCTACGAGAGTTGGTCACTAACAGGTTTTCGATCAATGTGATCGAATACATGTTAGTAACCAACTCTCGCGAGTCGTAGGGCTGTTACATCTTCGCTTAACGCTCGAATATTGCGGGCCATTTCTCACGTTACTTCTGTGAAGCTCCTCCGGACGCGTAGGACTCCTGCATCACACCAATTATCGTGCACACTGCAGTGGCGCGGTTTGTTCAGTTCCCTGCGTTCGATTTGCAACGCTCGACCTACGAATGCGCTTCAAACAATACCATTAACGCTTCAAAGTTGAGCCCCGTCGATGTCGCTCCTGCTCGATGACAGTGCGAGCTGCTTGCGATCGCTCCTCTTTGATGAATCGATTAAAAAAAAATGGATTGCTCCTGAATATGACGCGGAGGCAAGCCGCGGCGATGCCACATTGTGCGAGTGATGATGATGTCAAGCGTTCAACGCAACAAGGTCAACCTACAACGGGGGCACAATGGTCTCAAAGATGACCCAAGGCTCAGCTGGTGGAACGGGAGAAGCATCTCATAAAGTAAGTGCCGTGGGCTTTTCTTCAGTTGTCGTCGTCCCACTTTTACTTCCACCAGTACCACGATCTACAATATTTGCATCACTATGATAGCCAATTCTCGATCGATTGCACTCCATAGTTGTCTCGCAGTCAACTTGCATACCAAGCTCATGTTCTTCCATCCATACAATATTTGTACAATAATACAGAAATCTATCACGAACTGAATTGCGCTTTCTTTGACTGCACATACAGATTTCAACAGCTAGCTTCTTCGATCTCCTGTCTCCACCGATTCTGGATATCAATCGTCTCTCGGAATATCTTGTATTTGGCATCTAACAGCTTCTTCACTTTCGGCGAAGCGCCGGGGGCCACGAGGGTACCAGCAGGCGTCATTTCGACCTGGATAACAACAATCAGCATCTACTACGTTCAGTAGATTACATGGGATGTCTTACCATGATCTTCCACATGTCTTCTCCGACCTTGACACCTTCGGCTGCGATCCTGCCCAACATCGCTGCACCGAGAACAACCGCCTCGGAATGGGACTTGGGCAGGACCACGGGGATGTCACACGTGTCCGCAAAGAGCTGCATCATTACCACATTCTTTGCCTGTCCACCGGACATATACAGAGACGTGATGTCATGCCCTGCCGTGTTGAGAGCCTCGACAATGTGGCGTGTTTGAAGTGCGATAGCCTCGAGGGTAAGGTAGTACTTGCGAGCAAGGTCGGCGATGGATGATTCCTGAAGATCACTTTAGCCAAAGTTCACTTCTCGATCGAAGCGGCGACTTACCAGCTCAAGACCAACAATGGAGCCTCTCATTCGAGGGTCGGCAATCGGAGACCTGTTTCCTGCGATAGACGTGAACAAAGATACCAACATCAAACTGTAGCTCATCTCACCATGGAAATCGGGATAGAAATGTATATGCTTCGTAAGCTCCGTGTAGGTATCAACGTGATTCTCGTGGCGCAATTTTTCGAGGACGTCCAGCAAGACTATAGACAGGCGTCAAAACACAATACACCTCTCCAGCATGAAGAGCTACACGAACCAGTATGAATAGCCTTTCCCTCTTGCTTTGCACGTTCTTTGAGTTCAGGATACGCGATATGAGTGGTGATGACGAAGTCGATAAGCTGTCCCGTGGACGACTGGCCCCCTTCATTCATCCACCAACCAGGAAATGCTGCATCCTGTAAGAATGTATCATTGAAACATCGATCGATATGCAGAATGGCAATGAAATACCTTGTATGGGCCCCATACACCCTTTACAAAGACACCTTCTCGACTCTGAAATAACGTTTTCGTCACTATAAGGACAGATTGTGCAGGTAACTCACCTGAACAATATGACAGGTGCTAGTTCCGGCAACAGCGGCCAAACGGTGCCGAGACTCGTCGAGAGAGGGAAGTACAGCTGAGAGCTGACCATTCTCCGTGTATCGAGCGGCAACTGTGCCCATCCAGCCAGCATACCTAGCATGACGCAGGAATATTCATATCAACGTAGACGCATTGATGGAGTATGACGTACGCGTCGATCAGACCACTTCCAACAGCAGTGCCTTCCACAAGTCCAAGTTCTTGAGCTGCCTGTCGAGACAAGCCTTGACCAACTGGGCTTCCGGCAGTCTGCACTCGGCCGTGGGCGGTGCCCATCTGCTTCCAGTTGCCATCATCGATGAGTTCACCGAGACCAATGCGATTGAAGAAGTCCGGCTGCCAGCCTTTGTCGGGAACAAAAGAGCATTTGCACGGTAGTCGAACAATAGGAGCGTGTGCTATCTCCAGTTGCTTTGTATGTGAAGAAATCGGGAAGGTCAAAGAACTGGCATCGGGCGAACAGGGCAGGATCCATGTGCTTCTTGAGCCAAAGAATCTTGGGCACCTCCATCTCAAGCTGCTCGCAAAATAGAATTAGCAAGGTATACCAGATTAGTGGTTGTTACATACACTCATGGTTCCGCCAACATAATTCAAGACAATGGATCCAGTGGAGTTGATGAGTTCAGCCTCCTTCTCAGCGCGATGGTCTGCCCACAGAATGATGTTCCGATCGCCATTCTTTCCAATATCATTTCCTTTGGTCACTGTTATCGGATTCGCGTCAAAATCTGACACGGCGAGAGAGCAGGTGGCATCGAAGCCAAGTCCCTTGACTGCGGTTGCGGGAACGTTAGATTCCTTTAAGACTTCCTTCACTGCAGTACAGATCTGCTCCCAGATATTGTTCGTTGATTGCTCGAAGATACGGTGATCGTGCTTATCACGCCAGGTGATGGTGTCCTTTGTGGAGGAGGCTTTGATCTCGCCATTTTGTGCGACGAGAGAGGCACGAGCAGAGCCAGTGCCGACATCGATACCGATGAAGTAGGGTGTGTTGCTTCCCATTGCAATGGGCGGTGCTATGTGATTGATTAATGGTGGTAGTGATGATCAGGGAGGGAAATAAGTGTGAGTGAATCAAGTTGGAATTGCTATGCATAGTACGACATTGGAAACTCCACACGTTGCTCGGTAGCCGGCACGGGACCATCCAATATAATCATGTCATTGCTATACCGTGGAGACGTATTTCAATACCACAGCAGGTCAGCTGAGACGCGTTCAAAGATCGTTGCTGCCATTGAAGGAGACGAGTTGATGATTATCTTATCTAGAGTCGACTTTCAAATTCAATTATGCAAATATTGATCATCATGATCATCGTCTTCAATATCCATCAGATGATCCTGAACTACCGCTAACGCGACATGCCTCATGTTCTCCGAAATCATAGATCATAGTCATCTCCAATTGGCGTTGACATGGATATTTTCCGTCATCATTTGTCGGATATACGGAAAGATCACCATATGTCGAGTAGTACGCTATCGAGACTTGAAAGTAACCAATCGACATGATTTCATCCAAGGCACAGCTAGTAAATCACATCAAAGAGATTGAAGTTTGTCCATCAAAATCGCCCACTCAAGCACAGTTACCCCTTTCTTCAACACCTCCTCCTTCATCTCCCTGTCCCTCGTTTCCTCTCGTAATCGGGCAAATGCACGCAGGTGTTCCTCGCGCCGAATTCCGAGACTAGCAAGTACAGGTGCTATATGAAGCAACGTAGGGTTCGCAGGACGCAAGCACCATTTCAACCGATGATGTAGAAGTTGAACGAACGCCCATCACGGGCGCAGAAGGCCAGTTTCTACTAGGATGGCTACGTGGAGGCGAGCTGGTGCTAGTTGGAACTCCTGGTTGGTGTTGGATCTTGCGGGAAAGTAGCTGGTTGCGGTTGTAGTGGTGAGGTTCTGACATGTTTGGATAGAGCATTGAGTTCAGCCATTGTATATATCCGCTCAGAACGTGTCGGGCTTGGAGGAGTACCCCGTTTATCGCGTTTTGCTTTCTTCCCCTGAGGTGACCAGTTTGAATTGAGATCAGACGGTGTGTATATTCTCTCCGAGCGATATGTCTGAGAAACACTTGAGCGGCTTCTTCTAAGTCCTGATTTCAGGTTCTGTAAATTCTGGTGGTCAACCCCATGTTCGATTTGATGATGTATTGAGACAGACCTCTATATCTCTGGGTACTGGCGGCGACTTGCTTCGCCACTCCTGGGTCCGTTGAGCGGTATCAGCGGCATTATTTCCAACCACATTCCCGAATTCATCCTTATCGTTTCTCGCAACATCTTCCCTCCACATCGAGACCTTCGTTCCACGCTCCATGACTTTCGATCTTGCCTCAGACCCATGACGCTTCATAGTGCCTGCGTTCTGTTGCCGCATGTCCGATGAATGTACGGTTTCTTGATCGTTAAGCCCCGCATCAAGTACGCGCCTCGCAAGGTCCTCAGCGTAAAGGTATTCCTCCTGCCGCAGATCAGGGCGCCCGCCCATAGTCGATTTCATGCTTCTCCGCCCACTCCCCATAAACCCCATAAACCCCACTATATCGCGCGGCATCTTCCATCTCCTCCTTGTGGACATGCACCTGAGTGACACCATCGAATCCCCGCATCTCTGACGCAGTTTCAAAGTCGACGTCCTGGGTTACAGCATCGAAGTCATCATTCACGATCTGGACTGTCGTCGGTGCTCGGGGATGTCGGTGTTTGCGAGCTACGGGGGCTTGAACGGATACAATCTCATGAGATGAATCTTGATGCCCATCGATGAGTTCAAATCAGTTGATATGCATCAATCGCTCAAAGTTGATACTCACCGCTATCAGACGGTCGATACCGCATTTTTCCGCGATGGATAGCGGCTCTGGGTGTTGCCTGTGTACCCTGATACGATGAACCTTTGTCGATGTCAAGGTCAAGGTCAGGAGACATGCATGTGCCACTCTCGCTTTGTTCCCGAACCCGAGGGAAACACGAGGTCTCTTGCGTTTGAACCTTTGAACGTGGTGCCTTATTTACTCCACCTTTTGCGATCACGCAGAATGAAGCAGCCATTGACTCAAGCTGAAATGCCCCCTACACGTGTTCGTTAGAGTGTGGGATATCGTCCGTTTTTCATTGATGGAAGGATGGCGTTTGGATTGAACGGCTAATCAGATAAGGATTAGGCGGTAATATACAGTGCAGAAAAATACATGCTGTAGTACAAAATTAATAAAATAGTGCAGATATCGAAAAACACCTAGCAAATAATAAAAGCGGAAGAGGAATATGCTACGTGGTTGACCAGTTATTTCTTCGTCTTGCTCTTTTTACTGCCTGATGCCCCTGCTTTCTCTTCTGCCTGATATAATGTTAGCGAAGATCGTTGTGCCTCGAATAGATATTCACCTTCCGTTTTGTGCCCTTTCCGTCTTTAATAGTTTTGCTTTTTGATTTTGCGTCGTCGACCTTCGACTTCTTCGGCGAGGTTTTGGGTTGTACAGAGAAGAAGCCATCAAGACGACCTTGCTGCTTTGCGTTTAAGAATTTTTGTAGCTTCTCGGCACCTTTGCGGACTCTTTCCTCACTGTATGCGCGTCAATTGGTGGCTGTGCTGATGGAAGACCGCGCTTACTTGAATCCTTTCTCAGTGACTAAGAACTGCACAAGACTATCGATATCTGGGTCTTTCCACTCGAGCTGACAAGAATGTAAGCGGTCATGCTAATGGCACAGCAGTGAGTAGATATCATACCTCGACCTCAGAAGCCGGAACTACATCTGGTTTTTCAAATAATTTCTTTGCCTCTTCCCAGGGCCACTCTTCGGGTACTTGTACGCCTCCCTTTTTCTTCTTGGCGCCATCTTCTGCATCGGCAGTTTTCTCTTCCTTCTCTGCCTGCCTGAGTAGTGACAGAGTCAGAGACATAAAGTTACTTAGGACTGGAATCACGTACTTCTCTCGCAAATGTTCGACAACACCTGCAAGCCCACCGTACTCTCGTATGAGTTTCAAAGCACTCTTCGGTCCAACTCCTCTTATTGGCTCGAGATAGTCGCAACCAAGTAATACACAGAGATCGATGAACTTTGAAAAATTCAGTTTCGGGATAAATCAGGGGGCGAATCAGAACAGACCTGTGACATGTCCATCTCGAGACCTTCGAGTGCTTTCTGGAGGTTTATCTCACTTATAGGTGCTTTCTTTGCCTCGGAGAAGGTCAGGTGCCGGTAGAGAATGGGTGTGTTGAAGGTGAGGGTGTCCATATCTTCTGAACCTGCCGCATATACCTGAATCTCGTTGAGTACCGACATTGACAAGACAACGCGTTGCAAACCTTGCCTCCCCTGGCGAGCTCTGCACATTGTGCTTCTGCTTCGGATGGTGCCTGAGAGGGAATTAACAACTGAGCTACGGAGCACATTAAAAGACATACCACAATGACAGGGATACCCATAAGTTTCAATAGCTTTCTACATTCTTCGTTGTGCTCTTTTGTGACTTTGACGGTTCGTCTAGAGAGCCTGTCGACATCCTCTGCAGTACCGGTTTCTTTAGCCTCTTCACCTTCTTCCTTAGCTTCCTCCCGCCTTTCAAAACGTTTTGAGAGCTGCGAGAAGGTGAGGACAATGCATATGCGATATGATTGAGCCACGTACCACACCCGACTTGAGTTCGGGAGGCTTGCCGTCGAACACATACGCGGGTTTGATGCCATTCTCGACTATACGTATAGTACGATAGAAGAAACCCATCAAATGACTCGTCGTCTCCCCCGCGTCGTTTGTGAGCATCTCGCCATCCTTCTGGCGGACAGCAATAAGGAACTGGTATATGGACATGGACGCGTCTATGGCAACTTTGCGTCCGAAGAGGGTCTTTATGTCGTGTTCTGTAATAGCTTTTGGTGCATGCTCGGAGATGAGCGCTGTAAGTCCTTTGATTCCCATTGTTTGTTAGTTGTGTTGGATGTCGACGTCGTTGACGGTGGTGAGGAGGCGTGTGACAACGTGCGCGTGACAGTCGTGACGCGATTGTGACTTAACGCGATGTGACCCCTTCCGTGGGGGTTGGTCCAATGTGTTCTTCTCGAGGGACAAGCACGGTAGAATACTCTAGATGGGTACATGAGCCATTCACTTTCCTTACATGATGTGGTCGGTTCTCCTCCACACAAACGCAGGTGCTTCTCACTTCACGAGGACCACGATGTCGACCTTGAAACTAAATCCGTGACAGAAGGTGCGTGGTTGCCCAGAACTTTCTGTGTAACCTGCGCCTGATATCTTTCAGATGAAGCCGACCTTGGAATACGCCAGCTTATTGCTGAGGAGATCGACCTGGAAATTGCTATCCGCCAACGCCTTCTAAGCACCATCGACTCTCGCATAACATGGGCACTTATGCTACAGGAGGCTCTCGTCCGGGACTCGTCCACTCCGGTTCCTGATGCTACACCAGACGACTTTCAAGAGGCTGCTTTAGATGCCCTGAACGCTGTCGAAGTACCTTGCGCATTCTTATTTGATCGAGAAGAGTCGGTATACGACGACCCTGAACCTCCCTCTCTTCGTTCATTTTCCCCTGTTGCCCCAACACAGCGCGAGCGAATACCTCCGAAGGTCAGGCCGACGCGTACGGCTGCAGCAAAACTTCACCCGCAGAAAAAGCTGCTTTATATCCGTCTGCCCCCTTCACAGATAGCCGTCGATGAGCATATTGCTATTCTTACTTGCCCTACTTGTACTCGCACGCAGTTCACCACCCTTCAAGGGCTCTTGAATCATGCGCGGCTTGCTCATGGTATTGAGTGGGCCAGCCACGACGCGTGCATCACGGCTTGTGCTGTTCCAGTACCCTCCAGTGATGAGGCGGAGAAAGATCGGGTCGAGGAGGAAGGTGTTGAAGTGCCTTGGGGAGGCAGTGTTGTCGGTCTACAACGACTTTTCGAACGAGCTGTCGGTGTCAATCTTCCCGCGTCTCTTGTTTCCGAAGAAGGACAGGGAGCTGCTGGCGCGGCAGCCATACCCAGCACCCTACTTTCACGCACCCTCGGTTTACATGCAGACTCCCCTGCCCTTGCTACGTTTCTTGGAAGAACCCCGAAGCGGAGATGCATACATGCTTATGAGGAAGATACAGATGTGGACATTCTCAGTATCGATACTGCTCCACGCAGGCCTTCTCCCAGTTTCGAAAGTAGGGAAGGAGTTGCGAGGAGAGCATATGAGGGCGTTAGTCGTCATCCTTGGCGAATGGCTTTTCCGCATCGAAATAGAGCTCGCCCTGAACTCGATCTTGTTGTTGACGCGCCTGCCCTTGTTGATAACGTTGCAGAAACCACAGCAACTCCTGCGATACCAGGAAGCACAACTTCACGATTCCATATCACCGCTCGTGTGCATATCACAGATAGAAGTTTATTCATCTCGCCAAGTATGCCCACATTTTACAACATATCAATTAAGTTTGATCGTATCTGTGTAGGCCGACGTGTAGACCTCAGTATTCCGCCATCGCATACTCACCGGTGGATGCTCAGTGTCACTGCTCCTTCTTACGTGCGTGCATTCTTTTCTCCTCCTCTAAGCCTTGTGATATATGTCCACGCTTCCGTAGTCGATACCTCTGGCCTCATTCATGATACGCTTGACAGTTTTGGCGGTGGCTCCATCTGATAATACACAACGGCAACCTTGTACTGTGGACAAAGTACCCTTCGCCATCATAGGCTCATCTTCTGAGCCCTTTCTTGCGAAGGTCGTGATGGAGTGGGCCAGTGGCGGGAGAATGGAAGTAGAGCATTGGATCGATGTATGTCTTGCTTTTGGCCTGGCGTCACTCATATTCAGTCTTCACGTAGCTTGACCCTGGGAACGCAGCGAGCTCTGTTCTTGGTTCAGAACAAGTTCTCGATGTCGAACTTGATAGAGGGACACGCCTCCTCCCCGTCCCTCCCGGTCCTCCACCGCATATTCCTTCCTTGGAACGTGAACCTGCAGAGATTACGAGGCAATCTGTGACAAAACCTCAAGAATCTATAAATGAATTAGGATACGAGAAGGTTCTGCGGAGTTTGTTGCCAAGAGTCCCCATGACACTCAAAGGTATTTCTGGCTAGCGTTGCAACCCGTGATCATCTCCAATTTTCTGATATGACGTTACCATAGATATGAAGTTCCGTTCACCTTTCCAGGTACCATATAAGCTCGTTCCATCACCGGTGCATCTTCTGGCGCTTGTGCCTGGGAGACGGAAGGCTATCGAAGTGCGTATTTTTGTCGGTATCGACTTTTCTACCATATTTTTAAATCCGTTCATAGTGGGGAAGAGCTCGAGCACTGCAAGCACTTTATGTCCAGCATGCAGCCTCGGCCTCCGCAGAATTGATGTCCCTCACTGTTGGTGATGTCTATGCCTTCTTAGAAGATTCGGGGCTTTTTCCCCGTTCGTCCTCGAAGATCGAAGATCTTGTCCCGAGTGCGAAAGATAAGAAGGACAAAGTGAAGGATAAGGATAGGGAGACAGAATCCGCGCTTCTGCCGGTGGATGAACCCTGCTTTGTCTGTGGCATAAAGAAACGCTTCCACCCCGCACTTGCTGTCACCACCAAAGTGAAGAAGGAGCCTGTTTTCGACGAGACAGTATCATGGGTTTGCGATATCGTTCCGCCGCACGAACTTGAGCGGGGTTTACGAATACCCATCATTGATTTGACGAAGATTTTTGGAGGTGGACTAGAAACTGCCCTATACGCCGGGGAAGCTGCGGGAGATGGGCGAGGGCTACCGCATCAACCTATGGCTTCTTCTCAAATACTCAGACCTTGGCGTTATTCTGCGCGGCAGATTGTCTCATTAAGTCCACCGGACCTCATTCTTGCTATTCATAGGAGCGTCGGATCTTTGCGACTTCCGCATTTTCCTGAACTTCCCTCTCCGTCTCTGGACAAGCGTCGTACAAATTCGGAGATCGAAGAGGCATTTGCACCATCAGCACTACTAGCCGCTGTGCTCAAACCGTTTATTGCCGTCCTCGTGCGCTCTGCAGTGGACGTTGCAAAACGGGACATTGCGATTGCATCTGGTGCTGGAAATAGTAGTACTGTTGCAGTTGCTGGACAAGGCAAGGTGACACGAACCAAGCGAGGAAGAAAAGTAGGGTCTGTTCTAACTCCAGGACACATCTTACGAGGGCTGTCGTTGCCTAATCCTGTCCACGGTAGCGGGCTCACTGCGACTACTCTCAAAGACATGTTGGGGCTTTGTCTGACGGGAGTGAGAGTCCCTGTAGAGTTTGGACGATCGTTGACGCGGACTTCTCTCCGTCAGATTATGGATCGAGATGGCAGTGTGGAAATGAGGGAGGCGGGTGAAAGTGGTGTGGTTAAAGTTGAACCACCATGATGGGTGGGACTTGGTATTAGAAGTGAATGTTCATCCTCTGAGTCCGACGCTGGCGGCAAGTGCAGCCTTTTTGTATATCCATTGTGATCCTGGACTCTGCAAAACAGAATGCACGCCTTCCGAAAATGGTGAGTCCCTTACGCTTGTAATATTCCGGAGCGGGTGGTTGATGTTGAGGCTAGGATCTCCCTGCCTTGAGAGTGGCGGGTCAATCGATTCTATTTTTAGATATACTGCACATGTTTTGGACGTGGAAAATTACAATCAAATTTGGCTCTGATCAGTATTCAGTGTTACAGTTGGGTGTTGCAATCGGCGCGTGTCCTTGCAAATGACATTTGGTAATGTAAAATATTCCAAGAGACCTCAATTGTGATGCAAAACGCGACAATAAATCCATTTTGCAGATTAGTGTCTTCGGTCGTCGTCACCGACTGTAATGGCCATTGCAGTCGTTGACCTTACCTCCGATGTCATCTGCCTATCACATGACACTGCGGTAGTTACGCACATTTTACAGATGATGGAACTTGCTTGCTTTTCACGATACACACAGGGCCTGACTGTATCGCATGTATGAGTCCTTCTTGTTCAACACATCGATATGAAGGGTACCTATACGCCACATCAAGAAAGTCGCTTATCCCGGGTGAAGAATGCCTTTGCGCGTTGCTTCTGGATTATAGCACCTGTGTGTGTACGAGCTGCTAGCAACGCATCTTGACTGCACACCATCACTTTAGCGCCGACGTTTTCTCTTCGCCTCGTCTAGTAACTTCCCGCTAGGCATACTAGACAATGAATCCGAGGAAACGGCTACCTCTGTACGACAGCCCAACACGAAATGCGACCAACAATCTCTCTCACATCGCATCCCTATTAAGACATTAAAAGGCCAAGGACGGTATCACCGTTTTGCATATTGCGATTGCGCGAGATTAATAGCGGTTGGGTCTTTTAATGAGAGAGGATTCGAAGACTCCAGTACGACACCGAAATGATGATGTGGACGGTGAAGAAGGTTGTCGGTGTGCTTTTTAATCTTACGGAATGGGGCGCAAGTGGTCGCCTCTGAGGGAAAGGTCTGTTTGCAGATCGTATGATTCACTTGCCATGTGGCAGCTCATTGAAGTCGCAACATCTGACTCGGATTGTGTCTCTCGGATGTGTGTCTCGTGTTGCGTTCTCAGTTGCGGGACACCTTACGTTCAGTGGCGGCGGCGAGAATAAACACTGCAATGGATCTTAAGAATCAAGATATCTCTGGCCAGGCTCCGACCGGTATAATATTCGGGACATTAATTAACCTTGCGGAGCAAGGTCATGTTGGATGGAACACTGATACGAGTGTAATCACGTGAGATAAAAGAACGTCATACCGAGATCTAAAACATTGATCTAGAAACTCAAAACTGCAACAATCCAAACCACCGGTCAATTTGCATATTGGAGCAAGGTCAGAAGTTCGCAACGCGAACCCCAGTTTCTATATCCGAGCTGAGAAGGCAGTTTAAGTATAAATACACGATGTTTCAAAGTTAAGGAGTCCATTCCCTCCTCACTCCTCCAATTACTCTGAGCGAGTCCATCGGTCTAGATCTTTTATCTTGTCCGATCTTTTATCTAGAGATACCTTACTTCTGTGTTCAAGTCTCGTGCGGGATCTCTCTACCCTCGTGGTGCGTTCAGATAAAGGGGGTTCATAGTAATCATGCTAGACACACAAGCAGGCAGGCATTATGAGCGGTGTTACCATCGTCAACAACACAGAGGAAAAAATCACCGTTAGCATTACTAACACCGACGACAAAGGGGCACCTGGATTCTATGAAATTGCGTCAAAGAACTCCAGCACCTGGAATCGGAGCAAATTGCAAGTGTGCTATGTGTTGAGGGCCGATAATGGAAATACTGAGGTTCTTGTTGTGGAGCCTGGAAAAACTTACCAAGTCGGAGGTGCGTCCAGAGGTATGAAGCGAGTTCATAATAATCATTTTGGACACACGAGCAGGCAATATGAACGAAGTCACCATAGCCAACAACACCATAGAGAAAATCACCGTTAGCATCACCAACACTGGCGAGAATGGGGCACCTGGATTCTATGAAATTGCATCACAGGAGTCCAGCACCTGGAAACGGAGCAATTTGCAGGTGTGCCATGTGTTGAGAACCGACAATGGAAATACTGAGGTTCTTGTTGTGGAGCCTGGAAAAAAATATCAAGTCGGCTGAAAGCCTTACGGGTAGAAGCAGTTGGCCATGGTGCGTGCAGTTTATAGTTACACGATGTAAGAACAGAGCGAGTGTCGAACACAGATTGTTTTCATGATGGAAACATTAAATTCGCGCTTGAGATGGACAATTTGCCCTCGCGCGAGCGGCGAGATTGATACATTCCCGGGGCCCTTAATCAGTTACATCTGTATCACTGGTGGTCCAAAAGACACCCGTCCGAGCTGCAGCAGTTCTCGTCAGCACCATCTCATTACTGCAAAGTGTCCATCGATCAGAGGGGATGCATTGCAAGGGCTGCTATTCGGAGGAGACGCGAAGATGTGGAGTCATGAGTTATCCGAGATGTATAAATGGGGGACGGGCAGTGGACACCAAAGTGGAACCGCCTTGATCTAGTTAGTGAGGCCCGACGCATGATCACCAGACTTTGAGCTAAAATATTCCCCGGCGAGAATGAGTGAGAATTTGGAAATCCGACGTAATTCATGTTGGCGAAAATTTGTAGCGATATCGATCGATAATCCACTGTTGGTTACTCGTTTCGGACTTAACTGCGCAGCAATCAACGTTGTGAACGCATGTACATGTATAGCCGTCGTCGCCCACTGACTCAGCTTCCACATCCTCCTACCGGGTCTCCAGACTCATGCCCAAGTTGTCGTATAAGTGGTGCTCCTGTGAGAGCTACAGATGTAGGGATAATCCTGACGCAAGTGGTCAGAAACTACAGACCGTTCAGACAGCTGCAAGACACCATGCTGCTGATCAGCAGCTCCGCGATGCTCGTACCATTGAACCAGTCGCTTCTGGGCCTCACTCACCTGCACATGAGCCTTTTGGAGCCAACGAACCATTCGCGCATGGTGATGATGATGGGGAAGGGATCTTCGACCCTCCTGAGCCGCTAGACAACCTCTTCGAGATGTGGAATGAACCCCCAGACGTTCGAGGCCCAAATGACTTCAGCACTGACGAAGATGAAGAAATTTTTCAGCGACTTGGACGAGCCAACACACCAGAGGATGACACGGAAGATCCTGCAGTTCCCGATGATGATCCTGACATTGATGTCGAGGATGATGAGGCTGCTGCTGCTATTGATCTCTTTGTATCGCAGGGCACCCAGTTTGATTTCTCGGATGTCCTAGAAGGAGCGGATATTCACGCTGACCCTCCGTCATGCATGGACGACCATCCGGCAGTCCGCCACGCATACATACATGCATTTATATCTGCAGCATTCTATAATGCTACCCACGCAGCAGTGTATCACGATCTTGAAGGAAAGGAGCGCCTTCTGCGCACTGCTCAACAGGCCAACCCTGATATTGAGTATCCAGGGCTCGATAACTTTGCCCGCACACTCCCCACCCTCCTCAGACGACTTGGTCTATCGACAGATCAATTTATTGTTTATTTTTTCGTTTGCAATGTCTGTTGGAAGCTACACCATCCATCAGAGCTTCCTGAGCTACATTCTCCTGATTGCACTAATCCTGATTGTGACGGATTGTTGTACACCTCGAAACGACTGGCTGACGGCACCCTCAAACGAACTCCAACAAAAATCGTCCCATATGTACCTCCTGAACGGGCTCTACAGCGATTTCTTCTACGACCAGGCAAATGGGACCAATTCCAGCACTGGCGCGGCCCTGAAGACCAGCCAGGTCATGTCCCGCCTATTCCTGGTCATGGATACAATTCATTTCCCGACCCGTCTAAGCCAATGAGAGACATTTATGATGGATATGGCTGGCGTATGATTCAGGCGGGGCTAGAGCGTCGAAGAGGTGGACGATGGGAAATAGAGGATGTAGACGTGCACGAACTTCATCAACGTTTTGTTTCACTACCTTGCGGACTGGTATGGCAAATCAATATTGACTGGTATGTCTTACATGTCTTTCACCCTCGCCAATTTGATACTTACACTAGGTGTGTATTGTTACAGGTTTCAAGCGGTTAAAGGAAAATCAGGCTATCATTCTACGGGCGCGTTTTATGCTGTCATCTGCAACAATCCACGCTCTATTCGTTATCTCCCGGAAAGAAACAATACTCGTTATGGTTATGCCAGGACCCGACGAGCCATCGTTGGAGGAGATGAACTATCTGTTGGAACCATTCGTGGAGAGTATGCTTCGTTTGGAAAAAGGGTCAGTTGTCTCTAATCTTCGTAGCTGTTTTCAATTGACATCCTACAGGAGTAGAATTCACTGTTCATGGTCACGATGATCCGGAGGTGTCACACTCTCATCTGTACTGCAATGTATCTGATCTCCCGTCAAGTCGCAAAGTGACCGGCCTCCAAGGTCATAGCTCGAAATTCTTCATGTGTCCAACTTGTAAAACACCTTCCTTCTCGCTTGCTCACCCAAGTTGTTTTGATCCGTCAAGTACATGTCTCACTGTGATACACTGCTCAATCACCGCTAACATTTGCTCACATAGAATTCAAGTACCGAGACGACTGGAGGTATATCAAGTATTCATTTCGTTCACGTAATGCAGACTCTGCAACTGCCGACGCCATTCATGAGAATCGAGGTGCCCGTTGGTCTGCCCTCAATTACCTTCCGGGTTGGATGCCTGCTCGTAGCTCCGTAGTCGAGTTTATGCATGCGGTGTTTTTGGGTAAGTTTCGAGGATTGTAATTGCAATTCATTACTGACATATCAAAGGTCTGGTGAAGCATCTTAACAAGATCATCCTCATTAAGTCTGGTTTACTTAACGGAACGAGACTTGTCAAGCCAATGGACCGACTTGAGGCCTTCTTTTCAGGGCTCGTTTGGCCAGTCGAAGCAAATCGCCTACCGCCTTCAGTCAGTGTATTATTTTCTTTATCATTGTCCGCATCATAATCTGGTTCATAGCTTTCAACTGGCAAGGGATCACCAAAAGCAGATCAATGGCGCAATCAAATTGCAGTCCTCTTTGTCGCTCTGTATGATGCGTGGGCAGTCGACGGCGAGATCCCAGACCACAATGCACCTCCCTCGGCGTCTAATACCAAAAACTTCACTGCCCAAGCCACGATGCAGAAAACTCTACGCTCACGGCTTTTGGAGCATCTGCTCGCTCGCAATGCACATCCCTCTGATGCTGAAACTGAACGTGTTAACTCTGCAAAGATGGACCGTAATTTACGTCGACATTATGCTGTAATTCTCGAGTTCTCGGCTGCGGTGCGCATCCTATCATCTCAATCTATCAGTCCAAACGATGTTCGCAGAGGATGTGTAGCATTATCTCATGCTACACAGAGCTGGGCTCGCATGGGATGTCACCTGACACCGTACTTTCATTTTGTTAATCACTTTGAACAGCAGATGTATGAATTCGGGCCCTGTTATGCGACGTGGGCTTTTGCGTTCAAGCGACATAATGGCAAGCTCGCAAAGATAAATCACAACCAGCATAAAGGAGGAGAACTTGAAGCTACACTGATGCGACGGTGGTGGAGCATTACATTCAATTACGAGCTTGTATGTTGCCTTATACTATGCTCCTCGTTACTAGACTAACTATCTATGTACCAGATCCTTCACATCGAAGCTCTTCCTAACCGAACCGAGGATGATGAAGACTCCCTGCGGCTTCTTCGGATGTCCCTGAAGACTCAACAGAAAGGTCGCCTGAATGTTGTGGAAGGTCTGTTGTATCTTCTTCATCTTGCTGAGTTTATCAATGACATCCGTCTTCGATATGCAGATGATATCACTTTCACTAAGCACCCGAAGAAGCTCAATCTATTGGCAATCAGCAACAACATATATCAGATTACATACAGGTACCTGCGCAACAAGTGGAGCGCAATCATCAATCTCAAGACTTCTACCAACATTCTGGGAGATGGCGAGAACTTTATGGCAACGCTAGATCATACTCTCATGTGTGGTTACGGGGACTTCGGTATGGTTCTGCAATCGCTCATCGAGGGAAGTCTGCCCGTTACGCATACATCAATGGACGCCAACCTGTGGAAATTCAATACCTACTACAAGTCTCACATGATAGGCGTGTTGCTGACACAGCACCGCTCATCGCTGATCTTGCCATTGTACGACATTTTATTTCGGATGACAACATACCCGAGTTTCCCTGGGCGCTGTGGTAAGCACATTCAATTTTCGCACTACCACATATTGACTGCTTCAAGGGCAACAGATTTGGGAGTTTCTGCATGGTATGCAGACCAGCTTGATGATTTAGAGGTGGTTCCTATCAGTGCCTTGAGTGGGCACTTCATCCTTGCTCCGCTCAACGTACACGACAAAATGCTTTGGATCGCGGTCGTGTATGATCACGTACGTGTCTCTTTTTATCATGTAATCAATTCGTACTAACAGCCTTATATGCTAGGGCAACCCAGAAGCGGATGTTGACGTCGATGATGACTGAATTAACATGCATGTACTACGGCTCGTTCATTACTGATACAATATCTTCTTGGCATGGTACAGTGTGGTTGTGCAAGAGGTCTATGTCTGTGGGTTACTAGGCATTGTACAAGTCCTCATCATCCTCGTTGGCTAGTGGTTCTCCTTCATCATCTGCTAATCCCTCGTCATTCAAGCCTTGGGCTTGTTCAGGTGCGTCTGCCATAACTTCAATTGAATATCATTAATTCATGAATTCATGCGCAGATAATACAATGGTAGTAGTGACATACCAATGCTTCCATCGTACCTCGATGGGTCTTGAGGGTGCAAATGTAGCCACTCAGGATCAATTGCGCCGAGGGGTATCTTCGGACCCATCTTAACATACGGCAACTCTCGATTGCGTGGATCACCAATGATGCGTGGATGACGACGGCTGAATTTTTTGTCCTCGAGTGCGAGGCCATTGAGGTGATCCATGGCTTGATTGAACTGATCTGATTCAGCTGTGTGCTCGTCGCATACTTGTGGAATACACACCAACAATGACCGGTAATTTTGACGGTGCGTAATCCATGGTTCTTTTGAAGGTGCTTTTCGCTTACCCTTGGCTTTTTGCGGGTGGCTTCTTGCGAACATCCTTTTCCTCATCTGTGTCCGGGTCAATTCCCCCTTGCTCGTCCTCCGATGGCATGCTCTCGTCGGTGCTCTGATACGCTAACTGGAATGCATAGTCCCACGCAGCGGACATGAGGCTTGATGCAGGTCGCACATGGTTACGCTCCTCCAATTTCTCCAGGAAAATCAGTTCATGTGTGCGAAGCTTATGAGAAACTTACGGCTCGTTTGCGTGCTTCGCGATGCGCTACCTGTGAGTCAATCTTTCCTTTTACTTTGCCTGTTGTTAATGAGATTTTGTTGGCACTGCGGTACTCTGCCGCATAATACTTGAAGTTTTCGTGGAGGCGCTTGAGTATGTCTTCATCCGTTTTCGAAGCAAGAAGCTCCTGGGACACCATTGGGTGGCATGATCTGATATTGTGCTTGATGTACTGCACAAGGTGGGTGTGCCACAATGCATTCTCGCTCCAGTCCTTGCTAAAGTCGGGCCGAACTTGTTCCCCTTTGATTTGCACACCGTCGTCGTGCGGATGGCAGACCTTTATTGCTGAGGGTTTCGTAACACCAATGCCTTTCAAGAAACATTTACGGACTCCCGTCTATCTACAGAGTAAGCAAGTGCAGTTTAACTCTCCCTAAATCACTTACATTCCAGATATTATCCTTTGAATTGTCACTAACTGCCTGCGCCGTCTTGGATTTGGATGGCTCGCTACTTCCTTCAAGTGATTTGGTAATCACGTCGACATTTGAGGAGACAGAATCGAGTAACGTGCGTGCTTTTTTCAACATCTTCTCCGAGCTGATTGTGTCCGTTGTGTAGCATTTGAAGCTCCAGACGAAGCTTATCTATCTCACGACCTTGTTCATCTATGATGTCAGTAGCTTCATCCTGCTTCTCCTTCAGGGCCTTCATTTCGTTCTCCAGGCGCGTGATTGTGTCAGTAAGCCACTTCGGGATGACAGCTCGCGTGCCAGTGGTCGGTTTGGTGAGACTCGGAGTTCCTGCACCCTGTTTATTGGCTGCTGATACACGCAAGGCTTCAGATGATGAATTCGAGCCATCTGGAGTCGTGAAAGCTGCAGACAGCGTGAGTGATGAACTGGTCAGTGTCGGTGAAATTGAATTGGTGTTTTGTGGTGTTGCAGATCGCTCTCGGGTGCTCGACAGCATGTGAAAGGGATTGGTGCTGGTCAGACGTGTAGACAAGGCATCAAATGGACTCTCGATGATCGCAGCACTCGCTAATTTGGATGGGATCGTTTGATTTGTAGCAGGAGGAGGCATTCTCGTGGTGTCAGGGTCATAGCCTTGATTTGGTGATGGCACGTCAAGCTCGCGTGTTGCCTCAAGTGCAGGATCGATGGGTACGTCTGCAGGTCCAGCTGAAGGATTGTTTCGTTCTGACAGCTTTGCCTCTATCCCATCAGGACGCATATATGCGTCATAACGTTGGCTTTGTGGCAACATTGCATCGAACGACTGCGGTGGATGAGGTGGAATGGACTCCAGAGGAACTAGGTGAGCTAATGGTGCCATATTATGAACAACCGGAGGTGCTGACGTGGAACCGAGTGCTGGGAACGGGTTTTTGAACCCACCTGTGGTCCGTGGCTGAACCAGAGTCTTCCTACCACGTTTGGAGGTTATGGACACATCCCCTCCGTCATTCAGCTTCCTCTTGGCCACAGCCTTGCCCCCAGCCTCCTGACCGCCTTCTGGACTCGTTTCCTGGCCCAGTTCCACGCTGTGTGAGGCAACCTGAGGCTTCCGAGGAGGCATAGTAGTATTGGAGATGGTTGTTTTGATGTCCCAAGGGTCGAACTACGCGTCAAAGCGGCTTCAGTGGGCTTGTCTGAAAGCTCAGGAGCTGGCTCAGCAGTACAGGCTTGCCATGGAGGGCTCTGATCGTTGCAGGATGAAGGAGACGCGCAATTGCAGGGGAATATGCTGTATTAGGCTACATACGGACTACTTTTTGACAGGTGAATAATTAGGGAGAATCACAACTTTTTTGCTGTCGAAAAACGTCAGATAAGGGCTCATTCCGACGATTTTCAGCTTGTCGGAATATTGGTAACTATTTGCCTGATTATCGTTGGATATTTGTTCTTTCCGACGATAACCCACCGTCGGAAAATTTGTGTCAAAGTCTGGTGAAAGGCGTGCAATACTTTCCCGCAGCGTCCGAGTCGGAAAGGATGCCTCACACCAGACTTTGACACAAATTTTCCGACGGTGGGTTATCGTCGGAAAGAACAAATATCCAACGATAATCAGGCAAATAGTTACCAATATTCCGACAAGCTGAAAATCGTCGGAATGAGCCCTTATCTGACGTTTTTCGACAGCAAAAAAGTTGTGATTCTCCCTAATTATTCACCTGTCAAAAAGTAGTCCGTATGTAGCCTAATACAGCATATTCCCCTGCAATTGCGCGTCTCCTTCATCCTGCAACGATCAGAGCCCTCCATGGCAAGCCTGTACTGCTGAGCCAGCTCCTGAGCTTTCAGACAAGCCCACTGAAGCCGCTTTGACGCGTAGTTCGACCCTTGGGACATCAAAACAACCATCTCCAATACTACTATGCCTCCTCGGAAGCCTCAGGTTGCCTCACACAGCGTGGAACTGGGCCAGGAAACGAGTCCAGAAGGCGGTCAGGAGGCTGGGGGCAAGGCTGTGGCCAAGAGGAAGCTGAATGACGGAGGGGATGTGTCCATAACCTCCAAACGTGGTAGGAAGACTCTGGTTCAGCCACGGACCACAGGTGGGTTCAAAAACCCGTTCCCAGCACTCGGTTCCACGTCAGCACCTCCGGTTGTTCATAATATGGCACCATTAGCTCACCTAGTTCCTCTGGAGTCCATTCCACCTCATCCACCGCAGTCGTTCGATGCAATGTTGCCACAAAGCCAACGTTATGACGCATATATGCGTCCTGATGGGATAGAGGCAAAGCTGTCAGAACGAAACAATCCTTCAGCTGGACCTGCAGACGTACCCATCGATCCTGCACTTGAGGCAACACGCGAGCTTGACGTGCCATCACCAAATCAAGGCTATGACCCTGACACCACGAGAATGCCTCCTCCTGCTACAAATCAAACGATCCCATCCAAATTAGCGAGTGCTGCGATCATCGAGAGTCCATTTGATGCCTTGTCTACACGTCTGACCAGCACCAATCCCTTTCACATGCTGTCGAGCACCCGAGAGCGATCTGCAACACCACAAAACACCAATTCAATTTCACCGACACTGACCAGTTCATCACTCACGCTGTCTGCAGCTTTCACGACTCCAGATGGCTCGAATTCATCATCTGAAGCCTTGCGTGTATCAGCAGCCAATAAACAGGGTGCAGGAACTCCGAGTCTCACCAAACCGACCACTGGCACGCGAGCTGTCATCCCGAAGTGGCTTACTGACACAATCACGCGCCTGGAGAACGAAATGAAGGCCCTGAAGGAGAAGCAGGATGAAGCTACTGACATCATAGATGAACAAGGTCGTGAGATAGATAAGCTTCGTCTGGAGCTTCAAATGCTACACAACGGACACAATCAGCTCGGAGAAAGATGTTGAAAAAGCACGCACGTTACTCGATTCTGTCTCCTCAAATGTCGACGTGATTACCAAATCACTTGAAGGAAGTAGCGAGCCATCCAAATCCAAGACGGCGCAGGCAGTTAGTGACAATTCAAAGGATAATATCTGGAATGTAAGTGATTTAGGGAGAGTTAAACTGCACTTGCTTACTCTGTAGATAGACGGGAGTCCGTAAATGTTTCTTGAAAGGCATTGGTGTTACGAAACCCTCAGCAATAAAGGTCTGCCATCCGCACGACGACGGTGTGCAAATCAAAGGGGAACAAGTTCGGCCCGACTTTAGCAAGGACTGGAGCGAGAATGCATTGTGGCACACCCACCTTGTGCAGTACATCAAGCACAATATCAGATCATGCCACCCAATGGTGTCCCAGGAGCTTCTTGCTTCGAAAACGGATGAAGACATACTCAAGCGCCTCCACGAAAACTTCAAGTATTATGCGGCAGAGTACCGCAGTGCCAACAAAATCTCATTAACAACAGGCAAAGTAAAAGGAAAGATTGACTCACAGGTAGCGCATCGCGAAGCACGCAAACGAGCCGTAAGTTTCTCATAAGCTTCGCACACATGAACTGATTTTCCTGGAGAAATTGGAGGAGCGTAACCATGTGCGACCTGCATCAAGCCTCATGTCCGCTGCGTGGGACTATGCATTCCAGTTAGCGTATCAGAGCACCGACGAGAGCATGCCATCGGAGGACGAGCAAGGGGGAATTGACCCGGACACAGATGAGGAAAAGGATGTTCGCAAGAAGCCACCCGCAAAAGCCAAGGGTAAGCGAAAAGCACCTTCAAAAGAACCATGGATTACGCACCGTCAAAATTACCGGTCATTGTTGGTGTGTATTCCACAAGTATGCGACGAGCACACAGCTGAATCAGATCAGTTCAATCAAGCCATGGATCACCTCAATGGCCTCGCACTCGAGGACAAAAATTCAGCCGTCGTCATCCACGCATCATTGGTGATCCACGCAATCGAGAGTTGCCGTATGTTAAGATGGGTCCGAAGATACCCCTCGGCGCAATTGATCCTGAGTGGCTACATTTGCACCCTCAAGACCCATCGAGGTACGATGGAAGCATTGGTATGTCACTACTACCATTGTATTATCTGCGCATGAATTCATGAATTAATGATATTCAATTGAAGTTATGGCAGACGCACCTGAACAAGCCCAAGGCTTGAATGACGAGGGATTAGCAGATGATGAAGGAGAACCACTAGCCAACGAGGATGATGAGGACTTGTACAATGCCTAGTAACCCACAGACATAGACCTCTTGCACAACCACACTGTACCATGCCAAGAAGATATTGTATCAGTAATGAACGAGCCGTAGTACATGCATGTTAATTCAGTCATCATCGACGTCAACATCCGCTTCTGGGTTGCCCTAGCATATAAGGCTGTTAGTACGAATTGATTACATGATAAAAAGAGACACGTACGTGATCATACACGACCGCGATCCAAAGCATTTTGTCGTGTACGTTGAGCGGAGCAAGGATGAAGTGCCCACTCAAGGCACTGATAGGAACCACCTCTAAATCATCAAGCTGGTCTGCATACCATGCAGAAACTCCCAAATCTGTTGCCCTTGAAGCAGTCAATATGTGGTAGTGCGAAAATTGAATGTGCTTACCACAGCGCCCAGGGAAACTCGGGTATGTTGTCATCCGAAATAAAATGTCGTACAATGGCAAGATCAGCGATGAGCGGTGCTGTGTCAGCAACACGCCTATCATGTGAGACTTGTAGTAGGTATTGAATTTCCACAGGTTGGCGTCCATTGATGTATGCGTAACGGGCAGACTTCCCTCGATGAGCAATTGCAGAACCATACCGAAGTCCCCGTAACCACACATGAGAGTATGATCTAGCGTTGCCCATAAAGTTCTCGCCATCTCCCAGAATGTTGGTAGAAGTCTTGAGATTGATGATTGCGCTCCACTTGTTGCGCAGGTACCTGTATGTAATCTGATATATGTTGTTGCTGATTGCCAATAGATTGAGCTTCTTCGGGTGCTTAGTGAAAGTGATATCATCTGCATATCGAAGACGGATGTCATTGATAAACTCAGCAAGATGAAGAAGATACAACAGACCTTCCACAACATTCAGGCGACCTTTCTGTTGAGTCTTCAGGGACATCCGAAGAAGCCGCAGGGAGTCTTCATCATCCTCGGTTCGGTTAGGAAGAGCTTCGATGTGAAGGATCTGGTACATAGATAGTTAGTCTAGTAACGAGGAGCATAGTATAAGGCAACATACAAGCTCGTAATTGAATGTAATGCTCCACCACCGTCGCATCAGTGTAGCTTCAAGTTCTCCTCCTTTATGCTGGTTGTGATTTATCTTTGCGAGCTTGCCATTATGTCGCTTGAACGCAAAAGCCCACGTCGCATAACAGGGCCCGAATTCATACATCTGCTGTTCAAAGTGATTAACAAAATGAAAGTACGGTGTCAGGTGACATCCCATGCGAGCCCAGCTCTGTGTAGCATGAGATAATGCTACACATCCTCTGCGAACATCGTTTGGACTGATAGATTGAGATGATAGGATGCGCACCGCAGCCGAGAACTCGAGAATTACAGCATAATGTCGACGTAAATTACGGTCCATCTTTGCAGAGTTAACACGTTCAGTTTCAGCATCAGAGGGATGTGCATTGCGAGCGAGCAGATGCTCCAAAAGCCGTGAGCGTAGAGTTTTCTGCATCGTGGCTTGGGCAGTGAAGTTTTTGGTATTAGACGCCGAGGGAGGTGCATTGTGGTCTGGGATCTCGCCGTCGACTGCCCACGCATCATACAGAGCGACAAAGAGGACTGCAATTTGATTGCGCCATTGATCTGCTTTTGGTGATCCCTTGCCAGTTGAAAGCTATGAACCAGATTATGATGCGGACAATGATAAAGAAAATAATACACTGACTGAAGGCGGTAGGCGATTTGCTTCGACTGGCCAAACGAGCCCTGAAAAGAAGGCCTCAAGTCGGTCCATTGGCTTGACAAGTCTCGTTCCGTTAAGTAAACCAGACTTAATGAGGATGATCTTGTTAAGATGCTTCACCAGACCTTTGATATGTCAGTAATGAATTGCAATTACAATCCTCGAAACTTACCCAAAAACACCGCATGCATAAACTCGACTACGGAGCTACGAGCAGGCATCCAACCCGGAAGGTAATTGAGGGCAGACCAACGGGCACCTCGATTCTCATGAATGGCGTCGGCAGTTTGCAGAGTCTGCATTACGTGAACGAAATGAATACTTGATATACCTCCAGTCGTCTCGGTACTTGAATTCTATGTGAGCAAATGTTAGCGGTGATTGAGCAGTGTATCACAGTGAGACATGTACTTGACGGATCAAAACAACTTGGGTGAGCAAGCGAGAAGGAAGGTGTTTTACAAGTTGGACACATGAAGAATTTCGAGCTATGACCTTGGAGGCCGGTCACTTTGCGACTTGACGGGAGATCAGATACATTGCAGTACAGATGAGAGTGTGACACCTCCGGATCATCGTGACCATGAACAGTGAATTCTACTCCTGTAGGATGTCAATTGAAAACAGCTACGAAGATTAGAGACAACTGACCCTTTTCCAAACGAAGCATACTCTCCACGAATGGTTCCAACAGATAGTTCATCTCCTCCAACGACGGCTCGTCGGGTCCTGGCATAACCATAACGAGTATTGTTTCTTCCGGGAGATAACGAATAGAGCGTGGATTGTTGCAGATGACAGCATAAAACGCGCCCGTAGAATGATAGCCTGATTTTCCTTTAACCGCTTGAAACCTGTAACAATACACACCTAGTGTAAGTATCAAATTGGCGAGGGTGAAAGACATGTAAGACATACCAGTCAATATTGATTTGCCATACCAGTCCGCAAGGTAGTGAAACAAAACGTTGATGAAGTTCGTGCACGTCTACATCCTCTATTTCCCATCGTCCACCTCTTCGACGCTCTAGCCCCGCCTGAATCATACGCCAGCCATATCCATCATAAATGTCTCTCATTGGCTTAGACGGGTCGGGAAATGAATTGTATCCATGACCAGGAATAGGCGGGACATGACCTGGCTGGTCTTCAGGGCCGCGCCAGTGCTGGAATTGGTCCCATTTGCCTGGTCGTAGAAGAAATCGCTGTAGAGCCCGTTCAGGAGGTACATATGGGACGATTTTTGTTGGAGTTCGTTTGAGGGTGCCGTCAGCCAGTCGTTTCGAGGTGTACAACAATCCGTCACAATCAGGATTAGTGCAATCAGGAGAATGTAGCTCAGGAAGCTCTGATGGATGGTGTAGCTTCCAACAGACATTGCAAACGAAAAAATAAACAATAAATTGATCTGTCGATAGACCAAGTCGTCTGAGGAGGGTGGGGAGTGTGCGGGCAAAGTTATCGAGCCCTGGATACTCAATATCAGGGTTGGCCTGTTGAGCAGTGCGCAGAAGGCGCTCCTTTCCTTCAAGATCGTGATACACTGCTGCGTGGGTAGCATTATAGAATGCTGCAGATATAAATGCATGTATGTATGCGTGGCGGACTGCCGGATGGTCGTCCATGCATGACGGAGGGTCAGCGTGAATATCCGCTCCTTCTAGGACATCCGAGAAATCAAACTGGGTGCCCTGCGATACAAAGAGATCAATAGCAGCAGCAGCCTCATCATCCTCGACATCAATGTCAGGATCATCATCGGGAACTGCAGGATCTTCCGTGTCATCCTCTGGTGTGTTGGCTCGTCCAAGTCGCTGAAAAATTTCTTCATCTTCGTCAGTGCTGAAGTCATTTGGGCCTCGAACGTCTGGGGGTTCATTCCACATCTCGAAGAGGTTGTCTAGCGGCTCAGGAGGGTCGAAGATCCCTTCCCCATCATCATCACCATGCGCGAATGGTTCGTTGGCTCCAAAAGGCTCATGTGCAGGTGAGTGAGGCCCAGAAGCGACTGGTTCAATGGTACGAGCATCGCGGAGCTGCTGATCAGCAGCATGGTGTCTTGCAGCTGTCTGAACGGTCTGTAGTTTCTGACCACTTGCGTCAGGATTATCCCTACATCTGTAGCTCTCACAGGAGCACCACTTATACGACAACTTGGGCATGAGTCTGGAGACCCGGTAGGAGGATGTGGAAGCTGAGTCAGTGGGCGACGACGGCTATACATGTACATGCGTTCACAACGTTGATTGCTGCGCAGTTAAGTCCGAAACGAGTAACCAACAGTGGATTATCGATCGATATCGCTACAAATTTTCGCCAACATGAATTACGTCGGATTTCCAAATTCTCACTCATTCTCGCCGGGGAATATTTTAGCTCAAAGTCTGGTGTTTGTAAACAGAACTTTGTCAATTGCAATACTATTATGTAATAGACAACTTCCTTCGAGTATCTTCATTTCGGGATCATGATTTTTTTCATGCGCCAGGAACTAGTCTGGTCCCGGGAGATATGCTGCAGACTTATTTTGGACGCGACTCTGAGTGTTGTAGCCGTGAGAACTACAGTAATTGACGCGCAAATGCCTTTTGGTAACGTGCTTGCTTGATGGGTATAGTATGATGCAAAGCTCTATTGATCGATTTGATGGTCCGCGTCACCACCCGGGGTGGGCATCGGCACTTTGCGCTCAACGTAAGTCGCCTACCATCACATGTTCCAGAATAGGATACATTGTGTGCCTATCTCTTCTTGTTATCGAGTGGCGTGCCATGACACTTTCTATCAACTTTTTTTTTTGATGACCACATGGCGCTTGCTGTTAACGATGGAAGTCCTTCTACTGACCATTGAGGACATTTCGTCAGGATCATTCCTGCTTCGCCGATGGGAAATTATGATAATATCCGACGCATAAACTCAATTGCAAGCTGAAGGAAACTCGAAGAAACTGCGCATCCTACATAGCGATTCCGTCAAATAGCTTCAACGTTCAGGCACAATTTTGTGCACTGATAGACGCTCGGGAATAGTACTGCCAGATTGCCAAACGTCATGCAAGCACTCTTTGTAGTACGACTGCCCCGCAGAACAAAACTGACGATTAATCGACGACTGGGTGAAGGTACTCACTAGAGTTTTCGGTCCCGAATCGTCTCCTGCCGTGGCGCCGTCCCCAATCTGCCGCGGGTCCTCCACATTTGGCAACGCTCAAGTACTGGTCAATTTGAAATGCGCTACTTATGTAAAGTTGCATGTGCATGAACTGTTGAACACACATTTAAAGAAACATTCCTCTCCTGGTGAAAAATTTGCCACCATGCAATTTTCTGTGATTCTGTGATTCCCACTCAACGCCAACTTCCACGCGGTATTCGGACGCTGGTCCATCGTCCGCTGCCACAGCCCCAGCCCTATCGGTAGTTCCGCAAATTCTTCGGACCTAGTACTAGGTTCAGTCTCTTTCCGGAGTATGTATACCCAAGGCTAAGCACTTGCGTTCCAGCCGACTATTTCCTTTTACCGTCTTCTAATTCCAACTTTCATCCTCACTCATTCGTTCGTTCACTCTGTTGGTTGCGTCTGCAACATGTCCGTAGAATATCTCATCCCGCGTTTTGATAACACCCTCGGTGCTTTGCTCGTAGGCTTCTCTGTCTCTGCCACGTACGTATTCACCCATTTGACCTTTCAGTCTTGAATTCGACCTTGCCTTACAGTGCGTTTGGAATGTTGACCATTCAGGTGTTCACCTACTATAAGCGTTTCCCCCAAGACAAGGCGGCATATAAGGCTCTCGTAAGTGCAGCAATACTATCGAGTTCACCCCCACGCTCATCATTTGACCAGGCTGCATTGATATGGTGAGGCGGACATATACCCTACTGAAAACAAGGCTCAGATCACATCATCAAGGTCAATTTCTTTGGTTGATCAAGCCTTCATTGGTCACAGTGTATACTTCTATACCATCACGTGAGTCGTCCGCTATCCTCGCCTCATATCGCTGAATGAATCCACTAGAAATTATTTGGATCCCCTCCCATTGGAAACAGGAAAACCACAGTGGTGAGTCCTTCTGTTCCAAGTAATGTCCTCTTTTCCCCTAACGTTTGGGCTAGGACTCTTATAGTGAGGCCATACTTTCCCTTACCGTTAACATAAATTGAACTTTTCTTTCGTGTAACAGCTGCAAATGACTTTGGGCGTGAGTGTCTCCTGTAAACTATATGTGGTGTATGTATCTAATCGAAGCATCCTTTCGAACATAGGCTGTAGTTGGTGCTATTGTCAAGGCGTACGTGGATTGATATGAACACGTGAACGTATGACTGACCTTCGACTTCTGATAGTTGTTTCACACTACGAGTCTGGAGGTGTAGGGAGCTGTCTTCGTGTTATTCCAGAATTTTGTATTGATGTTTGCACAGTCAGCTACAGAAATTGGTGGCTCACAGCGTTCTTGGTAGGTCGAACTTAATTTCTTATTTCCCTGTGCTGATAAGGGTCCTTGCGAAGTTTTTGATGGTTCTCGCGCAACTTGGCACGGCGATCGGTGAGTGCGTACTAGGCTCTACTCCAAAACCATTCTGAATCTTGTTATCAGTGTTCACTGTAAAATGGTTCCTATTTTTTTTTTTGATTGTACCGTCAATTATATTGACGTAGTACATGAAACAGTTTCAAATTACCTACTTTCACGAGCATCATTTCCTTGAAGGTAAGTTAGTTTACGGTTGTCTATTTTCCGTTCTCACCCCTTGTAGTCTTTGGGAAGCCTTTCCTTGGGCATCGGAGTCGTTACGGACATAAGCATAGCTGCCGCATTATGCTTTCACCTTCAGAAAATGCGCTCGAGCCATCCAACGTACGTCTCACAAGTTCCCGTTTGTCGTGTATTCTGATGAATCCGCTATTCTAGTGCGGACTCCATGATCAATACGTTAACAATATACGCAGTAAATACCGGTCTTCTTACCAGGTTGGTTTCACTGGTGCTTTCCAAAGTTTTAAGCCTGACACATGTTCTATATACAGCACCGTCAGCTTGTCGACCCTTGTTCTGGTGTGTGATAATATTATGCGCAGGTTTCACAGGCTGAATTGTGTGAAAAGTTCGACCTCATGCCGACGAACTTCGTGTTTATATGCCTGTATTTTGTTGTGAGCAAATGTCAGTCATAAACAAGTCATTCTTGCGTCAAGCTAAGATAGGTTCATCCAGTGTATGCGATATCATTCCTGGCTACGTGAGCGGATTATGAGGCTGTTCTTATTGCCTCATTTATATCATTGCTTAGACTCAACACTCGAAAAACTATACGAGGTCGTGGCACAGATCCTGAAGGAGGAAAGGCTGCGAGTTTCAGTATGGTTACCGACTCCATGCAGCCTTCAGTAGGGATGCCCATACAGCTGGCGGTGCAAACCATTCGGGAAGAAATATTGGCGGGTGCGGTGATTTCCTTTATTCTGCTAGAATGCATCTAAGGATTCACTATGACAGGATGTCGTGAATCGAAATCCATAGCAACAAATTCTGTATGTGCTTTTGTCTTGCGCCATTGACCTGGTGATAACTGGTCATCTAGACACCATCCTATGATTAGGGGCTAGTAATTTTCATACATCATCCTTCGTGACACCTCGACCACCCATACTCTACGCGCGAGGTGCGCTTTATCATTGAATGTGGCTTTGGCGTTATTCGTCTCTCTTTCATTTGCAAAAGGCAGCGCCTGTTGCAGTAATCACACCGAATCACACCGGATACATAACGTAGACACAACCACAACTTGGAATTTGAATAGAGTTTGTATAGTACCACGATAAAAACGCGATGACGCGCTGTACTTGTTTCGTTCAGCAGAATACGTGTGATTCTCCCTTTGATCGCCACATCATAGGTTGGCTCAGCCTGTCGCACACCAACATTCACCGTCACTGCATCTATTATTGTAAGGTTTCCGAACATCTCGCCGAGTGACTGGTGGGATTCCGCGGAAACAAGTGTGATACCGTACAGTGTACACTATTTCTCCGACTCGGAGGCTCTGCATGCGGCCCCACTCGTCGTGCAAAGGACGGACATCATTGTCAAGGTAAATGACACAACTCGGGTCTACTGTCCAACCTCGTAATTTCCTCTACAACCAGTTTAGTCTCCCATCACACTGAAGTTCAGTTAAAACTTGATCCAGCGACGTAGACCGCAGCCGATGCGTCCTCAAGTTCAACTTGCTCAGGCTGCGGTAACATTTGCTTCTGTGCATTCTGGTGGTACCTCTCAGGCCATCGAACATCTGGTCCCCAGGGTCTTAGCTTGAATTCTCTAAACCGGCGAGCATGGCTCGATTGGAATTTGGTGAAGGACCGACTCGATGTCCTGAGAGATACGTGCCATTCGTTTTCGATGAACGCTCGAGATAATTTATGCACGTTATACATCAAGGACACGCCAACATGATGCCCTCGGCTTCCCTGGGCTTAGCAGGAGAGCGTCACAGATTTGCACTGCGGGTACTTGACGTAGTGGGCAGACCAATAGAAGTAAGACAGCTGTTCCTCCTGCCAGCCTGGCTATCACTGAAAAAGTATTTGAAAGAGTCACCCATCTCTTGGCATCGTCGATTTCAATGAATACACACTCATATACGTGTGGAGTCGACTTACTGGAGGTGTTGTACACTGAATTATGTACAGGCGAACTTCAGACGGACAGATTGGAGAGACTCCCGGGCCGTGCAAGATTAAGTCAGAAGCCTTTCCTTGGTCTTTTCCCTACTCATCCGAAGGAGCAAACCGAGGATTGTACCGATGACGCAGGCGAACTAAAGACGGGAGTGGAATGACGGAACGACAAACCGAAAAAAGTCCGGAATCTCTTTTTGTGCGGGGGGTGGCGTAGGGTGCTCTAGAACCTCCGTGGGTGAGTCATTCCCCTGATTTTATTAATTGGGCTCGTTCATCATGATGGCGAGGAATCGTGCCTACGAGGCTTCGATTGTTCTAAACTAAATGAGTCTGGACCTGGTTGTTATGAGCTATGTGCTATAGTAACCATTACCGGCACGGTGATCAAGGACTCGGAGAGTGCCTGTTATCTGTTAGTACCTCTTCCTTTTGAAAGGCTAGCTAAGTTACAATCGGTTGCGTGCTTACGGGAGCCAATTGGAATATGTCTTCCACCTTGTTCTCAAGTTGGGTTTCCAATACATAACTTTGCGGACCCTGAAGTCAGTCCTTCCCTTACTTGATCAGAAGTTTGGCAGTCACATATCTACAGATCAGTTGTCTGGGGCTCGAAGGCTTCCATTCCCCGGAACGTTTTATTCTTATAATGGTGGGTTTGTTACGCAGCTAATTATTATACTCCCAGGGGCCGGTTTCGTATGATATGAAAATTCGAAATATTGTGGAGAATCGAGAACAGAGAGCTAGCGGCGCAGTACCTGGAGTTTAAGTTCCGCGGGGGTATCTGGCCCATCTGGAATCTCGCGAAGCTCACCGGATTTCTGCCAGGCAGATTAGGTTGCCAACCGTGACAGTCACGGTAGTACTCAGTACTTACTGCGGCGCTGTTACTGTCTCCTATTTTGAACCAGAGAAATCGAGATTCGAGATTCTGATTGCGGAACTTCCCCGTGCTTGCTGAGGACTGCATTCTGCAGTACCGTGACACGAGAGTGTCAGCACTGGACTTTTTTCAGAGAACGGCGGGAGTTTCGGAGGAATTGCTGTGAGTACTCTCGGTACACCATTCAATGTTGTATGATGGCCCTATTCTTGCTCATCATACATCTCTTAAATCATTTGTTTCCATCGAGTCCTTGCTAGTAGTAGTACTTGCGAGTACCGCTCAACCCCCCACCCCCGATGCACACCTACGCCTACACCCTGCTCTATCCGTCACCGTTTTCCTGCTTCCTCCAGTCGGTTCTTATGAACGTTTTCATGTCCTCTGTCTCACCGTTTCTCACCAGAGATTTTTCTCTGTCCACTGATCTCCCCTTGATACGTCTTACACTTTTTCACACAAGCAGCCAATCATTACTACCGATGTCATAGATGAATGCTAGCCATGAACACGTCCCTTCCTGTCTCCTGATGCGGCCTATTGCGGCGTTTGCCAGCATGCCAACTCCCAGTACCAGTATTCAAAGTATCACCATCACAAACCCACGGTTGCAAGGCAGTATAACTCGTGAGCAGCGCACAGTCTCCACTTGTTGACTTGTGGACAACATATTTTTAAATCTCGTATGCAACACGAAGAGTAAGTGGTCGCCCGTCAATGTATAGCAAGTATCCGATATTCATCGGAAAATGACAACATGATCCCATCCGCTACTACCAGCCAAAATATACATGGAAGGCAATACTGAATATCCCTGTTGTTGGTTGGCAGAACTGTACGAGCCCTCCGAGTTGGTATCCAATGTCTCACCATCCACCTTGCTTTTCGTTGAAAGATCACGCACCTGAGGCATCGAATAAGCCGCCAACTTCGATCAGTCAGCATGCCTACGCGAGTAAGTCAGTGGATCAGCTGTGCCTCTATCTTGACATTGTTGCACCGAATGAGGTTGCGCTGAGGTGCAGAAGGATTTGAAGAATAGTTGGAAGGTATCGTGTGGACTAATGACTTTGCTAAAGTAGAATAACTTGCATGAGAGGTATGTGCGAGATCAAGATGACTACACCGCGAAAATATCAGGGTAATACATACAACAGCTTGATGTACACAGGGAGGGTAGAGAATACATGATCAACGACTCGTAAAACTAAAGCAGACGACAGCAATACAACACGGTAGAACTAAACACCAACATGAATAAAAACCATTCTCTGCTCGAGCGGAACCTTCGTCTTCACCACGTGCGTAGCACGATTGAGTGCCCAGGCCGCCTTCGTACAGTCCATCACACCACCGTCCTCCAAATCCTTGAATATATTCTCGTAGAAAGCTTTGACAGCGGTGTGACATGCTGACAAGAACGCGAACTCGGCGTGAGGAATGTCTTTCTCCATGATATCAAGTAGCGTGATAGGTTCATCTTTCATGACGAAATGAGAATTGTAAGGCTGCTCGCGGTCCTGCTTTCCATGGCACGCAAGGTGTACCCAGTTGTTGTCTTGCAATGCTTGGAGTGCACCCGCTCGTGTGGCCGCGTCACCAGAAATGGTGGTACGGTTGACCGTCGCAGGAACGAGCTTTCGGACAAGCTCGATCTCGCTGTCGACGGCCAAGGGCTCCTTGCTTTTCCCTGCACGCAGTTGACCCTGTCCGATCGCTATGAAAGATGGAGGGACACGTTTCTTCATCATCTGCCTAGATCTGATCAAAGCCGAAAGTGTCGGCGTGTAAGAACAAATGTAGAGATCCTCCAGGCATGGCTCCTTCGAGCGATCTGCCTTTGTTTGAAACGGATGAGCTGCGTGGAGAGGAATGGACGTGAAAGCTGCAGTCGGACACAGCCAGATTCGAGATTGGCGCTTGAGCTCAAGGACATGCTCGAGTACGTGTACAATGGGTAGCATGATCTCTTCCCATATTGTCCGCAAGAGTACTATGAGATCCGTCCTCGACTCCTTTGGTTTCATCCGAGATGATTCTCGTATTGCCCTGGCGAAGCGATCCTTAAGACTCTGCAGATCTTTGAGAGTGATGGACGGCAAGGGAATATTATGGGGGTCTCCTGACGTCGGGACAACGATGGCGCTGCACGAGTATTGACTCGCAACGAGGATGATGACTGGGCCATGACGCGCTGTCGCTTGCAAGTCTTCATACGAAGGCGGGAGCAAGGACCTCGAGAAACCTTTAAGATCACGGATTTCAGCTACTACTGCTCCCCACTGCTCGGTAAGTTTCCTGTACTGTGTTTCTGCCCGGTCAGCAGCAACTCTGTCTGTGCTGACTGCGGGACCTTGAACCTCGGACAGACACTTGCTCAGCTCCGAGAACTTGTGAGCTAGGTTGGGATTCGTGGACTGGAGATCTTCCAGCGGAGTCCTGAGCCGCGAGGCCAGCGACCACTGTTGACCACGACCCTGCTCCAGGAGTTCAACCGCTCGTCGCAAATCATCACAATGTATGGCATGTGATGCAGCATCTACTGGCAGTGATTGGGCGCCACAAAAAACAGCTGCAGCCTCACGCCGTGAAATTGCTGACGACCGCGATGCCAGGTGACGCTCGAGAAGGTCGAAAAATGTTGTGTAAGCCTCCAACGCAGATGGGTGACCGCGCTCTGCTGCGACGATCCAGAGCCAGGCTGTCTGAATGCGGTTTCGAAAGCCTTGCGTGGGATGTTGTGATGCCAGTCTGAAGTTCTCTACAGCGAGCGACAAATCAGCAAACATGTGTTGCACTCTGTAACGAGACAAATAGGCTTCCTGCAACCGCCGATAGTCGAAAAATCTACGGGGGTCCAGTGAAGGGAAAGTCTCCAATGATTCGTGGCACAGTCGAATGGCCTTCTCGACATCTTCATCCTTCTGAGTTTGCGTGAAACGAGAACTGAGTGCTGAGCTCAAATTGATAAGAGCTTGATGGTGAAGTGGATGGCCATGCTGCCTTAACTGAAGTGAATCGCGCAACAGATCAATGGACTCGTCGAGACCTTCGCTGACATCCAATTTGTTATATCTGGAATTGAGTGCGATGGCCAGCTGGTTAAGTACCCAGTCACGATTTGGATTCCAAGGTGGGCACAACGTCAGTGCCTCGCGCTGGAAGCTGATGGCTCTGATGATGTCGTTAACATCACCACATTGAGTGAAACGGGAGAGGAGGGCTCGTCCTAGGTGGCTCAATGAGTAATCACGAGATTCGTGCCCAACAGGACGCAGGCATAGCGCTTCTTCGTACAAAGAGATGGCTTCGTTGAGTTCATGAGTGGAGGAAGCGAGACAGGAGTGAGTGGGCCAAGTGAACCAGGTAGGTATCGCGATGAGAATGCCCTTTTGGGCACAGAGAAACAGCTTCACGACAACATTGTATGCACTCGTCTAGATCATCAATGCTGCCGCGTTGTTCAAAGCGTGAGCCAAGAGCCGTTGCAAACTCGCTGAGAGCCCATGCAAAATTTTCCAGTGCTTTTGGACGGTGCTCATTGCCCAGAGGACAGAGCTCGAGTACGACACGTCGAATGTGAATGCCTTCATCGGATGCGTCTATTGGGAGTTTGTTGCATTTGCGGATCGCATAATCAACACCATCTGCCGCAACGCTACGAAGGTAGGTGCCCTCTGGACAGAGTGGCAATAGCTTGCAGCACAGTTGCGCGGATTCATGGATATAGGCGGCAGTAGTATCCTTGCTGTAGCACCAGTTCAACGCTACGGTGAGGTGATAAAGTTATAATGGATGATCGGGGTGGCCTTGCGGACGCAATGCAAGGGCTTCGCGGAAGAGAGAAATGATAGAGTCGATGTCTTGAAGATCCTTTCGAATGTAGCCTCTGAGGTGGGTACACGCCAGGTTGGTGAGAGCTGCTGCACGGTCAGGATGGTCGACCGGACATTGGTCCAGGACCAACTGAAAATGCTGTACGGCATCGTTCAGGTGAAAGACCGTCTTGCTTGTCACGTATGTGGCAAATCGTTCATGGCCCGCATCCGTCTCTCGAGCAACCTCACTTTCAACGACGGACTACAGTAGGTGTTCCATCAACAGAAGCCAACAACACAGAGGCTGATGTCACTCACATCAAGCACTGTGCTGTCCTGTTTGTCGCAAGGACGTATAACAGCAGCCTTCAGCGTAAGGGATGGGTGCATATCGCAAACGAGCGGGAAGGAAATGTCTACGCGATGTGGGTATATGCAAATGAGTGAGAAGGAGGTTACTCACCGAAAGGCTCATCTCCGCGATCGAGTAGCTCATCCCACGATGTTTCGAATTTTGCAACGACTTCCCCATTGCCTAGCATTCGATCGACCTCATACGACACCCTGATCTCCAGCGATAATTCGGGTACCTCGCATAATGATCTACAAACGAATGATCAGTCCTCGAATCACATCTGAAAGTCATTATGGACTCAACAAAATCACAGTATTGCCCAACACTTCGGATTCATCGGATGATACTACTCGGACGTCTGATTTCCAGCGCTTCTTCGAACCGACATTAATGGACACGTAAAAGCCTGCGGGTGCGCGCCTGGAAGGGAGTGGAAGATCGTTTACCCTGATGACTGTGAATAAGGTGCGAGAATGAGACAAAACGAATACGAAGGTGATACGGGACCCACGTTCAAGTCTGATATATTGACCTTCCCAGCTACCGGGTATGATGGTACGATGAAGGAAAACAACAAGGGTCAAGGATGGGCTTTGTAGTGGACAGAATGAATAGTAAGAGAAGACGGACTCAGTGGGCAAATGGGGACTGCGAATGAAGTTCAAGTGAGATGGAGGAGAGAGGCTCAATGTGGGTTCGGAACGTTCAGGTGATGCTGCACATGTATTTTCATGTTGTTCGATGGTAGTTCAGCGCTAGCACGATAGACGGGCCGTTTGTTGGACCGCACTAAGCGCTGGGGCCAATTATAAAAGATCACCGACTAGTAGCATGAGGGAGAGATCTTGTGTGTCAAAATGTCATGGATCAGCGAACGCCAAGGATGCTGTGCCAGTCTCAGAGCGTTCTGTGATGTAGACCCTACTCTCATCGTAGGTTATTTGAGACGTAAGTAGTATGATCAATAGCACAAGGCTGAGGCAAAAACCCGCTGTATTTGAGTCATGGTGTAAAGTTGTAAACAATACAAACTACTCAAAACGACGTGAAATTGATGCAGCTATGCCCAAAACGGCGCGCACTGAAAAGCCGATCCGTTACGAGTCCAAGCTAGTGTTGTAGAAACAGAGGCAACAATTTGCATGGCAATACCGTCACATGTGGCAGAGCTCTAGTTAACCTGTCTTTGAGACATATGAAGGTAAAGGACTTAGACATGCACAGGTTCCCCAGGTTGATGAAAACAACTTTGAACAAATACATAATGAAGCTGACTCGGAGTACCATCGCTTACCGTTCATTCTTCAAGTTTGCAAGCTTGGTTTTTATACTTATTCTCAAATGTCCGTTATTATTTAATATCTGCTAATTTTTCAGATCGCGGAGGACCTGGAGGATTAAGGCCTCGACCAGCCACGTTCTGGAATGCAGTTGATGGCGATTTTAGGTGCGTTGCTACAATTTGATGATCATTAATCTGCAGTGCCCATGGGATCTACTCCAGGCCTTAAACGAACATAGTCCTCATAAACCCTTCATCTGTACGAAGTCAAGGATCAGTGGGAGGACCCGCAAATACGATTAGACTTACATCCAGGTAAATCAGACCAGGACGCAGTTGACGTGAACATGTAAGCGCCCTTGTCACTCTAGTTGGCTTGATTCTAGTTAATCCATTCATACCAGAGGATTTGTACGTGCTGGTATTTTCATCTCGCACCGTATGATTAATCATCTATCTACGTAACATAATGATCGTCTTCAACCCGACCACATATCCCAATTTCCTGCAATTCCTCCAGCTCATTCCCGCCATTCGCATTCTTCAAACTGAAATGACGTTCAGCGTCTGCAGAGACTCGGGCCTTTTTGAATGGGGTGGTAAAATTTTGGCAACCTTGTTCTGCCAGCCGTCACGTCTTCTAGATCCCGACATGTGGCGATTAATCTATGATGTGCTCAGGTTCGATGCCTGTGCACGATGTCTCGTCTCCAACGAGGCCCCTTCCGACGATTCAGACTTGTGGACAGGAGATTACCTTGATCGAGAAGGATACTCTTTCCGGGATAATTATTTGATTGTATGGTGTATTTCTTTAACGAGAACAGAACTATTGTTGATCACCTTTGTAGCCTGTGATGGCTGCGATATAGAGTACATCACCTGAGCAGTGCCTTATGAACATCCCTGCTCGGACTTTGGTAAGTCTTTCGTCGTATATTATGTCGAATTTGACAGTCATTGTTTATAGGTACAATTCATGAACAATCGCCGCCTTCTACAGATTACGAGTAAGCTGTCGTGGCTTACTATCAAAGGTAGCAGGTCATGCATTTTTACAATAGAGGCTATCGGATCTGACTACATTCCCTAGTCGCAACTACGTTGATGTGATATTGTCAGAACTTCCTAAGGAAAGGTCGCGCCTGTCCTCTCCTCTAACAGCGATATGCAGAACAACATTAAAATCTTGTACGCTTCGGAATAACGACGACAGGATCCGACCCATTACTATAAGCCAAATTATACGTAATGGCACCAAGCAACTATCCGAACGTCCCACTCGACACAAGTAAGAGACAAGGCATGCTCATCCCCGATACTCAGCGCACTTCTGGTCTCGGGTCCCTACATGGAGCTTGAATTTCTGCTTGTGCCGTGTGTATCTACCTCGATCTCAATTGGTTTGCACTTATCAGCGAGACATTTAATAGTAATTGCAATCTATCGTCAATATCATCAAAGAGTTCATGTTAGACACCATGTCTCTCACTATCCTCAACTGTTCGATTTCAGTGCTTGAAGTTCTGCTGTTGCTGTGCGTTTTTACCTTGATTTCGATTGATTTTGCACTTACGAGTGAGACACTTGATAGTATGACGGGGGAGATGCAATCTATCTCCGTAGAACGGCTTTGCCACCTCACAAACAGCTTTCAAAACGGATGCAAGGAGCAAGACATTATGTCTAACCTTGATGAGGCCATCGAGCTGCACTGACGCTCCGTCCCCCTGGCCATTCCGATCGATACACGTCTGAAGAAACTTTCCGACAGCCTCCATGACAGATTCAAGCAGGGAGGGCACACTATCTGATCTGGATGAGGCCCTTAAGCTCCATCGAGCTGTACTAGTGTTCGCTCCTCCTGGTCACCCCGATCAATCCGATTCTCTTTACCACCTTTCCAACAGCCTTATTGGCAAAATTCCAGCAGCGAGGGATTTTGTCTGACCTTGATGAGGGGATTAACCTCCATCGAGCTGGATCGACGCTCACCTCCCCTGACCATTCTAATCGATTGTCATTGTCTCTGAGCAACCTTGCCAACAGTCTTCGAGCTATATTTGAGCAGCGATGCGCCTTGTCTGACCTTGATGAGGCCATCGAGTTCCATCGAGCTGCACTGGCACTCTCCGTCTGGAAATTATGTGTCTCTCGACAACCCTGCCATCACCATTTTTTGCAAATCGAGCAGCGGTGGACTTCATCTGATCTTGATGAGAGCAGTTGTAACTCACGAAGATCTGATGGATGTCATCACTCATGTGATTCAGCCTTGGTTTCACGATTATGTAACTGTTCGCGGACCGGAAGAATAAGTTGTGGTGCTCCGATCGGATTGTTAGCCTCAGGAGGGCACATCCACAACGCATTGCGGACTTGCAACAATGAACAACTCAAGTGTGGATGCAAATCTGGACGCATTGAGCAAAACAACCACTGTCCCATCTAGTGAATAATGGTGGTCCACAGGAAATTCTCCTGAAAGGAAGGTCCACGCAGTGGAAACACAACTCGAGGACACTTTCAAAGCGGTACGCAACAACCATATAAATACTGTGTCGGTGGCCTTCATCCTCTATCCCTTACCAACTGTACCTGCTACCACTGCGAACGCATACACATCCTCACAACATTTCGATCAATTATCTACTGGCCCAGGTACGTGTATTCAACACTCGCGCTTTCTAACTATATTTACTTCTTGCCTCCAGATGACCCAATCTACCTCCCACCCCTCATCGTACGGTTCCAATTTTTCCAGTGCCATACAGACGCATGCTGCCGCTCCCCCATACGCGCCCGTCTGTCAAAAGCGTGTCGCAGAAGACCTCGAAGACCGCGAGACCAAGCAGATCAAAATGGGCTCTGGCGAGATCAACAACGACCCGTATTTTGTGAGTTTCTTTTAATCTTGTGAGGTCGCATTCTTAATCCTTGGGACAGAAACCTGTGTTAGATCAATATGGTCAACATGATGGGACATACGTGTGCTCTAAGGATGGTATGGTAATCCGTCCTGGCAGACATATATACGATGTCAAGACAGCAAAACATCTTTGTTGCGGGCTCGTGCTATTCCAATGCCCTCTGTCTCTGGAAACGTGCGTATCTCCACTCTTAAATGAGCGTGTCTCATTGTTGTTATGATTAGTTGTACCCGACGTGGTGCCTGCAAGAGGCATGGGGACGACGGCTGTAGAAAGCTAGCAGCTGAGGGTGCTCCCCCATACTCAGCCACTTACCAAGGTTCCATGAGTTCTGCTTCTACTTCGCCTGTGGGAGTACCCACTGCGGCATTCACGTTCAGTTTCCCCACAACCGCCACGACGACGCCCGATAGCTCACCGCCAGAGACTATGCTGACAAAGGCCACCGAACACGCCCTAAACCCTGAGTCTTTGGCGGCTAATGAGATACAGGATCCTGCTTTATTGGCACCCGTGCCTCCCCCATCTCGAGTACTGGAGATTACATTCGCAGAGGGCCATGGAGACCTTGACTTTTGGAGGGGGATTCACGATGCAGAGGACTTTTTGGATCCTGTCCTTCCCATCTCCGAGCCTTCGACCCCTCTGTTGCCAGAGACCATGATCGCAGAGGCCACCGAAGACCCAGGTGTTTGGAATCTCATCAATGAGATAGAGGGGTCTATGGATCCCGATCTTCCTCTCTGCGAGTCTCCCACAGATGCCGCTGAAGACCCTGATTTTTGCCGCTTTCCAATCAGGGCCCTTTTCATAAGTTCTTGGCTAAATAATTCTTACGGGAGCGCTTTACACCAACGATCCCCCCTCTGAATCAACATCTCTCTCCTCTGCACGTATCGACCATGAGATGTAGAGTTCACATTTTTCACTTCTTTACTACTATCCCCTATCCTTTCTATGTTTTGCTATCTGCTGTCGCCTATTCTTGTATAGCACCATACATTCTTTCATACTCTATGGCACAGTGCACTACCTCTTCGTTCTTACTATTACCATTATTGTGGTTGTTATCATTGGTCAAATACACATTACTTTGATCTTGTATATGCGCACTGAAAGATGTCCCCTTCCTACCACGCTCCCCTCTTGCACAAATGCTCGAAGAACATACTGCTACTGATACTCGGAATATCAAATGAATTGCAAAAGACTCTAGAGTAGACGATATCATGTGAGGGAATGCGAAACTCAATATGGATACAATTGACAGGTGCTACAGTGATCGAGATGATAGAAGATCCAAAATCAACAATCAAATTAGGAAATCTATACTAGACGAAAACAGTATGGCAGGAACTACACACCAACATGAATGAAAACCATTCTCTGCTCAAGCGGAACTTTCGTCTTCACGCAGTGCGTAGCACGATTGAGTGCCCAGGCCGCCTTCGTACAGTCAATCTCACCACTGTCCTCTAAATCCTTGAACGTATTCTCGTAGAAAGCTTTGACAACATGTTTTGCGACAGCGTCGTCGACCTCCCACAGCGTGCCAATGACGCTCTTGAACCCTGAAAATTGCAGTCCAGCCGCGAGGTGAATCACCTCGTCGGGTGTCTCCTCATCGCCGACGGCGGTATGACACGCTGATAAGAATGCGAACTCGGCGTGAGGAATGTCTTTCTCCATGATATCAAGTAGCGTGATAGGTTCATCTTTCATGACGAAGTGAGAATTGTAAGGCTGCTCCCGGTCCTGCTTTCCATGACAGGCAAGGTGCACCCAGGTGTTCTCTTCCAATGCTTGGAGTGCACCTGCTCGTGTGGCTGCATCGCCAGAAATAGTGTTACGGTTGACCGTCGCAGGAACGAGCTTTCGGACAAGCTCGATCTCGCTGTCGACGGCCAAGAGTTCCTTGCTTTTCCCTGCACGCGGTTGACCCTGTCCGATCGCAACGAAAGATGGAGGGACACGTTTCTTCATCAATTGCCTAGATCTAATCAAAGCCGAAAGTGTTGGCGTGTAAGAACAAATGTAGAGATCTTCCAGGCATGGCTCCTTCCCAGAGCGATCTGCCTTTGTTTGAAACGGGTGAGCTGCGTGGAGAGGAATGGACGTGAACGCTGCAGTCGGACACAGCCAGATTCGAGATTGGCGCTTGAGCTTAAGGACATGCTCCAGTACGTTGACGATTGGTAGCATGATCTCTTCCCATATTGTCCGCGAGAGTACTATTAGATCCGTCCTCGACTCCGCCGGTCTCATCCGAGATGATTGTCGTATTGCCCTGGCAAAGCGATCCTTAAGATTCTTCAGATCTGTAAGAGTGATAGACGCCAAGGGAACATGATGGGGGTCTCCTGATGTCGGGACGATGATGGCGCTGCACGAGTATTGACTCGCAACGAGGATGATGACTGGGCCATGACGCGCTGCCGCTTGCAAGTCTTCATACGTAGGCGGAAGCAGGAATCTCGAGAAACCTTTAAGATCACGGATTTCAGCTACCACACCTCCCCACTGCTCGGTAAGTTTCCTGTACTCTGTTTCTGCCTGGTCAGCAGCAGCTCTGTCTGTGCTGACTGTGGGACCATGAGTCTCGGACAGACACTTGCTCAGCTCCGAGAACTTGTCAGCTAGGTTGGGATTCGTAGACTCGAGATCTTCCAGCGGAGTCCTGAGCCGCGAGGCCAGCGACCACTGTTGACCACGACCCTGCTCCAGGAGTTCAACTGCTCCTCGCAGATCATCACGATGTATGGCACATGATGCCGCATCTGCTGGCAGTGATCGGACGCCAAGAAAAGCAGTTACAGCCTCGTGTCGTGAAATTGCCGATGACCGTGATGCCAAGTGACGATCAAGAAGGTCGAAAAATGTGATGTAGGCCTCCAGCGCAGATGGGTGACCATGCTGCTCTGCTGCGATGACCCAGTTCCGGGCTGTCAGAATGCGGTTTGGAAAGCCTTGCGTAGGATGTCGCGATGCCAGTCTGAAGTTCTCTACGGCGAGCGACAAATCAGCAGACTTGCGTTGCACTCTGTAACGAGACGAATAGGCTTCCTGCAACCCCACGTAGCTGAAATATCTATCCGGGTGCAGTGAAGGCAAAGCCTCCAACGATTCTTGGCACAGTTGAATGGCCTCCTCGACATCCTCATCCTTCTGGGTTTGGGTGAAGCGAGAGCAGAGCACTGCGCTCAAATTGTAAAGAGCTTGATGATGAAGTGGATGCCCGTGCGGCCTTAACTGAAGTGAATCCCGGTACAGGTCAATGGCCTCGTTGAGACCTTCGCCGACATCCAATTTGTCATATCTGGATCTGAGCGTGTTGGCAAGGTTATTGAGTGTGGAATCACGATCTGGATTCTCAGGCGGGCGCAACGTCAGTGCTTCGCGCTGGAGGCTGACAGCTCTGTTGATATCGTTAACATCACCACGTTGGTGGAAACGGATGAAGAGGGCGTCTCCTAGGTTGTTTAATGAGAAATCACGATATTTGTGCCCAACAGGGCACAAGCGCAGCGCCTCTTCGTGCAAAGAGATGGCCTCGTTGAGGTCGTGATATTTGCCTTGGTGATTGAAGTGGGACTGGAGCGACGAGGCCAAGTAATTCAGGTAGGAATGGCGTTCAGAATCTCCCTCGGGGCACAAAGAAACGGCTTCACGACTGCGTTGGATGCACTCGTCTAGATCGTCAATACTGCCGCATTGTTCAAAGCGTGTGCGGAGAGCCCGTGCAAGCATGTCGAGTGCATTTGGACGGTGCTCGTTGCCCAGAGGACAGAGCTCGAGTACAACTCGTCGAAGGTGGATGCCTTCATCGGATGCATCTATTGGAAGATCGTTGCATTCGCGGATCACATAATCGACGTCATCTGCCGCGATGCTACAAAGGTAGGTGCCCTCTGGACAGAGCAGCAATAAATTGCAGCACAGTTGCACGGATTCCTGGATATAGACGGCGGTGAAGTTCTCCTTGCTGTAGCACCAGGTCAATGTTTTAATGAGGTGATAGATAGATGATGGATGATCGGGGTGGCCCTGCGGACGCAATGCAAGGGCTTCGCGGAAGAGAGAAGTGATATAGTCGATGTCTTGAAGATCGTTTTCGATGTAGCCTTCAAGGCGGGCCCACGCAAGGTTGGTGAGAGCCCCTGCGTGATCAGGATGGCCGACCGGACATTGGTCCAGGACCAACTGAAATTGCTGTACGGCATCATTCAGGTGAGAGACCGTCTTGCTTGTCACGTATGTGGCAAATCGTTCATGGCCCGCATCCGTCTCTCGAGCAGTCTCACTTTCAACGATGGACTTCAGCAGGTGTTGAGTCAACAAGAGTCGACAACGCAGAGGCTGGTGTCACTCACGTCAAGCACTACACTGTCATGATTGTCGCAAGGATGTAGAACAGCGGCCTTCAGCGTGAGGGAAGGGTGAACACCATGAACGGGCGGGAATGAGATGTCTACAGCATGTGAGTATATGTGCATGAATGAGAAGCATGTTACTCACCGAAAGGCTCATTTCCATGATCGAGCAGTGCATCCCATGATATCTCAAGTTTTCCAACGACTTCTCCATTGCCCAGCATTCGATCGAACTCGAAGGACGCTCTGATCTCCACTGATAATTCGGGTGATGCGTCTAATGATCTGCAAGCAAAAGATAAGACATCGAGTTGCATCCAAAAGTCGCCATGGACTGTACAGGATCACGGTATCGCCCCACGCTACTGATTCGTCAGATGACAGGACTCCAATGACTGATTTCCAGCCTCTCCTCGAGTCAACATTGATGAATATGGAGATTCCAGCGGGAATGCGCCAGGAGGGAACTTGAAGATTTTTTCCGCCGATAACTGTAAATAGGGAAATTAAATACGAAACAGATACGAAGGTGGTATGGAGCGACTCACCTTCGAGTTTGATATATTGGCCTTGTAAGCTGCCGGGCATGGTGCGATGAAGCAACACGAGGAGATCGAGGATGGGCCGGGTGGTGAATGGGGATATTGGGACTGTGAATGAAGTTCAGGTGAGACGGAGAAGAGAAATCGAAAGTTCAGAACGTTCAGGTGATGCTGCACGTGTATTTCCAATGCTATGTTATTCGATGGCAGTTCAGCGCTTTTAGCACTAGCATGATAGACGCTTGTATGATTGCACTGAGCGCTGAGGCTAAAAGATCACAACTAGCAGTAAAAGTGGCGCGTCAAGGACGACTCAGAACGTCCTGTGACGTAGACTGGTGGTTGTTTGAGACGTAGTTTGATCATTAGCACAAGGCCGAGGCAAAATATAGAATCCAGTGTATTTCATGGTGCAAACAGTACAAACCACGGGGGTAGGTGAAATTGACGTGGTCGTGCGCTACGCGCAAAACGACGCGCACTGAATTTTGAAAAGCTGTTCCCTTCTGTACGAGTCCATGCTAAGGGGGAAGGATGATCGAGCTAGAAACAAAGGCAACAGTTTACATGGCAGGTCGAATACATTTGCAAGAGCCACCTACACCGCAGGACGTGGTCGAAAATAGTGAATTACATAATAAATGAAATATCAATTCTCCCGCTGACAAATATTTCACAATGTAATCAATCCTGACTGAATCAATTCCATTGAACATCACCTCTTGCTCCTGGGCCTTTGTGGGACATGAATGCATGAACGCTGTCAGACTAGCCGTAGCAATGTACAACCAGACGTGTCGATTCTGTATGGTTTCCGAGCGACACCGCAAAGCCTTCCCGTGTTCCACCATCCCAGTAGTTTTCACGGAGAAAGAAAATATGCCCGAGGCATGAAAAGTCGCGCTCGAGATCTTGTAACATCTGGCCATTACCTGAGATACTGTTCCGGCTGACTGTCCCGTTTGGTGAGGATTGATGGCAGGCACTTAGGCACTCGGCCAGCCATTTCTCCAGGACCACGACAAACCCCTTCATTGTGTCTCGAACTCTCGTTCTCCCGGGACAGGAGGTGTGAAGCGTACAGTGGGGACGAAAGGAACTTCACTCTGTGGATGGTCAAAGACATCACTCCTAAGCTGGCGGCACCCATACCTCGAGAAGATGACAGAAGTTAGGCAGGAGGAAACTCGTCCCGAGTCCCCGTCATTGTCTTGCCCCAATGTCAGTACTCTTGCATGTAATCACCTGTATCTCGTTGCTTATAGTTTTGACATAGGCTAATGCTACGAGAGGTGATGGCATCATCGAGGACGGTCACGAAGATGTATACAACTTCTTTCGGGTAAATCTCGTGCAAAGGGCATAAGTTACCCTTAGTCTTCTGGCAAGGCACCTCCTGAATTTGCGCCACCTGATTCTCATCTCTCCCACCGGTCCCCAGCCTGTCGCTTCTGGAACGTTGTCCTTCAACACCACCCGTCGGTAGACGAGTCCGTTCCACTAGAACGTCCCAAGCGCAGCTTCTTCACTCGTCTTGCTTGCTCAAACTTACCCGTGGAGCCTGCAATCATTACACCCAACCAACCAACGCAAGAAGAGAAGGAGCAAAAAATGAGGAAGGTGCTAGGAATGATGACGCAAGTTCTTTCTCGGTTCTCAGAGTCCCTTGAACATAATGGGCCGTCAGTGTTGCATGAATCCTCAGCTCGGCGTCAGTCAACTAAAAGAAGGTTAAGATAAGCAATGAGAAGGACCTCTAACTGACGCGCAGAGCCTACCACTTGACGATTTCCCTCCCCCTGCGGAGCTCGACAGCGCTGATCACCGAAATCTCTGGAAACAGGTAATGCGTAGTTGAGGATAGGATTCCACCGAAATGACTCCAGCAATGAAACGTCCGGAAGTCTTCGAGGTATACACTGTTGGTTCCAGGTGAGCTTCAGTTGCATCTTGTGCAGGATTCCATTCTTACTAGAGACGGGATGAACAGAGATATATTGCAATGAAGCGGGTACGCAAGACAAAGTCACCGACAGCGAAAGGTGGTGTTGTTCCCGCTGCAGCGCACACGAGTGCCGGCTCGTCACAGCCTGGCTTAATATTGAAGTGGTCACCATACAGATAGGGTCGTCATCGCAAGATATGATCAAACTCCCCAGTGCTCTCCCTGCACATCCCTCCCTGCGCAAATGCACAAAAAACATACCGCTACTGATACTTAGAACATTGAATGAATTGCAAAATATTATAGAGTAGTCGATATCATGTGAGGGAATGCGAAACAACAGTATGACAAAACAGAAGGTAATCCTACAATTGACAGGTGCTACAGTGACCAAGAGCATCGGAAATCAATAGCTTAAAAACATACCAGATGAAAGCAACACGACAGGAACTACACACCAACATGAATGAAAACCATCCTCTGCTCAAGCGGAACTTTCGTCTTTACGGAGTGCGTAGCACGATTGAGTGCCCAGGCCGCCTTCGTACAGTCCATCTCACCACCGTCCTCCAAATCCTTGAACATATTCTCATAAAAAGCTTTGACAACATGTTTTGCGACAGCGTCGTCGACCTCCCACAGCGTGCCAATGACGCTCTTGAATCCTGAAAATTGTAGTCCAGCCGCAAGGTGAATCACCTCGTCGGGAGTCTCCTCATCGGGAGTCTCCTCATCGCCGACGGCGGTATGACATGCTGACAAGAACGCGAATTCGGCGTGAGGAATGTCTTTCTCCATGATATCAAGTAGCGTGACAGGTTCATCTTTCATGACGAAGTGAGAATTGTAAGGCTGCTCCCGGTCCTGCTTTCCATGACAGGCAAGGTGCACCCAGGTGTTCTCTTCCAATGCTTGGAGTGCACCAGCTCGTGTGGCTGCGTCACCAGAAATAGTGGTACGGATGGTCGTCGCAGGGACGAGCTTTCGGACAAGCTCAATCTCGCTGTCGACAGCCAGGAGCTCCTTGCTTTTCCCTGCACCCGGTTGACCCTGTCCAATCGCTACAAAGGACGGAGGGACACGCTGCTTCATCATCTGCCTAGATCTGGCCAGAGCCGAAAGTGTCGGCGTGTAAGAACAAATGTAGAGATCCTCCAGGCATGGCTCCTTCGAGCGATCTGCATTTGTTTGAAAGGGATGAGCTGCGTGGAGAGGAATGGACGTGAAAGCTGCGGTTGGACACAGCCAGATTCGTGATTGTAACTTTAATTTCAGGTCATGCTGGAGAACGCTGACGATGGGTAGCATGATGTTGCCCCATACTGTCCGCAAGAGGACAATTAGGTCATTCCGCGGCACCTTTGGGCCCATAATAGATGCGTGTCGTATCGCCCTGGCGAAGCGATCCTTGAGATTCTTCAGATCTGTAAGGGTGATGGACGGCAAGGGAACATGATGGAGCTCTCCTGACGTCGGGACAATGATGGCGTTGCACGAGTATTGACTCGCAACGAGGATAATGACTGGGCCGTGACGTGCTGCCGCTCGCAATTCTCTATACGACGGCGGGAGAAGGAACCTCGAGAAACCTTTAAGATTACGAATTTCAGCCACCACTGCTCCCCACTGCTCCGTAAGTTTCCTGTACTCTGTTTCTGCCCGATCAACAGCAGCTCTGTCTGTGCTGATAGTGGAACCGTGAGCCCCGGACAGACACTTGCTCAGCTCCGAAAATCTGTGGGCTAGATTCAGATTTTCCGACTCGAGATCTTCCAGCGGAGTCCTGAGCCGTGAGGCGAGCGACCACTGTTGACCACGACCCTGCTCCACAAGTTCGATGGCCTTTTCGAGGTTGCACCGGCGTATGCCACATGATCCTGCATCTACAGGCACTGATCTGGCATATTGGAAGGCAGCAGCAGCTTCACGCCGCGAAATTGCCGACGATCGTGTTGCCAAGTGACGGTCAAGAAGGTCGAAAAATGTTGTATAGGCCTCCAGTGCAGATGGGTGACTGTGCTGCTCTGCTGCGACAATCCAGTTCCAGGCTGCCAGAATGCGGTCTGGAAAGCCTTGCGTGGGATGTCGTGATGCCATTCTGAAGTTCTCTACAGCGAGCGACAAATCAGCAGACATGCGTTGCACTCTGTAACGAGACAAATAGGCTTCCTGCAACCGCATGTAGCTGAAATATCTATCCGGGTGCAGTGAAGGCAAAGCCTCCAATGATTCTTGGCACAATCGAATGGCCTCCTCGACATCTTCATTCTTCTGTGTTTGTGTGAAACGAGAGGACAGCGCCGAGCTCAAATTGTTAAGATATTTATGGCGATGTGAATTGTGAATTGACCGAAGAGAATCGCGGTGCAGGTCAATGGCCTCATTGAGATCTTCGTGGACATTCAATTTGTCATATCTGAATTTGAGCACGCGGGCAAGGTTATTAAGTGTTTTGGCATGACAAGGATCCCCAGACAGGCACAACGTCAGTGCCTCGCGAAAGAGGCTTGTGGCTCTGTTGATGTCGTTAACATCACCGCGGCGCTTGAAACGGGCGGCGAGGGCGGCTCCTTGGTTGTCCAATGTGACATGACGATGTTCTGACTCGACAGGGAACAGGTGCATCGCTTCTTCGCACAAAGAGATGCCCTCGTCGAGGTCATGATAGTTGCCTTGGTGATTGAAACGGTGCCATAATGACGAGGCCAACTGATTCAGGTAGAAATGGTGTTCAGAATGTCCCTCGGAGCACAGAGAAACAGCTTCACGATGTCTTTGTATGCACTCGTCTAGATCATCAATGCTGCCACGTTGTTCAAAGCGTGTTATGAGAGCCCATGCAAGGTTGTCGAGTGCTTTTAGATGGTACTCGTTGCCCAGAGGACAGAGCTTGAGTACAACTCGTCGAAGGTGAATGCCTTCATCGGATGCATCTATTGGAAGTTCGTTGCATTCACGGATCACATAATCGACACCATTTTTCCCTGCCGCGACGCTGTGAAGGTAGGTGTACTCTGGACAGAGAGGCAGTAGCTCATAGTGAAGTTGGGCCGATTCACAGATATCAGCGGCGGTATGTTGATAGTCGTGGCGCCAGTTCAACGCTTCGGTGAGGTGATAAAGATATAATGGATGATCGGGGTGGCCCTGCGGACGCAATGCAAGGGCTTCGCGGAAGAGAGAAGTGATACAGTCGATGTCTTGAAGATCCTTTTGAATGTAGCCTTTGAGGCGGGCCCACGTGAGGTTGGTGAGAGCCCCTGCGCGGTCAGGATGGCCAACCGGACATTGGTCCAGGACCAACTGAAAATGCTGTATGGCATCATTCAGGTGAGAGACCATCTTGCTTGTCACGTATGTGGCAAATCGTTCATGGCCCGCATCCGTCTCTTGAGCAACTTCACTTTCAACGATGGTCTACATCAAGTGTTTCGTCGTCAGCAAAAGCTAACAACGCAGAACCTGATGTCACTCACGTCAAGCACTGCACTGTCATGATTGTCGCAAGGATGTAGAACAGCGGCCTTCAGCGTGAGGAAAGGTTGAACACCCTGAACGGGCGGGAAGGATATGTCTACAACATGTGAGTATATGCGCATGAATGAGAAGCAGGTTACTCACCGAAAGGCTCATTTCCATGATCGAGCAACGCATCCCATGATGTTTCCAGTTTTCCAACGACTTCCCCATTGCCCAGCATTCGATCGAACTCGAAGGACGCCCTGATCTCCACTGATAATTCGGGTGATGCGTCTAATGATCTACAAGCAAAAGTTCAGTCATCAAGTCGCATCTGAAAATGGCCAGGGACTGTACAGGGTCACAGTATCGCCCCACGCGACTGATTCGTCGGATGATAAGACTCTAATGGCTGATTTCCAGCGTCTCCTCGTGTCAACATTGATGGATATGTAGATGCCAGCAGGAATGCGCCCCGAGGGACCTTTGAGGTTTTTTCCGCCGATAACTGTAGATAGAGAGTGAGGATATGAAACAGATACGAAGATGGTATGAAGCGACTCACCTTCGAGTTTGATATATCGGCCTTCTAAGCTACCGGGCATGGTGCGATGAAGCAACACGGGGAGATCGAGGATGGGCCGGGTGGTGAGTGGGGATACGGGGACTGTAAAACAAGACGAAGAAGAGAAATCGAGGGTTCAGAACGTTCAGGTGATGCTGCACGTGTATTTCCATGTTGTTCGATGGCAGTTCAGCGCTTTTAGCATTAGCATGATAGACGCTTGTATGATTGCACTAAGCGCTGAAGCTAAAAGATCACCAACCAGTAGCAAAATGCCATGGATCAACAAAAGTGGTGCGTCAAGCTTCAAGGACAACTCAGAACGTCCTGTGACGTAGACTAGTGATTGTTTGAGACGTAGTATGATCATTAGCACAAGGCTAAGGCAGTGTATTTCATGGTGCAAACAATAAAAACGACGGGGGAGGTGAAATTGACGTGGTCATGCGCTACGCCCACTGAAAAGCCGATCTGTTCTACATATACGAGTCCATGCCAAGGGGAAGAGCTAGAAACAAAAGCAACATTTTACATGGCGTTGAATGCATTTGGAAATGCCACCTCCTCGGAGGACGTGGCCGGTTGGAAATAGTGAATTACATAATCAATGAATCCGATCCAAACTTCAAAGTTCTTCATTGAACATCACCTCTTACTACCATCGTACGCGTAGGACGTGAATATTAATGCAGCTAGGTTAACCATAGCAATGTACAACCAGACGTATCAATTCCCTATGGATCCTGACCGACACTGCAAAACCCTCTCGTCTTCCACCACCCCGTTGGTTTCCACGAAGAAAAAATGGGTCATGGCCTGAGATACTGTTCTGGCTAATGATTCGTCCAGTTTGGTGAAGGTCGAACTTACCCACTTGGCCAGCCATTTTTCCAGGATCACGAAACCCTCGATTGCGTATCGTTCTCTCGGGACAGGAGGTGCGTAACATATGGTGGGCACGATATTCAAAGGAACTTCACTCCATGGATGGTCAAAGTGGTACCCATTCCTCAAGAAGGTGACAGAGAAGTTGTGCCTCCGCCATTGTCTTGCCTCAATGCCAGTACTCTCACATGTAACTACCTGTATTGCGTTTGCTCATAGTTTTGTTATAGGCTGATGCTACGAGAGGTGATGGCATCATCGAGGATGCTCACGATGATTTATATGACAACTTCTTCACGGTAAAACTCATGCAAAGGGTACTAGTCACGGTGATTTTGATATTTACCATTAGTCTTCTTCCAAGGCACCTCCTGAATCGACACCATCTGATTCCCATCTCCTCCACCTGTCCCCAGCTTGCCGCTCCTGGAACATCATCTTTCGACACCGCCCGTCGGTAGACCAGTCTGTTCAACTAGAACGACCCATGCGCAGCTTCTTTATTCGTCTTGCTCGTTCAAACTTACCCGTGGAGCCTGCAATTCGATCACACCCAACCAACCAGCGCAAAAAGGGAAGGAGCAGAAGACGAGCAAGGTACCAGGCATGATGATGCAAGTTCTTTGTCGGCTTTCAGAGTCCCTTCAACATCATGGGTCGTCAGTTCTTCGTGAATCCTCAGCCCGGCAGCAGTAAATTAAAAATATTAAGACGAGCAACGAGAAGGAGCTCTAACTGACGCACATGGCCTACCGCTTGATGATCTCCCTCCCCCTCCCGAACTCGACAGCGCCGATAACCGAAACCTCTGGAAACGGCTAATGCGTAGTAGTCAAGGAAAGTATTCCACCGAAATGACCCCAGCAATGAAACGTCCGGAGATCTTCGAGGGATACGCTGCGGGTTCCAGGTGAGCTTCAGTTGCATCTTGCGCAGGATTCAGTTCTTACTAGAAACGGAATGAAGAGAGATATGTCGCAGCGAAGCGGGTGCGCGAAGTCGGTAGCAGCGAAGGGTGGTGTTCCTCCTGCTTCTGCACATGAGTGCCAGCTCGTCACAGCCTAGCTTAACATTGAAGTGATCTCCACACTACAGGCAGGATCGTCATCACAAGCTATGGTCAAACCCACCAGCGCTCTCCTTCCTAGTTGCACAATAACATACCGCTACTGATACTTAGAACATCGAATGAATTGCAAAATATTATAGAGTTAACGATATCATATGAGCTGAATGCGAATAAACGGTATAATAGACATGGAAGGTAATCCTACAATTGCCAGGTGTTACAGCGACCGAGATGAAAGAGCATCGAAAATCAACAACTTAAAAACCTATACCAGACGAAAGCAATACGACAGGAACTACACACCAACATGAATGAAAACCATTCTCTGCTCAAGCGGAACTTTCGTCTTCACGGAGTGCGTAGCACGATTGAGTGCCCAGGCAGCCTTCGTACAGTCCATCACACCACCGTCCTCCAAATCCTTGAACATATTCTCATAGAAAGCTTTCACAACATGTTTTGCGACAGCGTCATCGACCTCCCACAGTGTGCCAATGACGCTCTTGAATCCTGAAAATTGCAGTCCAGCCGCGAGGTGAATCACCTCGTCGGGAGTCTTCTCATCGCCGACGGCAGTATGACATGCTGATAAGAACGCGAATTCGGCGTGAGGGATGTCTTTCTCCATGATATCAAGCAACGTGATAGGTTCATCTTTCATGACGAAATGAGAGTTGTAAGGCTGCTCGCGGTCCTGCTTTCCATGGCACGCAAGGTGTACCCAGTTGTTGTCTTGCAATGCTTGGAGTGCACCTGCTCGTGTAGCTGCGTCGCCAGATATAGTGGCACGGTTGACCGTCGCAGGGACGAGCTTTCGGACAAGCTCAATCTCACTGTCGACAGCCAAGAGCTCCTTGCTTTTCCCTGCACGCGGTTGACCCTGTCCGATCGCTACGAAAGATGGAGGGACAAGTTTCTTCATCAACTGCCTAGATCTGATCAAAGCCGAAAGTGTCGGCGTGTAAGAACAAATGTAGAGATCCTCCAGGCATGGCTCCTTCGAGCGATCTGCCTTTGTTTGAAAGGGGTAAGCTGCGTGGAGAGGTATGGACGTGAAAGCTGCAGTCGGACACAGCCAGATTCGAGATTGGCGCTTGAGCTCAAGGACATGCTCGAGTACGTGTACAATGGGTAGCATGATCTCTTCCCATATTGTCCGCAAGAGTACTATGAGATCCGTCCTCGACTCCTTTGGTTTCATCCGAGATGATTGTCGTATTGCCCTAGCGAAGCGATCCTTAAGACTCTGCAGATCTGTGAGAGTGATAGACGGCAAGGGAACATGATGGGGCTCTCCTGACGTCGGGACAATGATGGCGCTGCACGAGTATTGACTCGCAACGAGGATGATGACTGGGCCATGACGCGCTGCCGCTTGCAAATCTTCATACGAAGGCGGGAGCAGGAACCTTGAGAAACCTTTAAGATTACGGATTTCAGCTACCACTGCTCCCCACTGTTCTGTAAGCTTCCTGTACTGTGTTTCTGCCAGGTCAGCAGCAGCTCTGTCTGTACTGACTGCGGGACCTTGAGTCTTGGACAGACACTTGCTCAGCTCCGAGAAGTTGTCAGCTAGGTTGGGATTCGTGGACTGGAGATCTTCCAGCGGAGTCCTGAGCCGCGAGGCCAGCGACCACTGTTGACCACGACCCTGCTCCAGGAGTTCAACCGCTCGTTGCAGATCATCACAATGTATGGCACGTGATGCAGCATCTACTGGCAGTGATTGGGCGTCACGAAAAGCAGTTGCAGCCTCGCGCCGTGAAATTGCCGACGACCGTGATGCCAAGTGACGATCAAAAAGGTCGAAAAATGTTGTGTAGGCCTCCAGTGTAGATGGGTCACTGTGCCGCTCTGCTGCGTCGACCCAGTTCCAGGCTATCAGGATGCGGCCCGGAAATCCTTGCGTGGGATGTCGCGATGCCAGTCTGAAGTTCTCTACGGCGAGCGACAAATCAGCAGACTTGCCTTGCACTCTGTAACGAGACAAATAGGCTTCCTGCAACCACATGTAGCCGAAATATTTCTTCGGGTGCAGTGAAGGTAAAGCCTCCAACGATTCTTGGCACAGCCGAATGGCCTCCTCGACATCTTCATTCTTCTGTGTTTGCGTGAAACGAGAGCAGAGCACCATGCTCAAATTGAAAAGAGCTGCATGGTGTTCTGGATGCCCACGCGGCCTTAACTGAAGTGAATCTCGGAATAGGTCAATGGCCTCGTTGAGATCTTCGCTGGCATCCAATTTGTCATATCTGGATTTGAGCGCGTTGGCAAGGTTGTTGAGTGTGTAATCACGATATAGATTCCCAGGCGGGCGCAACGTCAGTGCCTCGCGATGGAGGCTGATGGCTCTGTTGATATCGTTAAGATCACCACGCTGCTTGAAACAGGTGACGAGTGTCTCGCCCATGTTGTTCAATAAGATATTATGAAATTCGTCCCCAACAGGGTACAGGCGCAGCGCCTCTTCGTACAAAGAGATAGCCTCATTGAGGTCATGATGCTTGCCTTGGTTTTTGAAGCGGTCTTGGAGTGAGGTAGCCAAGTTATTCAGGCAGATACTGTGTTCAGAATGTTCCTGAGAGCACAAAGAAACGGTTTCACGACCGCGTTGGATGCACTCGTCTAGATCGTCAATGCTGCCGCATTGTTCAAAACGTGATCCGAGAGCCCATGTAAGCTTGTCGAGTGCGTTTAGACGGCGCTCGTTGCTCAAAGGACAGAGCTCGAGTATGACTCGTCGAAGGTGGATGCCTTCATCGGATGCGTCTATTGGAAGTTCGTTGCACTCGCGGATCACATAATCGACGCCATTCTCCCCTGCCACGACGCTACGAAGGCGGGTGTCCTCTGGACAGAGAGGCAGTAACTCATAGTAAAGTTGGGCCGATTCACAGATGTCAGCGGCGGTATGTTGATAGTCGTGGCGCCAGTTCAACGCTTCGGTGAGGTGATAAAGATATAATGGATGATCGGGGTGGCCCTGCGGACGCAATGCAAGGGCTTCGCAGAAGAGAGAAGTGATACAGTCGATGTCTTGAAGATCGTTTCGAATATAGCCTTCAAGGCGTGCCCGCGCGAGGTTGGTGAGAGCCCCTGCGCGGTCAGGATGGCCGACCGGACATTGATCCAGGACCAACTGAAAATACTGTACGGCATCATTCAGGTGAGAGACCGTCTTGCTTGTCACGTATGTGGCAAATCGTTCATGGCCCGAATCCGTCTCTCGAGCAATCTCACTTTCAACGATGGACTACAGCAGGTGTTTCGTCAACAAAAGCCAACAACCCAGAGGCTGATGTCACTCACGTCAACCAGTGCACTACCATGATCGTCGCAAGGATGTAGCACAGTGGCCTTCAGCGTGAGGGAAGGTTGAACACCCTGAACGGGCGGGAAGGAGATGTCTACAACATGTGAGTATATGCGCATGAATGAGAAGCAGGTTACTCACCGAAAGGCTCATTTCCATGGTCGAGCAGCGCATCCCATGATGTTTCCAGTTTTCCAACGACTTCTCCATTGCCCAGCATTCGATCGAACTCGAAGGACGCCCTGATCTCCGCTGATAATTCGGGTGATGCGTCTAATGATCTACAAGCAAAAGTTCAGTCATCAAGTCGCGTCCGAAAATCGCCAGGCACTGTACAGGGTCACAGTATCGCCCCACGCGACTGATTCGTCGGATGATAAGACTCTAATGGCTGATTTCCAGCGTCTCCTCGTGTCAACGTTGAAGGATATGTAGATGCCAGCAGGAATGCGCCCCGAGGGAACTTTGAGGTTTTTTCCACCGATAACTGTAGAAAGAGAGTGAGGATACGAAACGGATACGAAGGTGTTATGGAGCGACTCACCTTCGAGTTTGATATATCGGCCTTCTAAGCTACCGGGCATGGTGCGATGAAGCAACACGGGGTGATCGAAGATGGGCCGGGTGGTGAGTGGGGATATGGGGACTGTAAAGAAAGTTCAGGTGAGACAGAGAAGAGAAATCGAGGGTTCAGGACGTTCAGGCGATGCTGCACGTGTATTTCCATGTCCAATGGCAGTTCAGCGCTTTTAGCATTAGCATGATAGACGCTCGTATTGTTGCACTAAACGCTGAAGCTAAAAGATCACCAACTAGTAGCAAATGGATCAGCAAAAGTGGCGCGTCAAGGACAACTCAGAACGTCCTGTGACGTAGACTAGTGTTAATATTGTTTGAGACGTAGTATGATCATTAGCACAAGGCTAAGGCAGTGTATTTCATGGTGCAAACAATACAAACCACGGGGGAGGCGAAATTGACGTGGTCATGCGCTACGCCCACTGAAAAGCCGATCTGTTCTATACATACGACGGTTTGCCTCATAGAGGGGCTGGTCACGGGTCTAACGAGGTCATGCCAAAGCAACAGGGCAGGTTGAATGCATTTGGAAATGCCACCTCCGAGTCGGACTCCGGACGTGGCTGGTTGGAAATAGTGAATTACATAATGAATCCGATTCATTGAACATCATCTCTTACCATCGTACGCGTAGGACGTGAATATCAATGCAGCTAACTAGGCTAGCCATAGCAATGTACAACCAGACGTATCAATTCCCTATGGATCCTGAGCGACACTGCAAAACCCTCTCATTTTCCACCACCCCGTTGGTTTCCACGAAGAAAAAATGGGTCATGACCTGAGATACTGTTCTGGCTAATCGTCCAGTTTGGTGAAGGTCGATGGCAAGAACTTACCCACTTGGCCAGCCATTTTTCCAGGATCACGAACCCCTTTATTGCGTGTCGTTCTCTTGGGACAGGAGGTGCGTAGCATATGGTGGAGACAATATTCAAACGAACTTCACTCCATGGATGGTCAAAGTGGTGCCCATTCCTCAAGAAGGCGACAGAGAAGTTGTGCAGGAGGAAATTCGTCTGGAGTGTCATTGTCTTGTCTCAATGTCAGTACTCTCACATGTAACTACCTGTATTGCGTTTGCTCATAGTTTTGTTATAGGCTGATGCTATGAGAGGTGATGGCATCATCGAGGATGCTCACGATGATTTATATGACAACTTCTTCACGGTAAAACTCATGCGAAGGGTACTACATCATGTTTCATCAGATTATTTAAGCAGTTCTGCTTCGTAACTACATACTGTCTGTGTTGCCGATACCCGGGTTCAGTTGTACACGCGTTCTACTACGGACATATACTAGTGGACTCGAAGCAATCACGGTTGTGCGAGGCACCAAGAATGACAAGGAAGTGTGGGGGGTCGAAGTGAGCAGCGGGAAACTGCGGTAGGTCGCGGTGGTAGCGCCAGGTTAGCGGTAGTACAGAAAGGTCATGGTCGGGTGTGCAATATCAGACTGACGGAAGGGCGAGGAAGGGTCTGTATTGGTGTGCCAGGGTAGTGAGACGTTGCAGGACGTTGCACTTGGAGCGTGGGGAGAGCAGGAGCTTGAGGGAGCAAGCGACCGTGCAAGGACGACAGGAAGTGCAGGAGGTCGAACTGGGAAATGGGAGACTGCAGTAGGTCGTGACGGCAGCACCGAGTTAGCGCGAGCACAAGGAAGGTCCTTGTTGGATGTATGGGGCAATGGAGAACAACAGGAGGATAACGGAAGGGTGGAGAAGGGTCTTGGTTGGGGGTGTAGGTGTGTAGTGGGAGGTGGTTGCTCTAGGGCGCAGGTGGTTGCATCGATGGTAGCGCCGCACCATAGCTGCAGGATGTTGCTGGGGGTAGCACACTGGCACTTGGATGTAGGGGCCGCGATCGACGGGAGGTCGTGGTTGATAGCGACATTCAACGTAGACTTTCAGAAGCACAAGTGACAAGAGCGGTTGTTTGGATCTAAAGGATTTGGCAAACAAAGCTGCACAGCCCCTCAGGGGCGGCTTTCGGTATACTTGTCAAGATTTATCTACACACTTTTCCTGTCAACCATGTTCTGAGCTGGATCCACGATTTGCAAAGTATTTAGGCGGATACACAGTACTTTATGACTACATGTAATTATCTTGTAGCTTCGATAAATAAATATTGCTATACGCCCGTGATAGAGATGGTCACAGAGTATCCGCCAGAGTTTTCAGAAGAATCAGAGCAGTATTTACCTCCCTTCCTGATTTTCACAGCCGCCCTTCCCATACTCAGCTCCTGAGTGAACCAGTCCAAACTGCTCCATCGAATATCACTTCTTTCTCCCTGGTTGAATGACGTGTGAACGCTGTCAGGCGTCTCACTGTCCGCAGCCGTGACAATGTACGACCAGACGTGATAGTTATGCATACCAAGCACCACTGCGAAACTTTCGCCAGTTATTTGATGGCAATAGAGCAATGTGCTGAATATTCCACTGTGGTCCAAGTTCAGGATAAGCCTGCTCTCCTCCTGCTTCCACCACTCAGCTGTCGCATAGCCAACCATAGAAAATCCATTTTCTACCACCCCGTCGGTTTTAACGAAGAAATAATATTCTTCAGGGATAGGGTCGCGCTTGGGATCGATTATCATGAATAGCGATGGGTCATCTTCTTGGACGTAAAGTTCTTGAAAGGTGAACTCGGATGATTCCTCCACTGCGTCATCAAGAATATTGGGCTGGAACCTGAGGAACTGTTCCGTCTGGCCTTGGACTGGATGGAGGCATAAACCAATTGGATGGAAGTTTTGTGCTCGATGACAGCAGCTTAAGGCCACTTGATAGTGGTCTCCCATACGCCTGGCAGGTAGGTGAATATTCACCCCGCGATTCGTCACCGAATACTGATGTCTGATGGATAGGGTGGAACTTGGAAAAATACTGCTGAATGAATCTGAGGGAATCCTAACGACATCGCGGGACTCTGCAAAATCATCTGGGGAAGAAGCAAGTAAACCACTCGTATGTTCTCGGTGAGATTTCCAAGCGAAAATGCTTTGATCGTTGGAGCTCTTCATGATTTCAATCTGAAGTCTGACAAATGCTTTTTCTCCTTCTCCGTATATCGTAGGCATGTATACCCCGAACAAACCAAGCAGTGAATATGCCCGATCCTCTACCCTTGTCGTCTGCCTTCCTGCAGCCCAGGACATCCTTGTCGCTACACTGACCTCTTCCAGGTAGTTCATAAGTAGGACATCGCAGTCAATCCCCGTGATCTTTTTGATCAAGGGAGTGAAGCTAGATTTGCTTCCTATCTCCTCCCAATTGCGCGAAAAAATACGACATTGTTGGGGGCAATGAGCACCTGGAGAGTCCACCCTCTTCTGAAACCATTGGCTATTGGAAAACTCTTCCGTCAAAGTGTCACATCTGGACACGTCGTCCAGATATGCGTAGCAGATCTGGGCCTTCTTGTACCACATGAACATCGAGTTGATCGCTTTGGAGAGTTCGGAGCTGCTGCTCTTATTGATGCAGCAAGTGTCTATCCAGACATAGCGATAGCCGTCTTCGTTAGCCTGGATACAACAACCTTCAATCTTGGAATAGCCTGGCATATTACGGGCGTGAGGCTGGTCGATATCAGGGAACTGGACCTCGCCATCACGCCATTGATGCGAGAGTATTGCATATTGTGGGATCTGACTGAAAAACCCTTCGAGTTTTCTGGTCTTCATGTTCAATAACCGCATGTTATCTCATCATTAACGTAAGATAGGCAAAAACTAAAGCAACCAAGGGACTACTTACTTACATATCTGCGATGTCAAATCAGGAATTAAAAATCAGGTCAGGGTCGCGTGTTGGTGAGATATCAACCTGCTGAAGTGATAGCTGAGCGTCTACCATCGACGCGTACTGGAGCAAAGCCCACTCACCCACCCCAATCAGAGTACCACAGGAAGCGACTAGCTGAGGGCTTCGCTGCGCTGAAACCGACTCTTTATCGATGATGGCCGAGTGAGATTGAGGGCAAGCATCAACCATGTACATGGTGCACGATCGTCCTGGATTGGCAAGTAAACTCCATCAACCAATTGATATAAATCAGAAGCATACCGGATAAGTAGGGTCTTCGAAATCAGGTGGTCGCTCATAGAACCTAGTTGACTGAATAATCATCCGAGTTTGCAAAGTTGAAACATTCAAGATTCGTTATCAACCTCGCCTGACATCATCACCTAACATTAAACCAGATATGCATCTTACTGACAAGTGATCGGAATCCACGGCATAGCATCCATCGATTTTCGGAGTGATAGTGGAATCTCAAATGTCGATGCATTACTAGTTAGGCAAGGACTCTTACAGGAAGAGCAGTGTCCTTGGCGTGAACGTTATGTCTGTATTATCGCATTCAGACAACCGGAAACAGCATTGGGGTGGTTGAGGCGAAATCACGGGCCCTTGTCTGTTCAATCCATTGCCATTGGAAACTGTGAATCCCGAGTCCAAGAACCTCATGACTGATGAGGACACTCTGGCGCAAGACAGACCTGACAACGAGGTCAGAGTGCTCTCGCTTCAGTGGATGTGATAAGGATCCAGCTGTTACAGCATCTGTGCGCCCCCGCAAGACTTAAATGCAGTCAAAGTTGCATTTCAGGTCCACGTCCTAGGCCTTCAGTATATTTCGTCGGCATTGCCACTCTTCATCTGAGTGTTCAGAGCGGTGTCATGCATGGTATGGAACTCATACCATGACATTGATAGACAGGAAGTAGCTACAGAGAGTACACTAAGGTGTACCTCATTGTATTATTATGATTGGTTCCATTTTGACAGATTTACTTGTATTTATATTTCCAGTATGATAGTTTTCACCTTTCCCCTTTCTTTTATGTGGTATATTCAGCCACCAGTGAGCCGCCAGATATGTTTGTAAGCATGTCATGTGATAGGCAATAATCTGATTTGTAAGGATTTGTCATGATTGGTCATGCTTTGTCATGATTTATCATGCTTTGTAATATTATGAACTTTATTTGTAAACTACTTTGTAAGCAGCTGATTCAGCACTGCCAAATGGCATGGTTAGTAAGCCAGTGACTTACTAATGCCGTGATGAGTCATGCTTAGTAAAATGGCCTCCCAAAAAGGTATAAAAGGAGCCCATTCTACACTGAGTAATAATAACTTCCCACTTTTCACTCTTCTCTCAAACCATGAGAGTCCGTAAGACTTAAAGTGCAGGCCAAGAGTGCCTTGAAGTAAGATAAACATCGTATCAGAGATTAGTTGTATACTACCTTACAGGGGTCGCTTATATAACAATCTATTTATAAACTATTTGTTGTGTGCTACCTTTCAGGGGCTGAGTGTACAACACCAGAACAGCTTTCGTACTAGGCTTTACGTATTTAAGACAGACTTCATTTACTTGTTGTGTACTACCTTACAGGGGTTGAGTATACAACACCAGAACAGCTTTCTAACTAGGCTTCACGTATTTTAAGACAGACTCTCTCTTTTTCAGGAAGGGAGACACGAGAACACGACAAAGTTGAGACAGACTTTCATAGGTTGAGACACGACCTACGAGATTGAAACAGATCTTACTATCAGAACATTAGGGAATCTACGAGTAATTCCACCAGGGAACAACAAGAAGAGGACACGTCAGTAAACCCTCCCAAGAACTCACACATTATCTACCACGAAAACTAGTGCTGCCACAGTTCAGTCCCGAACCTAGGTTCGAACCTGAACTTTTGCGAACGGAACCACCGTTCGGTCAGTAGTTCGACATACGATACAGGACCGAACCTTACATAGGTTCTTCGTTCGGGTGGTCTCGGATGGACGTCGGACCCGTTCGGACGAGTCTGAACCGGTCCGAACCCATCATTAGAGTTGCAGGTTTGTTGCTTCTGTTCTGCAACTCCTCAGGTTCGTCAAAAGATGCTCACTGTTGACATATCAGTAAGTTTACTGGTGAAATCGTCACCGGTGCAATCGTCACCGGCGCAATCATCACCGGCACTATCATCACCGATGCAATTGATCAGAGTGGATATTCATATCTCATTCTGGTCTTACGCAGAACATCAGCAAAGGATAAAAGGGTGGGGAGCGTCCAAGGTTAGCTCATTCATCAAAACATGTCGAACTCTGCAGTTAATGCTAATGGTGTTTTGAAGGATGCGTCCAAAATCGAATGGTATCATGATCCTGACGATGACATGCCCATCTCGCCCCATCCTGAATCCTCATCTAAAGCTTTGCCCCCAGCACCCTCTCATTGTACCCTGGACTCTTTCGTAGGCTCTCATCGAATGGTAAGTCCATGGGTATCTCAATAAATTGTCTGTGCACTAACTTAGTATCTAGTTTGATCAGTATTATCGTGCCCCTCCTTCATCTGCTGCGACGACACATTCTGCTACACCATCCCTCTCACGCCAAGGTTCCTATGACCAGAGCTGGATGCACGATGCAATCAAAGCTCGTGTCTCACATGACGCAGCTCGTCAAAGGCCTCATCGGGAATTGGAGGACTACTTAGCTGCACCACTGGAGGATGTTGAGAATGTAGTCGTGTGGTGGGGTGTAAGCTCATATCCTTAATATTCCGTGTAACTTGAAGCTGACAATTATTTTTTTAAAGCATCACTCGGTTCAGTATCCCACTGTTGCTCGCATCGCAAAAGATTACCTCGCTATTCAGGGGTCTGCAGTAGCATCTGAACGGGCATTCTCAAGTGGCGGCGTCACCGGCACCACACGTCGCAACTGCTTGCTTCCAGAGACATTCGAGGCACTTCAACTGTTAAAAAGTGCGTACCGTCAAGGCCATGTATCAGCAATGGTGCAGGCTGAGCTTGTTGCTCCTCAAATTTTTATTGTTGAATAGTCTAGCCTACAATTGTTCGTACTTGGAAAATTTTGCTAATTTCATGTTGCGTTCGGCGGTTCGAACTGGTTCGAACTGGTTCGAACTCGAACCCGACCATTGTGAACCCGTTCGAAGTGGTCCGGCCCAGAGTCCACCCTACCTTTGTGAACTTGACCGAGGTTCAGTTCTCGGTCCTCAGTTATCTTGAAAAAACCGGACGGAACTGAACTTCGGCAGCACTAACGAAAACTAGAAAAGTCGTAGACCGTGTACTTAAGGACTGGCAAGAAGTCTTATCCTGTATAGTTGTGTTGTCACTATACACGCGTTGTACATAAGACCCTTAAGTAGCAAGACAGCGGTATTGGTATTTTTCCAGCCATACTCCTATCTGGAGCTTTCCAGAGTTTCCACTAGTCCTCTGTATTTGTCACAACCCTTATAATGAATTAACGCAGGGGCAGAGACTAGGACTCAAACAAAGGTATCACGACGAGAAGATAGAGGATAGCAGGTACGTCTTAGGATTGCTAGCAGTAAGCTAATACAAAAGAGGTTTGAACTGGAGAACTACTGACTACAATGAGCTACTTATATACATATATTGAAGCGGAGACTGAATCTGAATCTGAATTAACTAGCCAATCATTAAATAAGAAAGGGAATCGTACGATGTTCTAAATATAACTACACTATGATGTCATGGAACGTGTGATGGCTGTACAAGGGTTCTCGAAGGTTCTGGAGTCACGTGATCTGATTGCTTGAGTAAGGAAGTCGAAATCAGAGATATCGGATATAGAAGTAGTAGGCGCTAATGGAATAGAGAAGTTCGGGTTAGGGTTTGGAAAGGTTATGGGTACAGACGCTGGCTGAGCGCTAACAACAGGCGCTTGTGACGGGCGCTTAACGGGTGTCTTACGAGTATTTAGAAAAGAATAATGATTTGTATTTGGAACTCGTGACATTACCCCCTCTCTAGGATGAGCGTCATCGCGAATGTAGGATGGTCGAATGTTTTTCTCTCTCCATTGTTTGAATGCATCCGTATCCAAAATAGATCCAAGAATTCGTTTGGATTTAGCAGCCGTGGGATTTTTCTTATGGAAATCTGCAATTAGAATCGGGGAGTTTTTAACGTTTTCTTCTGGCTCCCATGTCGACTCTTCTATCGGATATCCTTCCCATTTTACTCGGTATTGCACTTTTCCTCCGGAATTGTCGGCTATCTAGTACTTCTTCTACGACAAATTCTTCCTGATCGTCAACAATGTCTGGAGGTGGTCGGGTGGGTTGAGAATGAGGGATCATTTGAGATGCGTAATATGGAGTAAGCAATTCTACATGGAAAACCGGGTGAATCTTATAGCTTTCTGGCAATTTCAATTTATAGTTCACTTCGCCGGTCTTCTCTAGTATTTCAAAGGGCCCAAGACGACGATCTGACAACTTTTGACTTGGACGACGTTGTTTGATGTTCTTTGCGTCTAGCCAGACCTTGTCTCCCTTTTGGTACTGAGGTGCGTCTTTAACTCCTCGGTCATAGAAGCGTTTCATGCGTTCAGTTAACCATCTTTAGAGTATTTTCCGCATCATCTCTTGCTTCTTTCATTTGATCTGCTCTCTCATCGGCGGCAGGGAATAAGGGATGTGGAGTTCGGAGATACGGTGAATTCAGGATTATATCCATAAAGGACTTTGAACGGACTATGACCTGGTTACTGTGACTGCATTGTTCATGTGAAAACTCTGCTATTGGCAGCCAAGATACCCAATCATTTTGTCTATACGAGGTAAACATGCGCAAGTACTGTTCAACTTCTTGGTTTACGCGTTCTGTTT